TGCCTGGCGAGTGCATGAGATGCTGCATCATTTAATCGTTCCCGCGCTCGGACTCGTTCACTACGCCTTCTCTGAGAGCGTACTGCGGTATCTCGAGCGCGAGCCTCCTGTGCAACCTCCGGATTCACTGAGCGGACAAAGGCATTGTGCTCGGCATTTCGGGCTCTAATTTGCGTAGCATTTCGAGCGTATTGAGCGCGACTTCTCCTAAGTGCGGCTTGGCGACGCTGCTCCTGAGATAAAGAAGATGTGCGTGGCATTTTCTTTTCGTTCCTGTTAAAAAATGGTTAGATAATATGGTTAAATGTATGTTTCTAAAATCTGAAATGTATTAAGATCGATTTTGTGCTCCGGGCCTCCATGTCCTTACTTAATATTGTTCTCATTATATTTCGATTTCCACCGTAGATTCTTTTAGGGGGTTCAGCTTGTGAGATTTAAAACGCCGCTATAAACTTAACGGCGTTTTAAAACTCAAACAAACTATACGCTGAAAAAGCTAATCCCTCTAACGATGGTATCCACAGGAAATCGAAATATATTGAGGCAAATTTTTCAAAACATGCCCAAACCAAAACTTGCTAAAATTGTGGCCAAATTTAACAATTTAAAAACAAAATGTATAACTTACCAAAAATAGTTGTACACTTTTATATATATAGAGATATATATATACACACACACACACACACTATTTGTCTTTACACTGATTAAAAGTATACATTCACACAATATAAAAATACTCGATGCACTGGTATATGTTGTCACTGTCACTGTCGTGATAATACTAATCCGCGGATTATAAATGTGCGCAAATAAATAGGCACCTTATATTACCTGTTAACAACCTTTAGGGTTAACCCTTTTGACTCTACTTCAGGTATATATCAGGTAATACGATTGGTTATGCAATTGTGCAACATTGAACACGTGTTATGTTGCTAACAGGTATCAAATTATGATTTAAGGGTTATGCGAGGGCTGCATTTATACCTGATACCTGTTTGCTTATGCAATTGTGCAACATTGATCACGTGTTATGTTGCTAACAGGTATCAGGTTATGATTTAAGGGTTATGCGAGCGCTGCATTTATACCTGACACCAACTTCAGCATGTATCCCTCGAATGTTACCGTTTCTTAACTTAATAACAGGTGACAGATATATGTATATCGGGTCTGAAATATTAACCTTTGCGATAACCTTTTAATTTTATTGGAGAGTCTGCAATTCAGCAGAGGCTAAGAGAAGTCAATTGCCAATTGCAGAATTGGTCAGATATATCTTACATCAGCTATATATGTAAATTCAAAACATATTAGTAATATAAAAAATGTGAAGCCCATATATGAAATACTAAAAAAGTATTAATTTATATTCAAAATATTAATACGCCCTTTATAAAATATAGTTGTCGGATTTTCATAATATCAATATTAAAATTTTAGAATCCTAAAAATGCCATACTCGAAGAATGTGAAATATGTTGATAATTGTCGAAGTTCGACTTTTTTCTTGTAATTCTTCGATCGTTCCTATGGCAGCTATAATATATAGTCGTCCGATTTTCATAAAACTAAATATTACATTTTAAAATAATACAAAATGGCCATATCTCAAAAAAGATAAATATTCGTTGAAAAACAAAGAAGTTATAATTTTTTTCTATATATAGTTGTTGATATAGTTGTCCGATTTTCATAAAATTAAATATGAAATTATAAAATAATACAAGATGACACTATCTCAAAAAAGATAAAAATTCGTTGAAAAACAAAGATGTTGTAATTTTTTTTCTATTAATTTCCGGATCGTTCCTATGGCAGCTATATGATATAGTCGTCCGATATTCATAAAATTTTTACCAAAATTCAGGAATAATATAAAATGGTCATATTTAAAAAATAGTGCAAATATGTTGAAAAACAGCAAAGTTATAATTTTTTTTCTAAAAATTTATCAAACATTTGTATGGCAGCTATATGATATAGTCGTCCGATCCGGCCCGTTCCGACATATATAGCAGTGAGAGCATATAGAAGACTATATGCAAAGTTTCATTCAGATAGCTTTAAAACTGAGGGACTAGTTTGCGTAGAAACAGACAGACAGACAGACGGACAGACGGACAGACAGACAGACGGACAGACGGACAGACAGACAGACGGACAGACGGACATGGCTAGATCGACTCGGCTGTTGATGCTGATCAAGAATATATATACTTTATAGGGTCGGAAACGTCTCCTTCACTGCGTTGCAAACTTCTGACTGAAATTATAATACCCTGCAAGGGTATAAAAATCCCCCGCTGAAAACTGTTTTTCGAACGCACGTGCGGTTTCTTGCGGCTTCCGTTCGTTGTTCGCTTTTGTTTTTATATGCAAATAGCCGTTAAAACAAATTATACAGATACAGATATAGATTTGTTATCCGTTTCTGCTTAACAAATTATATAATTTGCCATAAAAACAACTAACGTTGTTCGTTAGTTGTCGCTGCGGTTAAACGTCGAGTGCAAAAAGAGGTGGGTTTCACATTTAATGCAAATATTATTAACAAACCGTAGCGAGTGTGTTGCATTTACAATTATTTATTGCCAAGTGACGGTTAATTAAGCCAAAATCGAGATTATTCTGGTTTTCTAATGAGGTGTTAAAGGGTTTTTAGGGAGTAGTGAGAGTTTTAATGTTGATTAAAGGATGATTTATTTGCAAATGAGAGTGAGTGCGTGTCTTTAAAGTTGTAATGTAAAATATTTAATTAAATAAAAAAAATCGTTTTTAAAGCTTTAATGTAAAATATTTAATAAAATTAAAAAATTGAATGATAATTATAATTAAACAAAATTTGAAACGGTTTAGTTTTATGGTTTATACATACAATAATTTCTATGCTCTATTAGTTTGATGGTTTTCTTAGCTAAAAAGTGAGTGATTTTCTTATAAAAGTGACATAAATTTATATATTAATAAATAAAAGTTCTTGTGTTATAAAATTAAATAAAATAAAATATAAGTTTTATAGGTTAAGACATTTATTTAACACAATTTATTAAATAAAAAGTTGATTTTTTACTTGAAATGAAAGGGTTTCGTAACTATTAATATTCAAATAATAATAGTATTTATTTTTTAACACTATGAAAATATATTTTTAATAAAATATAATATTTAACTAGTTAATCAAACAGTTAAGCTAAATACAAATTACAGTAATTTAAACTGTTTTTGGTAACAAAAATTTAAAATAATACAAAAATTAATAGTTAAGTTTCCCTCTAATTAATTATCAAACTATTAACTCATAATTAAGTTTCAATCGTGAAACCAAGATTAACGCAACAGTTGCGATAAAAACAACAAAAATTAAACTAAACTAAACAGTGAAACTGATACATCATCAACCACATTGTGGGTTCTCTGTAAACAAAAAAAAAAAAAAAAAAAAAACACGCAAATTAAGCAATTATTTGTTGTTCCGATAAATGTATACAATGTTGTATTGGCTTTTCGGTGACTAATAATATGGGTTATAGCCGTATAACAGCTTTTATGCGAGATGCTGCTGACCTCCCTCCTAGTCGAGGAAACTGCGAGAAAACTCAGCCCAGGCTAATTTTTATACGGGTTTATTTTGTATATAGAAAAGTCGGAAGATGATGACGTGCGTATATAGAAGTCGTATATAGTCAATGCCCACACAACAGATGCCGTTTTTCATTGGGTTAATAACATACCCAATATTGTCCCAGGCAAGGACAATAATAATTTGGTGTGTCCTTGCCTACATATGGGTATGGGTGTCTCTTGTACACATGCGGGTGTTGAGTGTGTTTTGTTTTATTTCTTTTTTTGTAGTTGTTGCCTAGACGCCAGCAAATATTTGCACCACAAATTGACTAAAACGACTCGCGGTGTACAAACCAAAACTTAATTGATTGGACCAAGTCGTCAAGTTGCTAGGCACTGCTGACTTCAGTCCTAAGTTTGTATGCCACGTGTGTGTCTGACGATAATTAGCATGCAGCAAATCGCATAAAGCTAACGAATTTTCCACCCCGGGAAATTTATAGCGGCGCCAGCAGATATGAACAGGGAAAGATAGCAGAAGTTGGCAAGAAAATATGATAGAGGGATTTTATAAAAAATATATATATATAAAGAGGAAGGTTTTAGAAGCTACAAAATTTCGTTTGTTATTAAGAATAAAATAGGAACATAACTTAAAAATTATTTTATAATATTTTAACATGCACTAAATTAATAATATATAGTTATAAAGTGTAAAACAGTCGATCTTAAATCTTCAAATGGGGGTTTTCTTGGAATAAAAAATATATTTATTGTAGATAAAATTCTTCCCCTTCTGCAATTCTTAGTTATAAGCTTAAAAATTACTGTGAAAATCAGAGTCTGAATCATAAAAATTAAGAGCCTGTCAAGCTGATAGCTCTATCTATATTTTTTCGGGGATCTTTTCCCTTACCAATTTTGTCTAAAAAAAAGCCAAGTTAGCACAACTTCCACTGAGTGTCGTCCGTGTGTGTTCCCCATTCTCGTGTCTCAATTATATTTAGCATTTTCTCTGATTTCTCGAGGCGGCATATATTTGAAGACGCAGACGGGAACGATAACGGGCCATGCCGGCGATAAGAGCTGGAGAGGATCACGGTCAGGGAGGGGGAAATCCGGTATAGTTATGAATGAGCTAAACTAAGCAGTCTCGGTCTGTGATATAATTGCCTTGAGTCATGGGACAGACACGCCGCCACTTGGACCTCCTTATTGGTGGGCACATTCAGGTACAAACACGAGACACCACCGGCGATAAGATTAGATACCGAAAATCGTTTCGGTTACTCCGGAAAAAAGTTTCATTAACTTTTCAGACTATTAATATATCGTTCGATTTGGTTTTTTTTTCTCCAGATTTTTATCTTATTTCGTTTTCAATTTAAAAGACAATTTGCTGATTTCTGGTATATTTCCATTTGCAGAGGCAGACGTCATGTCCAACACGGAGAAAGGAGGACTGCACAGAGTGCGAAGTAAGTAGATAAACGTGTAAATGATATCACCTGTGAAAATTCCCAAAATGCCAGTTAGAATACAGGTGAACTTCTATAGATGGGAATAACGTATAAATTGTGAAATTAATGTTTATTTACCTTCATAACAGAGCGAACTTTCCAGAATTCAATTTTGTCATATATAAATGATGATACTTAAAAAATGTAGTAGTGTTAAAATTATTGGTGCTTCTAAGTGCACATATTTTAATTTTAAGTCTTCTTTTTTAATAGTAAAAAAAATTATTTGCCTTTCAAAAGCTTTTAAAGATGTACCAACATTTTAAAGATAACAAATGATCCTGAAAGACTTTAAATACATAAACAAATCATTTTTATTTTAATAAAAAAAGTTTTAATTCTCTTAATTATAAATATAAGTTATATAACATAGTTCTGTTAATTAGCCAAGTTAATTTGCAAAATATATTCCAACCTGCTGTCGTGGCCACCGAAAATGCCAGAACAAAGTGTCAGTTAACCGCACCGAAGCCGCAGCCGAGCCCCTTTTTTTTGTTGTTGCCTCTAGACGCGCATCGATAACAGGGCCCAGAAACCGCACATGACGACATTGTAAAAAAATATAGGAGAAAAATACAAAAATGGGGCGCGCCATGGTCACCAGTTGGCCAATTGAATTGAGATTCGGTTAACATAAACAAATTGAGCAGGAGAAACAGTTGGCTTCACGGTTTGATGACTATTTGATTGGTGTCAACGAGACAAGTCGAATTGAGGTTACAAATCAATTGGGCGATGAATGTGAAGGAGGCTGGCTCATTTTGATTGATAAATTCAATGCTGATTGAGTATCGCTTTTCCGCTAGTCCTTTTGTGGAGGAAAAACTAAGGGAGGGAAGTTTTATATTGGGGCTAGGAGCTATATTTCTGGATATATTTCATTCAAATACTATTCTAAAAATCATCAGGAACTAAATAGAATTTTAAAAATCCTTGTAATTTCTGTAGTTTTTGTATTTACTCTGGGAATAAAATATATCCATATAAACCACAAATAAATTAAACCAAAAGCTCTCTGATTATGTTATATATAAAATCCATATATCAATATAATTAACCCACCTTTATCGTGGGCTATTGTTGAAGGTGCGATATGCGTAGAGCCCTTTCTGTGTCAATCTAAAAATAGCCAGAAATGAAATCGTTACGCCCTCTGTCCGTCACCTTGTCACACTTTTTCGGAACGGACTCCGCCACCGATCTTTGACATCGTAGATATATATACATATCTACATACGTGTATATCCCATCCTGTGCGTGACACTCCTCCCATGTCCGAAGCGGTATGACATCGATATGGACTATCGCCCACGCCCACGCCTGGTGACTCTCCAGTTGGTCGCTGCGCAGTTGGTCGACCTCATGACGCCATTGTTATGACATTTCCGAGGAGCAACTCACTCGCATAAACTATGCAAACAAATTAGCGCAGTCACGCTAACTAAACACACTGGAAATGCTGTCAATGAAATCGGCGTTATTCCGCATGGAAAGTTTGGTTCATGGACTTAATTCTGAGTACAGTACGTTTCGCAATTAATTGTCGATTCAATTCGATTGTTGTTGTAGCGAAATTTTTAATAGTCCATCAGCTATGGTCATCCGACTGTTTACTGTTTAATTCGTACATTTGCTCATGAGCTATTTAGCACTTTAGAGTCAGACAATCAGCCAGACAGGCCTAGGAGGGGGAGGAGTCTCTGTCAAGTGGGGGGCAGTGGGTGCTCGATCGCATGCCCGAGTGCACATTCCGTCGACCCCGTGAACACACATTGTTGGGTTGTAGATAATTCGAAAAGCTCTAACCAAAAATCAAAGCGGGCAATTAGCAGGAGGCTAAAGTCATGGGAGCCGGTGCAGGCAGGTGAGAAATGCGTCTGACGAAACGCACTTTATTTCGGAACAGTAATAAAGAAAGGCTTTTGAAATTTGTAATTTTCTATTACATTTAACATACAGAATATGTACCCATATTTTTAAATATTTATCCTCATTTTTAACAATTTTAAATTCGAAGATTTTATACAGAAAACTATTCTAGTCTTTAAATTAAAAGTTAAACTTAATGAAATGAAATGGACGGCTAAAAGAAATATATACAATATTATTATTTAATAAAATTTCTTGGAAAATTGTATTAAAGAAAAGTTGAATAAATTATTTATAAAACCTAAACTCTCCCTAATAACTATATAAAAACAACTGTATCTCAGTTTATACCATGTAATTACAGGGAATTTAAACAGTTTGTTTGTGAAAAAACTCAGTTAAAGTGATTCAATTAACATTTAAAATTTAAATTAAAATAATGCAATGCAATTCGTTTAGAGTATTGCCATTCATTACAGACTCGTGTAATTTGCACCCACGCCCCAACCTTGCCCTGAACTGAACTGTAGATATAGCAATTATACATGGCTAGGTGTGATTCATGATAGACTTTTATGGTTTTTTTAGTATTAATATTATTGATTGGCATTGTACTTTGTTTAGGTTGACGAAGGTGCTTAAGTGATTTAGAGGATACGATAAAGGAGAAATATAATAAATGAAGGATTTATAAGCGGAAAAACCTTAAAGGTTTTGGTAAATAAAGAATAAAGTGCTTTAAATTAATAAATTATGATTATAAAAATGAATTGCTAAATAAGCAGTTCTTAAAATAATTTTCTTTCTCGTTGGAAAAATATAAAAGCAATGGAAAACCTTTTAAATAAAATATTTTAAACGTTTTTTGTAAGGCTAAAAATCGTCAAGTAAAAACCTATTTAAAATCAAGTGCTATAATTGGTGGGCTCTCAATTTTGTATATTTTTTGCCACTCTAAAAATGTTATTCACCTTAAATATTTTACACTAATTCGAGCAACAAAAAAAGCTTTCAGAGGCAATTTAATATATTTGTTTTGCGTACTAAATAAGCAGTAGTACTTAATTTTCTAGGGAATAAGTCTAGTTTGGTTTAGAAACCGAAACAATTCCCCGCCGAACTGCTTATCAGAGTTCCCCCTGGAGGAATGGCATTAGAACTCGCATTTGAATCCCACATTTGAATCAGTGGGGCCGGGCGGGTATTCACCCATGGCAACAGACTTCGGGTCGTCACCGTCGTCTGGAATTAATCAAACAGCTCCCAGGCTAAGCCCCGGCCACAAGTAATGAATAATGAGCATGTGCTTTATTCATTCCGCTTCTACGATAAATTGTTATTAAACTTTTGCCAATATGACGCTGTGTGTTTGCTATACCCTTCAATATATATATATTGATGAATGACATGAGAAGGCAACTCCCAACGTTCGATTGTTCTGTCATTATGGTTAAATATGCATTAATTAAGACACGACAGGTCCAGTTTTTGTTTTTTTCGTCTTTCTCAATAACAAAAAATTGATTTTAATTGACGTAATTGAATTTCTTGGAATTTTTGGAGTTGTTTACGCTGAAATTGTAAGGTTTGTACTGCAGTTTGCTTGTAATTTCAGGTTGTACTCGGGTTTTTTTCAGTACTTCCGTTGCACATGGCACACTTTTTAATGGCTCTATTTAAAGGGGCGAACTACTAACAACCAGAAATTTCAAGTATGCCGGCAATTATGCGTCGCTAAATTAATCAAACGATCTGGTGTGCCCTCAGACAGTGGAAAACAATGCTGGCTTTGACCCACGAGACCCCGGGGAATAATCGAGCTCTCTCGCCGGACACTTGTCTGAATGCGATAATCAACGAAAAAGTTGAGACGAAGTAGAGCTTCCATTTCATTTTATTTAATTTCATTTCATTTCCATTGATAAGTTACCGAAACCCATAATATTTTTATACACTCATGTTTAAATATAGTCCAAGTCCGGCCCCTGGTTTGCCAAGGCAAGGCGTGTCTTAGTTTTATGAGCTTGGCGAGTGCCAAAGTTCAGGAAATAATTATAGTTTTCGACTATTGGCGAAATAGCACGCTGATAGTGTTTATGAATCCCAGAAAACAATAAGGCCGCCAGAGTCCACTGAACGAACGACGACGACGACGAGCCCCTTTTTATATATTTTTTTTTTTTGCCAGCTATATACTATATATATGCATATGGCTAGAGATAGAGAAGGGGCAGTTGGAGACCCCGTGACAAGTTGTTTACAACCTGTAGCTCTTCATTAGCCCGGCACGTGTGTGCATGTCTGAGATACGGATACGTGGAGTGCAGAGGAAGTGACAGCTTCAAGATACATTTATGAGGAGGGAAAAATAAGCATTGCTTATGCTGGTTTCAAGAGGTTTCAGAGGCACAGGGAAAAATTAGAGAGATTCTATAGTTAAGAAAGATTTTATTTGGTATTTTTGAGATTGGAAATAAAGGAATTTTCTAGTAAAGAACTTGTAGAACCCCGATTATATTTCCTTTTTCTTATATATATCTTATGATAAAATTCCTTACAATTCCTATCTCAAACTTTATTTATTACTGTGTAACAAATACTGAGAATCAGAGATTAAGATAGTGCCTTTTATGACGTTTACTTTGGCGAATTTACAGCTTTAGAGTCAATAAAAGATTTTTGATTTCCTGCCAGAGAAACAGTCTGCAAAGCCAACAATTTGCCAGACATTATCATCATCAGTCTGGGACGATGTTGTAAATCTATATGAGATTGCACTTTGGCCGCAACAAAGCGCGACAAGTGCAATTGTAAATTTCCATGGAAGATTTCTCTCTGAAAGGCAAGGAGCGACGGCGTCGAATCAAATCTAGGACAATGCTGTGGCACTGGAGACCCTTGGAAAGGCCAATAAATCTCACACAATGCAGCTGGGAAATCACCCAACAATAAAGTGATAAGAATACACACAGACGGACAGACAGACAGACACTCGAAGAAGGGTGTGTATGGCTTTAACAAACAGCAATTGGCACGATAATTCAGCAATTAATTAGCTTATTGCATTGTTGAAGTAGAACCAGTTCCACATGAACATGGCAATTGGCCAGGCAAACAACACAAGGCGCACACGACCACGAAAACAAACAAAAAGCGCTTGGAATGGGTATTGGAATCGAGAGTCTCTAGCATCTAGAGCCTAGAAGCCACTCGATGTGAACGAGGCCAGTTCCGTAAATCAGTTAGAAACGGAAATGCAGTTAGCCAGCATAACAAAGCCAATAATTGCCGCTAGAAGGCGACAGGCGGCAATGTCATCCAACCGACAAAACAATGTAGTATATAGGTATAGATATAGACAAGTGTACGTATGGTCTGTCACGAGTTTACAAGTACAGTGCATTTTGCAGTATTTTAATTAATGGAAAGCTATTAGTTTTAGGATTATTAGTGCCAAATCTAAGGTGTTTTGGCAATTAATTAATGGATTATTAATAAATGATATTTGTAATTATAGGAATTGGGACTTATTTTCAAAGATGTGATATTGATTTTAATATGGAAATTATTAATCAAATGAAAATTATTAGAATATTATTTAGAAAGCAATATCTTGGCTCATTTATATAAATTAAAATAGTTTTTGGTGCATAATTAAATAATAATTGATGACTATTGTTGATATATTTTATTTTAACAATGTTTTTATAATCGTTAATAAAATATTTTCTTGGCTAGCTTGCTTACAAATATACATCATATATAGTCCACAACGATTTTCTCTTAAATAAATTCAGACAGCTCACAATAATCGATCACTACATATATATCTATACTATATAGAGTGCATACGTTAATGGACACAATTCGCAAAATGACCTTAGATGCTTTAATTTCCGTTTATTTCGCTGAAGGTCTTTGTGATCATTCTTAAAGATATTCCAAATAAAAAACCATATGAAGCCCACTGTAAACATGATCAAGTTTTCCATATGCCATTGTAAAGAATATGTTTTCTTAAATAGATATTATTTGTTAAATATCAGTGACTAGTAATCGAGAACTTCCAGTAATAGCAATTAGTGTATCTACCATATGTGGGTGTGATGATGGTGCTGCGGCTAGAAAACAGATCAGAAAAGTGGGCTCGTGGTTGGCGCGCCTTCGCCATAACTCATACGCAGCGTTGCCAGCGCCTGTCCCAGTCCCCAGTCCCATGACAAAAAATTGACTTGGCACCTTGACAGAATAGTGCGCATTATTAGTGTGACGTCGATGGACGGACTTTTAACCGAATTTCACAACAACGACAAGGCTGGCAAACAGGAACGTCAGTGGAAAATTTTCATGGGAGGCCCACGCAAAAGTTGAGGACATTCCACCAGATCACATGCGATTTTGTATTATTTCTTTTTTTCTTGGCGAAGAGAAAATATATAAAATCAATGACGATATAGGTGGTTAACTTTCACCGCCACTCTCACCCGGTTCCCCCCATTTTGGCGGTGATTTGTGAACCATTTTTGAAGGTCAGGAATCGTGAGAGCGAACAGAGAACCAAGAGCTAAGAGTATGGGATTATCGGAGGAGGGTGTGTACCCAGTGCCCGCATTCAAAGATCTTGCCTCTATATAAAAATAGAATGCCGAAAGTGTAAAGGAAAGCGGCAATCTACACAGATAAAACAGATAGAATATAGCATACTATATAGAATAGAAGAAACGACAGACGAAAATGTACTTAGAAATGTTTTAAAATTTTGCATTTGCGTCAACTAAAAGTGCCGGATATGCGTATTTTTGAAATAATTTAAATACAAACAAAATATCACTCATCTTCCCTTCAAGTGCTGAGTTTTAATTAACGAATTTGTTGAATAATTCGGCAGTTTCCCTTCTCGAGAAATCAATGAACCCCAAATTCACTTGTTGCCTCGCGCCATAAAAATTAAAGTAATTCCAGTATCACGTTTTCGTTTTTTTTTTGCCAGCTATTTATAAGTTTCTGCCCTTCTTCGATGGGGTCTCTTTTTTTTATGTATTTCAGGGGAACTTGTTTCAGCCAATAAATGCTTTAAGATTCAGTGCGAAAAAAAGTGAAAAAGATCTTTAAGTTCAGGCTCCGCTTTCAATGTTTAATTTGAAAATTCCCAGAAACCGTTTGTCAAACCCAAATATTGTGGAGCTTTTTTAGCCGGTTTTGGGTTGTAAACATCAAGCTTTAGCCTTCGGCTAATTTATTGCCAAAAAAAAAAAAAGGAGAAGATGAACTGAAACAGAAACAAAAAAAAAAATAGTTTTTAGCGGCAAACAAAAGAAATCCAAAAGAACAGTTCGAGGCGACAATTAATCAAGAGGCCTTTGCTCGGAGGCAAACGAGTTTATTATTTGAGCTATTAAAATTCTTGGAAGGAGCTACGACTCTGGTGACTAAGATCTGCTTAGAGAAAACCCTTGATGAGTTCATTAAGATAAATTAGAGTCCATATACAAATTTAATTCCATCAAATTATCAACGGGATTGCCTTTTTAATTAGAAGATAATTTAATAAAGTTGGTTAACTGGAATGAAACTTGAATATACTTGAAATATCTTCATACATTTTGTTATTAATTTTTAGAAATTGAACCTTAGTTCTTAATTTGCTGAATTTGTATAGAACTCAGTTTTTTATAATTTTCGATTCATAATAAAATCCTCCCTGAAACTGGAATCCATCCTTGGTAATTTGCGGCACACGCTCTTTTAGCATCGGTTTTTTGTTTTTAGTAGAGGTGTCAGGTGTCAAGACATGCCCCAGAAATTAACAGAGACCAATAAGTCGTTCGTTAATGATCTAAACTTTCCCATTGACGTAGACCCAAAAAACTCTAAAAACTCTGGCTTCGATCCTAATCCAAAACTGGTCGAAGTTGGTGTTATATATCTGAAACCTTGCCGATTTTTTGCGTTGTGTATTATTTCGGGCACGTATTTCTGGTTATATGGATTTGAGAATTTATAGCAAACATGACTAGTTATTTTTGTATTTTATTCTTATTTTTTTGATGGCTCAGTTTCGGTTATTTTCGAGTGCTAATTTGAATACAAGTTGAGTGTGTCTCGGTTTATTGTTGCGCCGCCGCTTTTGATGGAGCTCGACGATGTCTAGACTAGAGTGCTGTTTTTTTTAAACCATTTTGCATGACATTAACATGATATTGAGGCTATAATCTGCTACCTGTGGAGGGGGTGGGCGTGTATACCTGGCCAGACAGCCGATAGACTAGCCCCGACTGGACTAGTCTGCTGTCCAGATGATAGCGAATCTCCAGCTGCCGCTGGGAAAGTCGTCTGGAGCGAGTTTATCGCCGATCAATAAGCCTTCGGTCAGATTATAAATTTACACGAAAAATAATACAAAAACCCAATGGAGTTCAACGGCACTCGAAATTTATATATTTTTCGATTCCGAGCAATGCACTTTGCCACTTAATAACCGCCCCAAAAAGAGAGTCCGCTGACACTCAGCGAGAGATGACAGGCGGAAAGCGGCCGGCAGTGATTATGGGTCGCCACTTAATGATCCTCCTGAATATAAGTTACAAAAAGCTGATTCAACTCCAAGAGTCGCTGCACCCACTCAGACAGTTTCGATCCTCAAATCAAATTCATATGCCTTTCGGTGTGTGTTTTGCTATTGAGGTCACATCCCCGGCAGAGTTGTCACTGCGATTTTATTGGCCCATTAGTTGCGGGTAATTAATGCGTTTATCTGGGCCTGGTATCGTGTAATGAAAACAACCGATTACATCAGATAATTATAGGTTGGGGTGATCAGGGCGAAACCTGATAGCATTTTAGTTTTACATGATTGTTAACGAAATTTTTGTAAGGGTTTATAATGCGGATTTAAATGGGAACGATTTATGTAGATTAAGGTGGCGTTTTTTATTGGAGTAACTGGATTGCTGATGATTAATTTTGAATTAAAAACCCATATTAATTATCTCTATTTCGATTTACATGATTGTTAACAAACATTTTTTAATGGATTTATATGAAGAGATTTACATATGTAGGTTATTCTTCTCAAGTATTCCCCGCTGTCATATGCTAAGTAAAGCCAAGTTTTGTTATCAGAAATTGGGTTTGCTTCGGTTTCCAGTGGCTCTAGTCAGTGGCCTGATGTTCTCGTTCGCTTTTGGAAATATTCCAATGGCGAATTTTAAGTGTCCAACCTTTTGGACGACCCAGAGTCTCGGTTTATATTTTTGCCAGTAGCAATGCCCGCCGACCTTGCTTCATACCTTATCTAATGCCAACTTTCTTGCTTCTCTTCCAGACTTCCTGTCATGCCGCCAAGTGCTGAACCTGCTGACCATGCTCGGCTTCATGCTGAACTATGCCCTCAGAGTCAATCTTACCATAGCCATTGTGGACATGGTCCGGCCAAATGTCACTGCCTCCTCTGGTAATGGAACTCTGGCGGGGAATGGCACGACGGGTAATAGTTCCTCCTCCGTCACCACATCCAGCCCGGATGGCGTGGATGTGTACGAAGAGCGCTTCCCCTGGGACACTTACCAGACCAACTTTGTGCTGGGCTGCTTCTTCTGGGGCTACATTCTCACTGAGCTGCCTGGCGGTCGCCTGGCTGAGCTTATTGGCGGTCGCCGCGTCTTTGGACATTCCATGCTGTGGGCCAGTCTGCTGACCCTGATCACGCCGCTGGCGGCGCACATTAACTATGTGGTTTTGATTGTGGTGCGAGTGGTGCTTGGTTTCATGCTGGGCGCTTCCTGGCCAGCCATTCACCCGGTGGCCGCCGTCTGGATTCCGCCCATGGAGCGCTCCAAGTTTATGTCTAATATGATGGGTAGGTTTTTTGACTCTTTTCTTGTTTGTTTAATATTTATTTGATTTATTATTGTTATATCTTATAGCCTCCTCTCTGGGCGCTGCCATAACCATGCCCATCTGCGGCTACCTGATCTCCGTTGCTGGCTGGGCCAGCGTCTTCTATCTGACAGGAGCCGTGGGTTTGCTTTGGTCCTTGGCCTGGTTTACCTTTGTTTATGAGACTCCTGCCACACATCCCCGCATTACGGCCGAGGAAAGGCGTGAGATTGAGGAGGCCATTGGCACAACCACCTCCAAGAAGCGTCCTAGCCACGTGCCCTGGGGCCAGCTTCTCTGCTCGCCCGCCGTCTGGGCCATCATCATCTGTCACGGCCTGGCTGTGTTTGGCTTCTTCACAGTGGTCAATCAGCTGCCCACGTTCATGTCCCAGATCCTGCATTTCGACATCAAGCAGGTGAGTTAATTGACTGACAGTTGGACTTTATCTTTACTAATAATCAATGACCTTCTGCAGAACGGCCTGTTCTCGTCGCTGCCTTATCTGGGCAAGTACGTCATGGCTGTGGCCTCGTCCTACCTGGCTGATTACCTGCGCAAGAAGGGGACACTGAGCACGACAGCCACCAGGAAGCTGTTTACGACTTTTGGTGAGTGGAAAATTAAATAAATGAGAATTTATAAATAAAGTAAATTGTGGAAAATTAAGGCAGAGTTTTGGTATTAAAAATATATAAGATAGAGTCTTGCAAAAGGATTTAATTTTTGTGTTATTAAGCCAAAGAAAGTGCCAAAAAATTATAATTAAAACAATAAAAATTAAAGGTTTTATGTTTATGGTTTATGTTGACGTTTTTGTATTAAAAGCCTTTGCTAATAATTTCATTTGTTGATATATAACTAATTTGGCACTTAAATATTACTTATTGACTAAGCCAACAAAATCTCATAAATTCTATGCGACGTTTTTCTTGGAAAAAACGCTTTCAAAAAACCTAATACCAGAGCCAAAATAAATAAACTGCAGACTATAAGTAAAAAGAATACAAATATATATAAGTTCAAGTTCAACAGAAATAGAATTTTGTGCTGGCTCTGGTTAAGGAATTATTCCTAATTTAAATAATTATTTTGTTTTGTAAAATGCTAACAAATACTTTTACTATCATCTTTAATAAATAGATAAAATGTTCTTTTAATTACAGCTCTTGTCATTCCCGGCCTGCTGATGATTCTGCAGGTGTTCCTAGGCTATGATGCCACTTGGTCTGTCACCATCTTCTCGCTAGCCCTGTTTGCCCATGGAGCTGTTACTGCTGGCTATCTGGGCAATGGTTTGGATATTGCACCCAACTTTGGTGGTACCATTTTCGGACTGGCCAACACTCTGTCCTCCTTTGGTGGTTTCCTGTCCACGTGGATGGTGGGGGCCCTCACCTACCACGATGTAAGTTTAATTCTCCAATAAACCCTTGGGTATCTTTATTAATTTGTATATATATTTCCATATTCTCCAGAAATCCTTCCATCAATGGCAAATTGTTTTCTGGATTTTGGGTGCCACCTACATCTCGGGAGCCGTGGTCTTTGCCATTCTTGGCAGTGGCGAACTGCAGCCCTGGAACAACCCACCAGAGCGCGTCAAGATCAGCGATGTTACCCAAGAGGAGGGTGTGCCGCTCAAGAATGAAAAGTGAAGAGGAAACTCTCAGTGTGAAAATGGCAAGAAAAGGAAAACCAATGCGAGCTGAGCATCCCACCACCAGCACCTATACACATCATCCGCACAAGTTATAGTTGTTGCTACCGAGCACGTCTGAGATTTACGAGGTTTTCGTTTTTTCCTAACCAGGAGAAAAACATGAATGAAAGACATTATTTTTTAGAGATACTGTGCGAGGTTTCTTCAAACAAAAACTAAAAAACATACACACAAAAACTCTCATACAACCAACACTGTACACCGATGCCCATGTCTGCTTTATGGAAATTGACTATATTTATAAGTAATATTTACTTTAGAGCTAGCTCCGCGAGAGCTACTTACGTCTATGTCTGTAACTGTAACAATATGCATATATATATGTATATATGTATCTGTAGCCTAAATGATTATAGTATTCTGTATGTCCGCAGAGAGCATGGAGGAGAACAGGATCTGCTCTGTGCTCGATATGTTTCGTTTAATTTATATTAAAAAGTAGCCCCAACTATGGTTTAGCTTAGATAAACAAAAAATACAATAATTATGCAAGTAGCAGAAATATAAATACATACAGATACGCCGATAGTGTAGCTAAGTTGATATTAAATCATAATATAACTTTGTACTATACTTTGCTTATTTATGTAATTAATTTAAACATTTTCTAAGTTCATAATAAAAAGTAACTCGGAAAAAAAATGAAAAGAAGAAGTCAAGCTATTATTTAGCTGAATGTTAAAAATGTTTTTTATATATGTGAAATATAAAGGGGAAGAGGGAGGGGAAGGGTTTTTTGTTAAACAAAAACGTAGACTTGAATGAAGCCTACATTGCAGTTTAACTTCAACTTTTTGAACGATTGCAAAATGACTTTAATTATATTATAAAAATATTAAGAATATATTTTATAGCTGCTTAAATATACATAGTTTAAAGAACATTCTCGACAAAATTCTTCTTCATGGAAATTTACTTTCTAATAAATGAAGAAACTTTCAGTTTTTACGGTTTTTTAAATATATATTCACACATATTTAGGCAATATTTTTTAAAACTAAATATATTTTAAATGCAATTCTTTTATATTTCCAAGTAACGACACATTTTTATATTTGTTAGCCAATTTTATTTTACAAACAACTTTTTACATGTATCGAAAATAAAGTTTAAAATTCTGCCTACTTTTAAGAGCCGGAAATAGTCATATCTTTTTTTCGCCAAATTTAAAGCATACTCTTCGGCAAAACATAAAGACAAAAATTTCCCTAACTTAAGTTTAAAGTTGTTTTTATTTACAGAAAACGTAGCTAAGCCAGACTACACACAGATTTGCTAAGCACCCATAAACACACACAGACACCAGTGTATGTGTATATATAATTAATTAATTAATTAGTAACTAGAGTTAGTTGCACAACCTAAGTATCCAGACTGACGTCCATCAGCTCCCTGGTGATCTCACTTTGGCTCTTCACGGGCTCAGAATTCCCATTGCTCAGCGTGTTGGTGTCCTGTGAGAGAGCAGGCGGTGGCAGCTTGAAGCCACTGGGTCCGCCCAGGTTAAGGGAGCCTCCAGTGAAGGTAGGAGCAGGAGGAGGAGAAGAAGGTTCAGGAGGTGGCCCTGTGGTGCTACTGGTACTAGTGGTGGCCATCTTGTAGAGCAACTGCAGCTGCTGCATGGCGCTGGTGGGATCTTGCAGCTGCGGTAATGAACTTTCTTTTACCGGCCGGCTCTTGACCTGATCCTTGGGCTTTTGAGGCCTCTGTGGCTTTTGCGGTTTCATGCCATTGGACCAGGTCTCCAGCCAGCTGGCCGCATTCCTTTCCGTGGAGGTCATTAACATTTTGGCCTCCTCTTTCACCTGCTGGCGGTAGAGCTGTCGCAGCAGGGCCTTCTGGTCGCTGGAGCTCACCTGGCGCTTGTTGAACGACTGATCATCCTGGCTGGGCTCGCCAATGGGTCGGGTCTCCTTCTGGGGGCCCAGCTCCACCATCACCTGGAAATCGGCATGCTCGCCCAGGCGAAAGCCAAAGCCCAAGCGGGAATCCGTTCCTGTTTTCAAGATTAAGATCTCATTATTCAACCAAAGAAGAGGAAAGTAATTAAGGAAGAAAGTAGGCTCACCCTTCTTGATCGGCGGTATGTTGGAGTAAACTATGGACAGTATAGAGGGCAGTTCCCTTGGCACAATGAAAGTGGATACGTCTTGGGCTGAAAGTATATGGAGGTATTTAATTGATTTTATCTGTCGAGCCCCTCTGCCCCAGCAGCACTTATGTAAATTTATTTATATTTCTTTTTTGCGCCAGTGATTTTTAGGTCGACTTATGTAACCGCGTTTATGGTCTTGGATTTTGGGCTTATGGATTCACAGATGAGTAACAAAGCGAATGCTTCAGGTTTTCACTGGTCTTGGGTTTGTCGTTTCACTTTGAAGGTCAGTATAAGTTCGGGAAGATCAAAGAATAATGAGTAGGGGTAATATTAATTTGTTATTTGCTTAAAAAACCAGGCAAAAGCTAGAAAACTAGTTTAGGTTTAATTTCATATAGTTTTGGGTTGCGGATCTTAACTTCAGTTATTGTTAATATAAATAATAGAATTTACAGAAATATTAAAACGATAATTCCAAGCTTATCCCGACCCTAAGAATCTGAATTTCTACTTATAATAAAAAGGTTTTAATTGTATTGTTTTCAATAGTAGAAACCATTTTCGGGAAATTATTTAACCTTGAATCGGAACATAGCTGAAAGGGTACTTAAGGTTACTTAAGAAAAGCTTGAATTAAAATTAAATTATTTCTTAATAAATAAATGTAAAGAAGCTAACAAAAGACTATTAAAAATCATGGCCATTCATAGGACAAAATAATTAATGAATCTAGAGTTCAGCGTGCTGAAAATCGTATTAAATGACTTAATGGTTTTGCTCTGTGTGCTTTGATCTTAATTAATTTGATCTCATTAATCCAACAATTAAATCGAGAACTATTAAGCAACTAATATTATAAAACTTTGGCCATTAGAGCAAAACCGCACTGTATTTCAACTGGATATTGGCGGCAATGAGAACTACACTCTCAAAAATTAGGGATTTAAATTTTAAAATTCTTTTAAATTAAGTTTTTTTTATATAAAGATTAAAGTGCAGTTTATGTTAAATTAAATTTGAAATAGATTAATTCTTTAATAGATATATTCAAAAATTAAATTCACATTTGCCCAATGATAATTTAAATTAAATGGCTTAAATTTTCTGCTTTTACAAATTAACCATTTAATTTATTTACTTTATCCAAACATTAATTTAAATCCAATTAACCTTAATTTATGCTCAATATTTTTTTCTGTGCATAGACTTGTCCCCAGACCGAACAACTTCAACGGCTATCCGGCGACCTTGACACAAAGACCGGCAACAAGTTGGGGCTCGGAACTCGCAGCTTGACTCTGGGTGCCAGAGTTAGAGTTTGGCCAAAGTACACTAGATGAATCCACTCGAGATCGCGAGGAGCAGCGACTCGTATGTGGTTGGACCGGATTTCGTGCGCATTAACTTACTGCATAGCAGGCCAAGTAGCAGCAGCGGCAGCCAGAGGCTAGCGAAGCCCCATTGTTTTGGCCAAGACATCATGGCCAGCCTGCAGCATTTATGTTGGGGAGGAAGGAGGTTGAGGAGCCGCCAATATTAACTGCAATTACACACAGACACCGTCGATTACTTCACACAAACCAGAGTTATAACAGATATTGGTAAGAAAAATATTGCAGAATTTCACAAGCACCAAACAGCCGAGTTTGCGCAACACTCAGAAACCAGACTGGCGACTTGAGGTTGGTCAGTTGCCGCTTGCTGTGCGGCTAACAGGTGCGTCATTTGGACAAATATTTGAAATATTTTGTTGCCAAGTTTTTTCGTTTTTAGCCGCTTTTGTTTACGCGATTTCGATTCCGATGCGATATGCAAACACACACGGCACACACACTCGGAGGCTAAAAATCCACAACCACTAGCAGAAAAAAAAACGTTGGGTTTGGAAATCACTCTCACTTTTGTTCAATGAGGTTTTGTCTTGTTGTTGTTTTACGCTTTTTGTTAAAAGTTTTTGTTGGTTTTTTTTGTTTGGTTTTTATTTTGTTTTTGGCCTGTCTTGGTACTGGGTTTTTCTTCTTTATTTATTTATATTTGTGCCTTGGTTTTTACTGCTTTTTTTTTTTGAGTTGGCCTTGTCTCGTTTTGGCTCTGATTGATTTCTGGCTTCTTTTGGCTACGGTTTATTTTATTATTTTGTGTCTGTAAAGTTTTCATTTACACGCTAACTGGCCAAAATTGCTGCTAATAACCTGAGCAAACATCGCGCAGAAATTTACGGATCGCATGAAAATGAAAGTTAGTTGACTCCAAAACGGTGTCTTGCTATTTTCGGCAAGGTAATGTAGCCAAAGCCCAGCCAACACATCGCACATACGAATGTCGTAATTAAACTAACGTATTTTCGGTTCGATTCACTGCAATTTGACGACTCGAGTCCGAGTTCCCTTCTCGATACAATTGACAATCCACAACCACTGACTACGGACAACTGGTCCGCTGCGCGTTTGCACGGCGACTGAGCCGAGATCGAGAGTGTGGCTTTCGGGCGTGCAACACGCGCTTAAAATTTTTCAGGGAGTTGGTGCTCTCCGCGGGAGTTGTGGCTTTACACTGAGAGAAAGTTTTAAATTTTTTTTAGGGTTTTTAAGGTTTGATTAAATTAAATGATAAAGGAAAAAAATTTTGTGGGTGGAAGGTTGTTTACCAAAATTAAAATAGATCATAACTGAGCCAAAAATGATTGAATTTCAATTCGGAAAGCTTTTCTATGCTAGTTTTTCATACGTTAACAAATCTGCATTCTGAATTTAAAGTTTTAAGAAATCAAAATTTTGGTCAAATTTTGAGAATTTTAACGATGTAACCCCTTATAAAATTTTAAAAAATATCAAAAATAAAATTTTTCTTCGGACATGGCTAGAAGGATTCGCCTGATGATGCCGATCAAGAATATATATGATTTATAGGGTCGGAAATGGCTTTTTCACTGCGTTTGAAGGTTGCGACTGGATTTATAATAAATATTTAAAATAGATTTTTCACAATTAATATTTTAATATTTTATGAATTTTCCTCTGTTGTTTTAAAAATGTTTATTAATGATTTTTCATTAAATATTATATATAGACTTTTTTGCTGTTCGTTTTATTTATTAAATATGCTTGTAGTGTTTATTTTTAATTTCAATATATTTCTCTCTCTGCACCGTAAATCACGTAACGTTGCGCGGTAGCTGCGCATGCGCATGCGTCGCCGCTCTCAGTTTCGTTGAAACTCGGCTTTAAAATGAGGCTGAAACTGAGTCTGAAACTGAGTCTGAAACTGAAGTTGAAACTGAAACTGAAACTGAGACCGGCTGTTGCCGTCTGCTCCATTAACGTCATCTCCGCCTCAAATTGGCGCACTTGGCCTGAGCCTGGGTCTTGCCTTCTGGGGTTTCTGTCATTTTTGTTGCTGTTGTCATTTCTTTATTTAGTTTATTTTTGGCACATTTTTGTGGCATTGTGAAAGGTTGCTTCAGGGCTTTACTTTTTTTGTAGTATTTTATTTTTTGCCAGTTAAGATATAGGAAAAATAAATTTAGTTTTGGTGGCGGCACTTGGTAGGAATTCATTGAGTTTATTGACGCCTACATACAGTGGGGATTAGGTTTAAGTTAAACACGATCAAATATTTTAAATATATCTATACTTTTCAAAAAAAATTGTGGTAAGTCTTGAGATTAAAATGATGTAGTAGAAACTAATGACTTTTATAATATTTTCTATTTGCACCTTAGGGCTTAGCATAAAGTACAAACTAAAGTTTAAACTATTAACGATTGGACTTTAAGCTTAAGTTAACCATTTGACAGTTTCTCAGGTTCATTGCACCCCATAATTACTTTACGTTTACTGGTTGTCGTACGCCCTAATATGCAAAAAAAAAAAAAACTAACATTTGCTGCCCAGTGAACCCAGACGCTACATACTATATTTTATGGTAATATACATATCCATATCTTATATATGCATATTTTGCATAACCCAAGGCAGACTGACTAGCTCACCACGCCCCCTTTAACGATAGCCAGTCTAATTAACTAAGACATGTGTATGTACATTTTGTTTAATTGCCCAAGCATAAAAATCCCAGACACGCAGTCAGGCCAAGAAAAGTGTTTATGTAATAGGCGTTGCCAGCCACACATGCAGGTACACAGAAAAAAAATATGTAAAGGCTTAATTAACCAGAAAATTTGATTCCTAATAAATAATACAAACATTTTATTGCTAAAAAACCATAAAGATAATTTATTACTTAGCAATAAGTTGCATATTTCCAAGTATATTCGTTTTTATTTTAACAATAAATTATATTAACCACTTTCCTAAATTTGTAATACCTTTTTGTAGTGTAAAAACTAGCTAGATGGTCAAAAAAGAAACAAAAAAGAATGGGTCAATGCATGAGATGCAAATAGTTTGTGAAACTGCGCCTGCATAATTGGCAATTGCAATTAATTGTCTTGGCTCAACTCGTTTGTGGCAATTGTTTGCTTTGCAATTGTAAAAAGCTGTGAAAATTCATGAAAATTAACTAGCAAAAAAGGGGAATGGTATGGGCAAATTGGCAAGCTGTCCCAAGTTAAATGACTGATTATGCTTTCTGCATGGTAGTCAATTTTTAAACGGTTTTTGTGGCATAATAGCAGGAGCAGTCGAAAAATAATTTAGTAAAAATATTATTAACTAATTACAGTGAAAACAAGAAAAAAAAGCGAACTTCCTTGCATGTTATAATTGTGTAAGGGATTAGTTTTAATTCAAGGTAAGACTTTTAGGCTGTCTTAAATATCACATAAATAAAAGTTTACAATTTTGTTACATTCTTTTTGGCGCCTAAATAAAAATGTTAACAAAAAAGTCTTTAAAAATTGCAACTAAAATGAAAAAAATATATTCATTAAACATGCCCCCCGTCAGTTCACCAAATTAGTCAACCTTTTGGTTTATTATTTACTGTCTAGCATAAAAAGCACAACAGACATTAAAATGGCACAAAAAGATGGAAGCCATAAAATTTTACAAATTTGGTGTCAGCAACTCCAGTTGTAAAATCATAAATGGTTGTTGATTTTTATACCCTTGCAGGGTATTATAATTTCAGTCAGAAGTTTGCAACGCAGTGAAGGAGACGTTTCCGACCCTATAAAGTATATATATTCTTGATCAGCATCAACAGCCGAGTCGATCTAGCCATGTCCGTCTGTCCGTCTGTCCGTCTGTCCGTCTGTCTGTCTGTCCGTCTGTCTGTCTGTCCGTCTGTCTGTCTGTCTGTTTCTACGCAAACTAGTCCCTCAGTTTTAAAGCTATCTGAATGAAACTTTGCATATAGTCTTCTAAATACTCTCACTGCTATATATGTCGGAACGGGCCGGATCGGACGACTATATCATATAGCTCCCATACAAATGTTCGATAAATTTTTAGAAAAAAAATTAAAACTTTGCTGTTTTTCAATATTTTTGCATCATTTTTGAGACATAGCCATTTTATATTATTCCAAAATTTTGGTAAAAATTTTATGAAAATCGGACGACTATATCTTATAGCTGCCATAGGAACGATCGGCAAATGAATAGGACAAAAATTATAACTTCGCTGTTTTTCAACATATTCTTATCTACTTTTAGATATAAGCTTCTATTATTATTTCAGAATTTTGGTAAAAATTTTATGAAAATCGGACAACTATATCATATAGCTGCCATATAAACGATCGGTAAATGTAGAGAAAATGTAAAGCTGGGAATGTAAAACTGTAACTGTCAAACTGTAAACATAATGAGTATAGGTAAAATGTAATGAAATAATATCTGCAAGGGTATACAAACTTCGGCGTGCCGAAGTTAGCTTCCTTTCTTGTTGCTTGTAAAATATGTACTTTAAATTTAGGTAAATAAACAGAAATATAAAAAAGTCTAACAAAACACATACATATAATATATCATCTAAAATAAAATATACCCGTAGCCTTAGCTTAATAAATAATTAAATAAAGAAAATACAATTTTGAAGAGCCATTAATAATTCAGAATAAAGTTTTAATACATTAATTTAGTTACCTGTTTTTTATCCAGTTTCTTCCCCAGAATTACCTCTACAGAATTCATTGTTTCATTTTTATTTAATTCGTATTCATACATTTAACATTTAACAATTGTTTCACAGTTCAGCGACATTATTAATTGTAAATAATTAATTTATATTAATTATAATTCTCTTAATTGTTGTTTGTTATTTAGACTACGCACTACACTAACAACGATGTGTAAAAATAAATGTATATTTAATATAATATTCTTCGTTTCTGTTTCTGTTTTTTGGTTTTTTGTATCTTTTTTTGGTCGCCAACATGCCTTAGAATTAATTCCTATAGCCTGTGTATAAGATATTGAAATTCCTTTGAAATCGCGTTGGGTGCGGCATCTGCCGGAACAGGTCCTGTCCGTTAGGTAACGAGGTAAAGTGCGCCTTGTTGCGAAATCGACACAGTCAACTCCTAGAAGGGGGCCCTTCATCAATGCCACGCGAACAGAGAGTGCGAGACCAGCAGATACCCTGTAGTCACTATAATGCTGCCAATCATGATGGGAAAACCAACTCTGTAGAGCAACCAAGGGAAAATTAATCAAGGTTCTTGCAAAACTGTAAAGAAAACCCACTTGAAGAACTGCAGGAAGGTGAACTTGTAGCCATGCTGCTCGGCCACGCCGGCACAGACCACATTGGCCGAGGCTCCAATCAGTGTGCCATTGCCTGAAAGAGGTAAAAACAAATATTAATATATATATTTAATTTAAAATCCTTTAGAGAACCTACCCCCCAAACAGGCACCCAAGGCCAAGGCCCAAACCAAAGGCTGAAGCGGCAGATTCAAGGTGCTGTTTTGGGCCAACGATATGGTGATCTTCACCATCATTGTGGTCAGCGGAATGTTGTCCACAAAAGCCGAGGCCACAGCAGAAACCTAGAAGTAAAATAGGATAAAATATATTATATAGAAAATACTATTTCTTCGGCCAACTCACCCAAAGTATTATCAAAATGGCCACCATCAGACGCTGATCCTCGCCCACGCCCAGGATAATGCCCTCTGTCATATTGCCAATCCACTCAATCAGACCCAACTCCGTCAGAGCCTCCATCAGTATGAAGAGAGCTGCAAAGAAGAGCAACGTAGACCACTCCACGCGAGCCAATATAGCTTCCATATCCTCAATATCGGCCAGAATGATGAGGAATATGGCACCCAGCAAAGCGGTCCAGCCCAAGGACAATCTCTGAAGTTCCGGAACAGAGTGCAAGAAGAATAAACTGATCACAAAGAGCAGGGCGGCCGAGCATTTAATCAGCAGAGGCTTGTTGCGAATGGGATACTAAAGGAAATATATAAAAATAAATTAAGGATATATATTTTATTTCTTAAAAGATCTGAATTACCTTGGCTTGAAGATTGGCCAACGTTTGTTGATAATTTGGTGCCGGTTCAATAACCGCCGTCATTCGCTTCTTGAGGCTTCTCTTCAAGCGATTAACCTTTTTCATCAGCGTCTGTCGCACCAGTTCCTCGTCCTTGGAGTAAGCTGAGAGGCTGGCAGCCGCTCGCTTCCACACATGGATCTCGTGACGCAGTTCCTCTACTTCTGGAGAGTCCTTAAACTGCAAATCGCTGATGTTTCGGAACTTGAAGCGCAGCTGGATGTAGGTCTGTACCATCACCAAAAGGACTCCGGGCAGCATATGCAGCGTGAAGACGGCAAAGTTGACGCCCTAAAAAATACAGAAAATATTAATAATAATCTTTAGATATTTCCCAATAATCTTACATTCTTCGATATGTAGCTATTTGAGGCAATGATGACATTTGGGGGATCCCCCACCGGAGTCAGGGCTCCGCCAATATTCGAGTAGATGACCATGCACATCAATATGGGCACAGGATTGAGACACATGACCTCGCAGAGTCGTATCGTGACCGGTGTCATCAGCAACACGGTGGTGACATTGTCCAAAAAGGAGGAAAGGACCGCCGTGAACAGGCACAGACAGTTGATGAGTGGCCACACATGGCCATTGGTGATCTTATAGGCATAAACAGCCAGATAGTCAAAGACTCCGGTCTCGGAGAGAATGGCCACCAGAATCATCATGCCAAAGAGCAGCAGCAAAGTCTCCACATCGATCCAACCCATAATGGTGGCCATCGAGGGTCTTGAATTCAGGGCAGCCAGTATGCCCACCGACAACGTGGATGCAATAATGGCCGCAAAGGTCCTGTTTACAATCTCCCAGATGATCATCACGTACAGGCCGCAGAGCACCGCCGCCGCATAGATGACACCATCCCGCTTGTAGATCGGAGACTCATCCACATTCAGCTGGAGCGGCAATTCGCCCTCAATGCTGCTGGTGAACTCGAAGCTCAGCTCCGTGCGATTGGCCTGCGCCAACCACAGCGGATCGCTGGCACTCAGCTCGAAGGTGCGCTGCTTCTTCGTGTCCTTGGTGGCATCGATGAGGTCCGGATAGACCACGTCCAGCTGCCACAGCTGACTGGCATTCTCGATGTAGATCTCCATGCCCTCGGCATCAAAGTAGCTGCGCATCACCTGAACCTGGAGCACGGGCAGGGGGACACTATCATTCAGCGTCAGCTCGTTCTCCTGCAACCTAAAGGGTCCTCGCAGGCCCAGACCAATCCTTTGCAGACTGGCTGTGGTAATGGGAAAGACTGCAAAAAAACAGGAAATTTTATTTATATTTCTTTAGAAATTTCCAAAAAGGTAACCCACCTCTCGAAGAGCTATTCCTAGGAACACTTATGAGGCTGAGCTGGTCCACATGCTCATTGTTGGACATGAGGAAGGCGGTAAAGACGCACCAGACCACCAAGAGCACGGCAATCTTGAACCAAATGAGATACTTGCGGATCTGCAAGGATATACATTAAATATGGCAAATATTTTTACTCAATTTCTAAGGACCCTTAAGGACTCTTACCAAACTCTTTCCGTGCGTCTCGGCCTCATCATGCTGATCATCATTGTTGTTCTCCAGATCCCTGCAAATGGCCCGGGGAATCACAGAAAACTGGTTGCACTAATTACGTAACTGACACCCGAGATTCACAGAACTACGAACCTGCCGTCCAGCACTCGCACCTGTCCCGCCTCGTTCGTCACATTGATACCGATCTGTGTGAATCCCGTCTGTGTGTTGGCCAAAGCCGTCTCCTCGTGATGTCCATTCTCCACCCGGAGTTCGCTTTCCTCCGCTGGCAAAGGATCAACGTCTGCGGGTAGGGGAAGTAAATCCACATGAAATGATTAAAGATTAAAACAGTCTGGCGTTGACTTAACCCTGGCCAGAAATGGGCAAATATTTATGCGAAAATTTAATCATTCGCTGGCTCTTGGCGGAAGGACAATTCGCGGACAACTGGCGCGACTTTGGCCAGAAATTAACTTGGTTCAGCACACAGCCACCACCTGCCACGTGTTGGCAGTATTTTATGTGCAAACTTAATCGACTCGCCGTGGCTATAAATACACATCAATGGCCCTGAGCGAGGGCTGGGGGACACACTGACCGAGGGACTGATGTCTGAGCAATAGGAAAAGGATACACTTTGGGAACTAGGAGGGCTCTTGAGAAGATTTGGCAATGAAGTTAGACTAAGAAGTTATCATAAACTATAAATTTTCCTCATCAAAAATTACCATAATCATATTTTCTTTCTGAATTGACTTTAATTTAAATAAAACCATACTTATAATTTCCGTGCAGCCTTTAATTTAAGAAAGCCAATGACAAGATGGTTGTCCACTCTCGCTGTGACATCATGTGACGGAAATAGAGAGAGGAGGAACCACCCCTGGGTATTATTATCATAATTTGCTAAGCCCCAAATAGTGCGTCCATCAAAACAATTGAAGATAAAGCTGGACTTAAATTTTCGGTATGCAAATCGGGGCGAAACCCGGGCTCGGCCAGCCGTCGTCCAATGTCAATGGCGACGCCAACGTAAATGGCAATAAAAAATTCAACAATAATTACGGCAATAAAAAAGGTAGCAACAGCCAGACATAAAAAAAAGGAAATTATGTGATCCAAGGAGAAGGTAGCCTGAAGGAGGGATATACATAGATGGCCCAACTTACCGCCATGTAAACGTTCATGCTCCTGGCGAAACGAGGCTAGACTGGGATCCTGACGAATGCGCTCCGGCAGAGTTCGCCAGACTTGTAAGGCACCTTCTGTTACTTCGCTGCATGTGTGAAGCAGAAGCAGGACCAAGAGCAGGAGGAGTAGCAGGACCAATCCAAGGTCGGTGGTTTTTTGTTACACATCGGGGAGCAATGAAATGCGGCACCGAGAAGGAAGAGAAATAAGCGGAGAATAAAGATTTAATAAGATTATACCGGGGACTTGTGTGTTTGGAATTTGTTTGTTCAGGTGCTTGGGCGTGGTTTGCCTCTGCCTTTGCCACTCCCGAAAAAAAACAACAATTCAATAAATTTTTTAGCACATCTGTATTGATTTTTCCCCTCCCATACGATCTGTTTCCTTTGGCCCGTGCGTGCAACAATTTGTATTCATTTGATTTGACTCTTATAAAGTCTTTAAATTGGAGTTGTTTACCCAAAAAGGGTTCCCAGCTTATGCCACATGAAGTGGAAACTCAATTGTGGTTAAGGAAGTGGGAAGGATTCTGATTGACAACAAATCTCCAAGAGCTCCGAGAAAGAAGATGCAATAAAATAAGATTTAAGTAAATATATTTTGAGAGTCTGTTAGCCAAAAAGGATACTCAGAGAGGTAGAGGAGATGGCTGTAATGGGATTGAAAAATACTGGGAAAAGGGTATTAAGTTCTCCTTCACTCAGAAGGCCTTCAGGAAATTAAAGCTGATTTTATTTATTTGGAAGTTTTACTACCCTTTTATGTTTATAGTCGGAATAAACTGGAATAAAAAAATATAAGAGATGAGTTGATATTTTCATTTACTTTAATCTTAGCTAAGATATTCGGCTATGAATGCTTTAAACACTCATTGAATAAAGACTACAACTAAAAGCATGATACATTTTTGATTTCCAGAGCTGTCCAAAAGCACCTACAAAAAACCACGTTCTAGATGTCACGTAGCCCCTAAGATATCTTAAAATATGATTGCAATTCTCATTCTAATTTCCACACAAACTGAACGATTTCAAAGTCAGCCGTAGCTATCTTCAGTCCAGATTTTCGTCAAAGATTCGCAACGATCAAGCTCAATTAAAGAGCTTTTGTGCTGTAGCAATGCCAGATCGGATCCAATCTGCTACTATATATACTCGTCGCTGCTCTTAAGGTCGTTATCAGTGGAAAATGTCTATTTATACTGGCCATAAAATACTGTTTTCAGCCTGTCTGTTGTCGTTTTCCATTTCAAATGCGAGTTTAATGACTCTTTGCCATAATTACTGGGGCCCAGGCAGCTGAGCTCTCTGCCAAGTAAAATAGTGATTCAGCAGGGAATAGAAAACGGGGAAGGTTAGGTTCCTTTGGCGAAGGCACTCTGAGTGCATGGGGCATCACGTGTGCGGGCTGAATAAATGCAATTTGTGCACTCGATTCAAGTGGATATTGTGGCACACAAATCTTAATTCAGTCGGCCTGACTAAATTTACTTAAGAGAGCGAAAAGTGCTCGAAATAAGTCATAAATTATATTTACTTAGGTTTCAATTAGCTGGCTTGATGGAAGCCAGCGATGAGGGCAAGTAATAAACAGAAACAAAGACAAGACAAGACCGCCAAAGAAACGCTGACACTGATTTTGTTGACCGAACCCCCACACCTTCTTGTGTATACTATATGTTATATATGTACACATCAGATATATATTATGTGTGTGGAAGAACACAACGTTTCAGCTTGAACTTGCTTCAATTGCGTTTCTCAGCTTAGACAGCTCCGAGTGCTAGTATAGCTCGTGCATAAGTCATAAGATCTCTGATTGCCTCATGTGATGAGGTGAAATGGAATCGTGTGTCAATGGGTGTGTTTTGATGACAGGATTTCTGGGAACTTTAATTGGGTTTAACAAGGATTTGTTGTGGGTCTAAAGTTCTAAATGAAAATCAATTGTAGAAATGGTTTATTAGAAGTTACTCTACCTTAATGGTATATCTAATCTAAAAGTAGACTTGTAAACACATATTTAAGAAGTACTCTTCTGTAAATCATTCCCAGAAAAATAAAAAGCATTTTCTCACAGCTCAAGTGGCAATGCGTAAAGCTTGTTGATGCCTTCCTCAAGTCAATGATTAAATGATTTTGCTGATGACTCTTAATACGTTGAACAGCTACTTTATGTCACGGCTTTCGTTAGCTGAAGTGAAGGGAACGACGGTCGTGTCAAAGATTGAATCACACAAGAACTCACTGACAAAGGACACCCACGGGCCCAAGACAGGTCCTTAAATAGAGAGTGGAGCTATCATTAGCAGGAGCCAAGCAAACGTTTTCCGCTTGACTGCAGCTCTAGACAATTTGTCGGTTTTTCAATTGGGTTTGCACACACGCATAGAAATATTCAGGAAACATTTTTGAGCTTAAATTAAATAAATTAAAAAAAGTAATAAGGAAATATTTGTACCTCCTCAAATAAATAACTTGAAATTGCACAGTTTTTATAAAGGAAATGTAATTAAACAATATTTAAAGGACAATTAAACCATCTGGGATTTTATTTAATGAATAAATATTCTTGTATAAAATATAATAACTTTTAGTGCATTCCTTAAATTAAAAAAAAAAATTATATACCATAATAAAATATATTTTAATTTGTATATTTTGGCAAAACAGTGTTGTTATTTTTTCTGTGCTTTAAGAGGTGTGAAAGAAAACAGGAAGAGAAAATAGAAATGGCGATGACGTCATTCTTAATGCTGGAAAACATTAATTTTTATCCTGACGGCCAAAACACATTAAAAACTTTATGTTGATGTACTGTAAAATTCCTTAAAGAATTTATTTTACGCGTCACAACTAAGTTGTCGTAAAAAAACCAAATATAATAGAAACCGATTTTTAGTAAAATCTTTGGTATAACCATTTATTTCTCTCCATTTCTCTTTCTCCCTCTTTTCTCGGTGTGTAGTTAAAGGTGAGAACGTAAAAGATAAAAGCAAAACAGCTGATGACAAGGCTCTTAATGCTAGAACACAATTCATTTTTTATCATGGCAACCAAAACACACGTACTCATCCTCGTATGCGTAATCCTGGGCGTTGTAGGCCATCTTCCTGGCGGGTAAAGACCAGGGATCCTGCGTCAGGGATGGAAATGTGACACTCGCGGGCAAAAATAAAAAAAAAAAAGGAAAACAAAAACACTCGACGGCTAGCACAAGTATCTCCGCGAATAAAGCGTATTATTACGTAAATTGCACACTGACATACACACACACACGGGTAAACTTCTAATAGGGAAGCCGAAAAGAATGTGAAAATTCCTTTGTTAATCGCATATTTTGCCGCTGGGAAATGGAAAATGTGAAAAGCGGAGAAGCGCAAGAGCTGCGAACTGAAAGACGAGCTTCAATTAAATGGCGGGATCGCGTTGCCTTGACCACTTGTTGCTAATTTCTGCTTTTTATTGTCGCGTGCCCTTTTCGGTTCTGTATTGTGTTTCGCCGCCGATCGTGACGGAATATATACACTATATAAAATGTATATAGTATACTATTTTTGGAATTGTTTTTTTCTTTTTTGCAATGGGCGGTGCAGTCGCAGTTGAAAGCTCGAGCGGTACTAACTGCGGTCCTCAGTTTTTTACCCTATTTTGTAGGTTTTAATGCAGTCGTTGGCTCTGCCGCCGCGCAGTCGCTGTCACCGCAAGCAGTGGCGAAGCAGAGCGGCAAAGAAGAACAACACACAAATTTCCTGATACTCAAATTCGCTTTTCATCAGTTATCTCTCGCTGGACGCGCTTTGCTCATTATTCGCATTTATGCTTTCGCCGCTGCAAAAGTGCACTCAACACCGATCGCGCGCTCTCTTTCGCACTCTTTATCAGTGCGAGGGCGGCTTAACCCGAGCAGCAGTGCGCCTACCGCCCGCCCTCCGCCCCACCGAGGGGCCAAGGTGCGGGTGCGCTGGTTCATGTTCATGTTTCTTCATTTTCGGCTTTGTCAAGTGGCCTCTCTCCGGCTCTCTGTGTTTACTTTTCCACACTCTCCTCCATTGTTACTGTTAATGTTGTTGTTGCTGTTGTTGCTGTTCCTGGCGTTGGCTTATTTGCACTTCTTTCAATTACACTTGATTTATCACATTTGACAGTTGTTCTGCGATGCTTTTGATCTTGCCCTGCGCTACACACTTTTGCGTAGGGAGTTTGAGTTTAGCCTTGGCTAATTTTCAAATACATTTGTTCCCGGCCTGTATTTTTTATTTATTTATTTATTAATTTATTCGATTTTTGTGTTTAATGTGTAAAATAAACATTTTCAAAATACTTAAACCATGTTGATCAATTTATAAATGTAATGATATTTAGCTAGTGTCAAAACTCAAAGTTGTAATCGCAATTTAAATTAATATTAAAAATATATATACTCTATTGACAAATTTGAATTAATATTTATTAATAAGTTTAAAATATTCAGTAATAGTTTAAAATATTCAATAAAATACACATTATATAAACTTATTTAAACAAAAGTTATTTTAATATTAGGAGATCAAAAAAACTGAGAAATGAAGTTATCAAAGAAACCCACTACCTCAATTAAAATATATCCATAAAATAGTTTATAGCCGCATAACTAATGAACTTTTATCTGACACGTTAAAGTTCCCAATTATAAGTTCTATTTTAAGCCACAACCCGATACAATTTTCATCAATTTGTTGCGCTTCTATTAAACGATTTTATGACACGAGATGAGCCCAGTAACTCGAGCTGTTTTAAGTATTATTTCGCATTTTATATTTGTATCAGTATTTGTATGTGTATATTCTGAAAATTTGCGGGGAATCAGCTGCTGCTTCAGGCCCAATTATTCTGTTAAGGAGCACGGGAATTATGAAATAGCCTGACTAAATTGAAGGCGTATTCAGCGAGTGCTGCTGCTGCTGCGCGAGACCTTGGAGTTCAAGGGTGCCTTCAATTCGCATGCAAATTTCGTAGACGCCTGACGAGGAATTGAGCCAAATCCGAACGAACACCCCCACGTGATGCCGAAAATTCAAAGAGTCACTATGTGCTATATAATATTATACTATAGCCTGGTAATTGAAAGGCACCCGGGGGAGCTGGCGCCGGATCAGCGGCTGTCAGTTGCTCTGGCAGACGCATATCACCCAAAAAATGGGAACGCAACGAAACGTATTTGCCAAATAAGCAGAAAAGATTTTAAGCTGCAGGTTTGGCACCCTACATGGGGTGGAATTAAAGGGTATATGGGATTTATGGAAATTTAACAGGGATTATTATTTATTATTATAACAAAAATATTTAAAATAGATAAATGTAATATCTTTAACAGATTGGTTGCAATATATATTATCAAAGTGAACAAATAAAAAACATAGTACAAATATAATAAATATTTCCATGAGCTTTTCTGATAATCAAAGCCTGAGAATTTTCTTATTTAAAATGTCCTAATATAATGCCGAAAAGTATATTAGTTTTAAACTTTTATATTAAATTAAGCTGAGTACCACACAGTCTGAACTCCTTTATATCATTCTTGTTTCTTTTTATGCCAACTCACCAAAATCTCACCTGGAAAAGCTGACAAGCTAACTAGCTGGCTCGCTGACTCACTGACGTCACAGGTGTGCTTGTGCCCAGCTTGCATAATGCGCCAGGTAATGTAATACTCTTCTTCGGCCAATAGATTAGAAAATCCAGCTCGTTCAGGGACAGGGCCAAAGTTGTTACCCGACACCGACGGCGGCCACCTCTAATGATAGCCATTTCACAGCTCCGGCTAATGAAAAAAGGTCTCGAAGCATGAGCAGAGGGTACGGGGTTGAGGGAAACATGTTGACCCAAGCTGTCGCTTGGTGCCACAAGTGTTTGCGTGGCAGAGTGAAATGCAATTTTATTGAAACTAGACTGCGATCTCGGGTATCGCATTACGTCGTGGCATTGAAAATGGAGTATAAATCGAATGGAAATTGAATAAGGCATTTGGCGGCATTTAACGTAATGTGCACACCTCTGAAAATGAACACCCTGTCGATGGGGCACGCCCCGTATTGGGCTGATTGGGTTTATCTGCGTTTCTAGAGTGCGCTATTAAACCTGACAATTGGCTATAGTACCCGCACATTTTGATGGCTGACAGAATGTGATTTAACATTAAGAAAAAACTTTTAATTTATAATATTTTTTAATTAATTAAATCAATCAAATCAAATCAGTGTACTACTGACGATGATTAGATTATGAATTTTAAGTCTAATAAAGTTTGTATTTAAAAGACAACCTACAACCAATTTTACATCTTTCTTTTTTTTAATATAAATAATATAAATAATATTTTGCCAGTGGACATTCCCTATTCTAGTTAATTTCTAGGTGATTTAGTGCTTTGTTAACTTGTAAATGACAACAAACTTAGCTAAGTTCAGGCTCCAGAAAATTTATAAAGATTTCGATCTCTCACTCTTCAAGGTTTGATATAAATAAATATCTAAAAATAGCCTATCAATTTAGATATATAATTCCCAAAGAGGGAAAGTTCACATAGGGTGTGCACGCACTTTGTCCATTTGAAAAATTAAATGAACACGCGCTCATCAAACGCAAAGCCGGGATATATACAATATTAAATCAACTCAAACTTAAGCTTAAGTAAGCCGCACTCGTAGATATAGAACACACCCACATGTTGAGCCAGAAGTCGAGAATCGAGAGTGGAGGGTGGTGAAGGGAGATAGAGGGAGATGTGTCTATATATGGGTCATTGTGCGACATCGTTGATAACGAAATTACAGTCCCGAAAAAAGCGTAATTTCATCCAGTCGGTCAGTCGGTTCTCTGTCAATTTTAAGTTTCCTAAGCTTCTATGTCTGTGCACTGAGAAAAATGTATACAAAATTATATTATACGAATTCTAGTTTAATTTTATATAGTTATATAAAAAATTCTAATAACTGAGTTGGATTTAAAGACATATTTAAATTCTGGAGAGTTTTAAAACCTTTTAAAAATATTAACTACAAGAACCCTAAAAAATGTAAGTAAGGCTACAATTATGTTCATAGAACACCCAGACTTGAGTTTATAAAAAATATTTAAACTTAACTTAAAATAGCCTTTTAAATTATCATATTTTCGTTGCACCTATAAAAGTTTCTATTCTTTAAAAAGTTGTATTATTTTTTCTGTAAGTTTCTCACAGTGTATCCTCTTCCCGTTCTGGTTCCGCTGGCGGGGCATGTCATTCATGTGGCGCTTTCAGTGCGACACGCTTCATTAATTTCGAGAAAATTGAAAGCCTGAAACCGCGCAGCATCCAGCACTCAACACTCGGCACTCGTGTCGTGTCTCATGTGAGCGACTTTTAAAGTTTATTTTTAAATCGCAACGGTGAGGGGAACAGTGAGGAGAGGGCGACCAGGCCTCGATTAGCAAGTTAAATCTTTCGCCGGCGCGGTAACTTTCCGCTGCGAAAAATGCAAGTTAATTAATTGAGAAACAGCGCGCACAGGCAGTGAGTGACACGTTCCAATTGGCAATTGCCACCTCCGGAGTGCCTGCCATCGGCAGCTCCACGTTCCCAATGGCTCCTCCATAGTCACACGTTCCGGACATAAATCGAACAGTGACTGTGAAAGCCAAGGGCAAGTCCAAGTACTAGTGGGTGGTTTTTAAACCCGCGCAAAGGGCTATACTTACAGCTGGGTTGTAGTATGCAAATAGCTGGCATAACCGGCATTTATTTGCATTTTTAATTTGCACATACCCCTAGTAAGTGAACAAATCAAACTGCAGTTGTAGAATATTTGATTTATAATACATCAGCTCATTATTATACGGATTACGAGGTGTTTTGTACATTAATTTGCTGCATTATAATGTTATTATTTATAGGAATTGCATAGCGGTGCATTGAATTGTTAGCTTTTATTTGAATCTCAATGAGTTGCGTCAGATTGCAGCTTTGCTTTTATAATTTAAATGGCTTTAAAAAAAGTATAAAATGATGCAAATAATTTTTATGTTTTTTTAAGTTAAAAAAAAAACTATATTTAAAAGAAGTTTAAGGTTTATAGAACCCTAAATAAACAATTTACTTGGTCTTATGGTTTTTAAGCCTATTTTCAGAGACATTTAAAAGGTTTCTTTAGCTTAAAACGATTTTTTCTTTACCGAAAATGTACAAATTTGTATTTAAAATATTCTTTTGGCAAAATAATTATACCTAACAAGCCATAAAATCGTATATTTTTATGACTTGGCTTGACATATACCCATCTCCCTGCCCGACTTCTTGCTCTGTCACTCTTCCCTGACCTTTCTTTTTGAGCCTCAATCAGGAACAAAGTCGTGTCGGCTGCAGTGGCCTAACCCAATTTTGGGAGCATTAAATGTTTTAATTATTCATGTGCCATGTTTATGGCACTTGCTGTCGCCGGCACTCATTCACACACTCACACACCCAAGGCACATCCTGGCGAAGGCGGCACATAATCACATTTTGAATGTGCTTGGAACAATGCAGGATTCGTTCTGACCTTGGCTGCGTGGAGGTCGTCGCCGCAATTCACGCTATGTGCAAGAATTTTCACTTTTGCTTGAGACTGACCCACATTTTTATTTAAAAATGCCGGCCAGCCAACACGGCGGATGAGCGATGTGGTAGCGCTGAAATTAAGTATACGCCAAGTGGGTCCTAGATGGTCAACATTTGTCTACAAAAATAAAGTTAAATGGCAGCCGGACAAACAAATTGAAAATTAATTGCAGAATAATTTCGGAAAGTTTTCGTTTTCGTGTTGACTCTGAGCCGGCGGGCAATTGGTCAAACAAATTAATTAGTATTTGTCTTAGGAGCTCTTCTTTTCACACAAAAAAAAACGAGGGAAAACGAATAGAATTGGAAGGCCAGGCACGTTGCCAGGACACTTTTAGGACCCAACAGTACGCCTCACTTGCCAGCCCGATTGATGGATGGATGGATGGATTTCCCCCAAATGCCAGTACCTGATTCAATAGGCAAAAGAATAATATGTCCGCCTAAGAGGCCCCTTTCAAATTCAATGAAGTGCTCGCTCGCCTGCTCAATATTGAAACATTAATGGCAACGGAAACAAGATTCCCCACATTTGTCCAAACGGAAATTAAATGTCTGACATTAATTTCTCTCTTGTTTTTCTCGTTTTTGTCGCTTTTTCTCGTTTTCCCTCAGTCAACACATGTTGCTGCCCCAGCCTGCCATTCAGGGTAAAATTGGACTTGTACGGGAGCTTCGGTTTTTATGTTTATGTTTATGTTATGTGGTCGAGACGGGGCTCCATCCGGCACCATCTCCTCCTCTTGGAGGCACGTGCCTCAGCCAGGAACCATATAAACATATAGATATAGGGGAATGAGTGTTCTGCATTAACAGATGTAAGGCAAAACAGGTCTCGGCCCATGAACTTTGGCATCTTCGAAGGAGAAATCGCAATCTGGTAATGGTAAAAGGTTCAAAGGGAAACTGGAACTGAGTCACATACGGCTTAAGCTCATCTAGGAGTGGCTGACCACAAGAAAAGGCTCTACTTTAATATAGTTTAGTTTATTTCAAAAATTCAGCTTTCATAGTTTTCTTCTTATTTCTAAGCTCTTTCGATAGAATTACAAGCAACGCCTCTTGTGTTTTCATCAAAAAAATATTTAATAATTAATTTGTAAGCTTCTTAACTTAATCTTTTCTTTGATGTTTACTTATTTTGTTAAAGTCTTAACCTTTCCTGGCGACCTGGTTTTATGTTTATATGCCTTTCAATTTTAATTAAAAAATGCTTTTAACTAAGAGCCTTCAAAAACACTTGGTAAGAAATACAAATTCCTATTGATTTCCTTCTTATTTTATCAAGAAATATACATTCCCTTATTAATTTTCTTTGCTCATTATTGCCTCTCTTTTTAGACTTACTTTGGCTGTGGAAACTTGTCGCTCTTGGTAGACGCCTGTCGGTGGGGCCACAGGCGTTTGCTCACCTTCACCCGCATCTTGAAAGGCCAAATGTCCTTACGTTTCCGGTGGATGCTGCCACTCCCACTGCCACTCCTGCGGCGCCGCGATATTGTGGATGCGGCACTGTGACCCACTGTGCCGGGCTCCGTCGTTGTTGTCTTGGTGTTATTGTTGTGATTGGACTGAGGATGGGGACTAAGAGCAGACGGCTCAACTGGCGGCGGCGGATGAACTCGAGTCGGCGCAATTTTGACAGATTTTTTTGTGGGTTGCTTGTTAAATTAATTAATTAAATTAAGCAGCTGGCTTGACACGATTTAATATTTAATTTTCAGTTCGATTAACTCTATTAATACTAATTATTATCGCAAATCACAAATGTATATTTTTGGAACGAAAGGATTTGGGGTCAGCTTTAAGTTCAGGCCTTTCTCTTGTACATTTTAATGTAGTTTCTGCTTTTATGCCGTCGCTTCATATGATCAAATCACGCATACGCACTGGTGGCTGATACAGGAAAAAATATATATATATATAAATTGATGAGGTGAGCATAAACAACAGCTGCTTTCCCTGGAAGTTCACGGTTGCGTCAAACAGGCTGCATTAATTATTCAGCGTTTCGAAAGGACAAAAATAGTCCTTGCCCGACCAAAAAAAAAAAGCCTAATAGGGAATCAATATTCATTTAGTTTTGTGATGGCCTCGACTCCGCTATCAAATCAACCAAAATCAAATGGCACATCAAAAAAGGACGAGGTCTTCATCTGTGGCTGCCATCAATTGATCTTCCGCTATATGATGTCCAGTGTGTGTGTCTCTCTATTAAGTTCCATTTAATTATGGTCCTTGCTACTAATTGGTTGGCGGGATGCCCTTTCAACCATTAAACAATTTAGCCGGGACGCCGCATAATTAAAAATGAACGCACGAAAACCATTTCAAATTATGGCTGGCCATCTGGGAGGGACTTGGCCAAAATACGGGTCAAATGCAAAGCAGACACGTGTGCTGGTCCCATTTGCCAGGATTTAGGTTGCCAAAAAAAAATGGCGGAAAAGGGAGAAAAACACCATGAAAATGTTGCCGAAAATATCCTAACGGAAATTGCTTTCAAAGATATGTCATCGTTTACGGGGGGCAGGATATATTTATATATATTTATATGTATATTCAAGAAATGTTTTAGCAAGGTGGATAAGCCAGCAAGCCAAGAGGGGGATTATATAAATAAATATATATATAAATTGGGGTGGAATTTTTAATTTGTCAAAAAAAATTAGCTAGGTTTTATTATGTTTTAAAAATTCCAACAGATTTTTTAAAGACTTTCTTTAACAAGTTTCAGTTAAAATTAGCTATTAAGTCAGCTATAACTTCAAATAACATTTTAATGAGCTTGTCTAATTTATTTTGTACTTCTCTAACAGGTTTTTAATAACCCATAAAAAGTTATGCAAGTCCTTAGTCAAACTTCACACACTTGTAACCCATTTTCACATCTTATGCACACATTCTCTCACTTTATTTTGATTAACTTTCATGTTATCTTTCGCTAATTACTAATTGATTACACTCTAACAACAAAAGAACTCACAGAATTATAACCCAAGGGTTCCCGCTTCGGAGAGAAACTTTTCTTCCACTGAAAATCCTTTGGCAAATTAACGCCGAAAAAGTTTCCTCTTGCAGAACCCTCTGGCAATCACTTAAAATATATTTGAGTTTCCGTTAAAAGCCAACAAGAAAGCCAAAGCCACTCCTCATAAATGTTGCTTACAATCATATATTTCTGCAAAAGTTATTCGTCCTTTTGGGCTAGGTTTTGTTGAGGACTCGCATGAATATTTAAAATGAGCATTGGGCAAAAGTTTTCTAAAGCTTTTAAAGCCAAAAACAGAAAACAAAAAACTACCATAAAAGCCAGACACGTTTGGCTGGCGTTGCCTACTTTTGTGGGCTGTGTTTGGGAATTATTTTCGGTCTTCATTTTCATTTTCATCGAGAATGATGATGATGTTATAGCCACGTTTCAATTTGTCCCAGGCTAATATATTGCTTATTTGCGTGGCCTGTCAGGACTCAATTATTGATTGGCCTGGGTGCGACCACGAATGGAGGTATCATTCATAAATTATGAAATATTTGCGAGGATATAGGCTGATAGCTTAAAGGTTTTTTTTTAATCACGACTCAGTAAACATCAGGTGTGAGGCACCTGTCACATTTCCCTGGCTCAGGGGGAATCCTGCGGTCAATTTATATATCCTGGCAGTCACCAGACGCCGCCAACCAATTACTCAGCCAGTCAGTGGCCGTTGCAGAGGCAGACTAATTACCAGCGCTTAATGCCAAGGAATTGCGTCCTTAATGAGCAGAATTATCCTGGGCCAGTCGAAAAAAAAATGAATAAGAGGTAATAAGAGACTCGAAATAGGATAAGGAAGAATTTCCATAATTAAATGTGCCTTTATCCTTTGCATCTTCCTTATAAAGCAACGGAGTGAACTTCAAGGTGAATTATTCTCTTTTATTAGCTAAGCTCACTTTAAGTTTTATTCTTTTTTGCGGTTTTTGTTATTTGGTTGTTATTTTCAACTATTATTTATTTGTATTTATTTATTTCTCTTTATTGTTTGGACACACAAAAGCTCGATGAACGATGGCGATTTAAAAAACCGGACAAAGTCGCACGTCCGTTTCGAGCGAAAGTTGTAAACCGAATAAATCTGCGGGCTCGTCGCCGCGTTCCAAGTTACTTTTCTGCCGGTTACTGCCGATGTCCAATGCCCGATGACGCCGCTATAGTATATGTATATATATGTGTATATATACTGCCTAAGCTGATACTGATACTTCGTGCGTCGCCGCTGTCGCTGTCGCAGCTGTTTTCGGTTGAACGAGGCGGCGCGCATTGAAAGGCTACTTCAATTGAACGGAGAATTTTAAGCTTTCAATAGCTGTTGAATGCCGTTAGTCTTTTTTTGGTTTTTTTGTATTGGAATTGGTTGTATTCCAATGGCCAACAACTTGAACTTGAAAGGTTTTTGGAGGTGTTTCAATTTTAAGCGGATTTTTAACTGTTTTGTTTGTGGGTTTCGTTGAGAAAGTAAACTAGGTCACCTTTGTTGGGGGTGTAAATTATTATAATTTATACTTTGTGATAGAAATAATGATTCCAGTCAAGTTTTATTAATTTTTCTGCTTTTAATGCGCAACAAAAAATATTTAAAAACTTTATTAAAATATTTATATTCATTGTTTTGCAGCTTTCTTAACTTTGTTTTATTTAAAAATGAATTTTTTAAGACCAAACACTTATACTTTTAAAATTATTATTAATTATTACAAACTTACACTATTAAATTCGGGGTTTTTGTATTAACTAGTCAATTTCTTAATTATTATTAATTATTATTAAAAATTCAAGTTCAAAAGTCTCAAATACTATTTGTTTATAAAATTCCCAGACCTGATAAATTATTACTCATACCTTTCCGACCAAAATGCTCCGGTAAACTGGTTCCACAATTTATTAAAGCTCTAATTACCCCCAACAGCTAATCATTTGTTTACTTCAGCTTAGGCTTAATAATAATAGAAGCCTAGCATAATGCCTAATCAACAGATTTATGGTTGTTTTTCGTCTTTAGATAGCTGCGAGCATCAAAGCAATTAGCGCAAATTTAAGGCACTTGTCATAGAAGCCAAAAATAGTTCAGTTATACTAGCTAGAATCTCTCCCTCAAGAGGCTGACTTCCTCAAATCAAAGAAAGTGAAATTCTGCAAATAAAAAAAAATAAAGAACTCAAGCTTTATCAAATGTAAGAGCCGACCATGTGCTTATTTATAGGCCAAACATGATAAGTCCCCGCGGAGACTGAGCCCACGCTCGTGCTCTCATTTGCATGGGCTTCGTGTGGGCACAAAAGGCGAATTATATGTCAAGTCGTCTCAATTTTCTCGATTCCTTCGCATTTTCAGTAACGCAGAATCACGGGGAACACGGCTGCTGCTGCCACTGACAATGAAACACGGCGAATGAACACACATAAAACCCGAATAGATGTGAACTCGTGGGTCTATATATATAATATATATATTAGTTCTTGTCACGAGCGTTTGACATTTGAGCGGCTTTCGAGCTCCGCACTTACGCTCTTTTATTTTGCAATTTTCCTCACCCACATTCAATAGAAAGGAATGAATGAATGATAATAATAATAATATTAATGCTGATGAACGAACGGATATATTCCTCTGAGTGAGACGCAATACCAGTTTCCAGTTTGTTCTTTGTATTCGTTTTTCCAATAATAAATTTGTGCATTAGGAGAAGGTCTTATCCAGCGGAATGTTGGGTGCAGCCATATCTTTCTCTATATGTAAGTATTATATTTAATCAATTTAAAACGACAGCTGCAAGTAGTTAATGGATGTGTGAAAGTTATTCTCGCTTTAAGGATACCATTGGAGTTTCATTAAATAATTGTTATAAAATTATTTATCCATTTTAAAGACTTCCTTTTCAAGCCACACAAGTTAGACAAAGTTCAAGGATTCTTGTGAATCTACATTTATTATTTAACAGAAAGGATTATTCAACAAACTCTTATAAATATTTAAAACAACTTGTTGAAATTGTTATGAAATTATTTAACCATTAAAAAGTCTCCTTTCCGAAGCCTTACAAGACTAACGATTAAATATTCCATTCTCCGCTAACCCATTACTAAGTAAATCCCATAAAGCCCCTATAATAATAGTCTATACATAATTCATTTCCACTCAATTGTGCCAGAACAAGGTATGCCCCCCTGAGAAGCACACACAACGCACCAAACACACACTATATACATACAAGTAGGTGCAAGTCGGAACTTTTACAGCCCCTAAGCTCATCCCTGGCAACAACAGAAAAGTATTTACATTTTCTGAGAGGAAAGTCTGCTTGGAAACCCACAATTTACATTGGTAAAAGGGGAGGTGGGGTGCTATATACATATGTGACAACCTCTCATCACTGGAATCATGGAACCACCACAGTGTTTCCGCAAAACTATTCACTTGTGGTCAAACTTGAACCGCCAACATGTCATCATGCCGTCAGGCAACTTGGGTTTGATGTTGCTCCTCGACACCCGGGATTAGGGGGAACAACTTTGCCTAATGTGCGCCAGGAGGTCCAAACTAATGGCCATCAACGGGTTTTAGTTGTCACGACCCACTTCATGGCAATAAAAAATGTGGCCATTGGAATAAGGCTATTACCCATGGATTGTACGTACTTAAATGCCATAATACTTGGCTCTTTATCAGCCACTTTTATAATGCAAATTGTGGAATTTCTCAGCAAAGATAATTGAGACTGCCGGCACAGTGTGAGTTAATAAAAAATAATTATGTAAATAACAAGTGCATATTTAATAAGATTTGCCTTTAGGTTGGATTTATCAGCAACCTGTCTGGGGGTTAACAGGGTGTTTTTAATAGAAAAAAAATGTGAAACTGTATAATAAAGCAAATAAATTATTTAAGGAATAAAAACTGTATACACGGACCTTAAAATAAATGTTTCTTAGAAAAATGTGTTCATTTCAATATTTAATTTTTTTTTTTAATTATTCCTGGCCACAAAATACACTTCATGCATATATATATATATAAGTTACCCTGTAAACTAAGTACAACTACATTGTAATCCAGTCTCAGACCTCAACTCGGTGACTTACAATCTCAAGTTTTCCCTTTAATTGTTAATTAACAAAGCGGAACTTTTAATTGAGTACCAACTGTGTGTGTAGTTTTCAGAGCTTTCCACTCTACTGATAACAGCCAGAGCTAATATTTATTTGTGTGTGGGATTTGTTTATAGGCCCCATTAATTATGGAGCAGATGAGAGGCGATGAGAAATACATAGCACGGATGTCTCGATATCACGAGCAGCTGCTGCTCCGGAGGCTGCTGAATCACGTCTGTCCAACGGAAATCAAATGCTATAAATATAATCAATATAATGCAATGCAAGACTCTCCATTGTTTATTAATTATATTCGCGCAGTATCTTTTTGTACTTTTACACACACGTGTGTCCATCAGTCTATTGATTATTATCCACAACCTGTATATCGGATGATAGTTCCCCGAAGCGAAAGACAGGCGAGCTGAGGGTACTTTGTTTCCAGGAAAAACTCTCAGAAAGCTGGGTCTAAGGTTTAGTTTATTGTTGTGAATTCTGTACGTATTTCTATTGTTACCACATTTTTAGCTGGAAACTTGAGACGTAAGAATTTCCCTTCGAGACAAGCACTGGAAAATAATTTATTTGTTATGATTTAAAATGGATTTTACATTGTGCCTGCTATTTGTTAATTATTCAAGCATTAGGGAAATAAATTCCTATCAAAACAAACCATTATTTACTTGGATTTTCCATTAATTTTAATCTATTGTGAGTACAAAATAATTTTCAGGGGTGAATTCGGCTTAAATTCTCAATCTCCCAGCTGGATATGTCATGAATTTTTCATTCGCCCTCAAAATACACACAATATTTGACCAACTAAAACAAATCAATTGTAATCAATCCAAACTGAGGGACCAGCTGCCGAGGTTCCCAGCGACTTAAGTTCCATAAAATGTTCGCAAATTGATTTCTTTTGAAAGACAAACAGAACGCAGGGACCGATGGACCGTTATTAAGAAGCTTATGCGAGAGACAAAAAGGAAAAGTTTCGACGGGGAAACCACAATTAAATGTCAGGCGGAGTGTGGCAGAAGTTGTGCTAATGAGAAAACGGAACCGAAAACAAATATAAACAACTCGGGACTTTGTACCCCCGGAGCGTATACTTAATATGAAAATACGCCAACATGGCGTATACTTGATGTGATAACTTACTTTTTGCTGCGTTGCCTGGCACTGATATGCAGCCAACTGATGATCTCCTGCAGCTTCGACTGTCGCTCCTCATCCTCGTCCTCATCCTGGTCATTATCCTCATCACCTGGCGCACCCTCACCGACATGCAAGTGATAGGGATCGTGGGTATGGTCGGTTATCATGAAGGTGGGCTTAGTATAACCATAAGGCGACGACATTTCACACTCACTATTACACTACACAAAAAGCACAGAGACCCTGGGACTCTCCTTCGGGGAGAGGGAGAGGCGTCAGACACTTGGTCTAAGCCAATTTCCAATTTTCACTCGACGGACTCCTTGGGCGCAAATTAATTAAAATTCCGTCTGTCCCATTTCGCGTCCGACCGATAGATTCTTTTAGCTGCTTGGCTTGGCTTTCCCTCTCGCGGCTGCCATAAAACTGCTGGCAGTCGGGTCGCCTCTCCTCCACATGGTGGCCGCCTTCTCTTCCGGCTTTCCCTCTTGGCCAACTTAATAGAACCATTTACCTATGGAACGACGAGCGGCAGCAGCAGCGTCGAAAATCCCTTGTTGCTTTTTCTATTTTGTCTTGTTCTCATTTTATTGACCAGCGTTTGTCTTTCCATTCTGGTATATAGCTTTATAGATATATGTATATATATACAACACACGTTCCCAGGCGGATCTACTGCTCAGCATTGAACTTGGCGATGGTCAGTCTCAAGTATTATTTATGGCTGTTTATGTTTTGTCTTCCTAGGTGCATGGCCAATATAAGATAAAAGGTACAAGGAAATTACGAAATTACTATTGTAGGTTGCACTTTTCAGACTTTATATATTTTTAGGAATATTTAGAAATTATATACAGGGATATTGGGAGACCATCAAGAGTTTTACACAATTAGAAAAATAAATATTTACATTTTAAAGCTATATTCAAATTTTATTTCATATTCCACTTAAAAATCTATTTATTTTTATGTAAACTTTTAAAAAATGTTCGCCCACTTTGACCTCAGATAATAAATTCTAAAATTAGTCCACTGAAAACACGACACAACACACTCGACCTTGGTTCGCCCCTCCAAAAATTTTTGATTTTTGCTGCGTTCAATCCAGCGAAAAAGTTTACAAACCAAAGGAAAATGCATATGTTTTTCCTTAGCTCTTGTATATCATTATATGTATTTATTTTATATAGAAAACACACACCAAGAGTCGAATGTAAAAGGTCAAAACAACAACAAACTTGAGGTGATAATATACACATAATATAAATATAATTTATAGATACTTTATAAACATATTATTAGGTAAAATACCGAAGGTAGAGCATCTCAATGCCACTCAAAGACAATGTGGGCCACCAGCAGGTAGACCGTCATCAAGGTGATCTGTCCCATCATCATGGGGAACCCAGTGCGCAGATATCGGGTGAAAGAGAGCTTGTAACCATGCTGCTCCGCTATACCAGCTGCAATTACATTGGCCGATGCTCCATACAGCGTTCCGTTGCCACCCATCGAGGCTCCCAGGGTGAGGGCCCAAATCAGTGGCTGCAGGGGCAAGCCCAGCGATGGTTTTGCTACCAGAGAGGTAACCAGCTTCACCATCATGGCCGTCACTGGAATGCTATCCAAAATGGACGAGGCCAAGGCCGACATCCACAAGATCATAAAGATGGCCATGGCCAGGCGGTGGTCCAAGCTAACCGAGAGGATCACGTGCTCGGTGAGCTCGCCAATGCAGGCGAAGATGCCCAGACGCTCCACGCACTCCATCATCACGAACATGGCAGCGAAGAAGAGCAGCGTGGTCCATTCAATGCGGTGCATCAAGTGCTCCATGTCGTCGCGATTTAGGATGATCAGCAGCAAGATCACGCCCAGCAGGGCCACCCAACCCAGTGGCAAGGTTCTCCAGTGCGGCACGGACTGGATGAAGAAGCAGACGATGACAAAGATGAGGGCTCCGGCAGACTGGAAAAGCAGTGTCTTGTTCTTGATGGGATACTGCAAGGAATAGGGTTACTTTTATGCTTATTTCTTGGAGATTTCTCGCACCTTCTGCTTCAGCTCATCCAGGGTATGGGTGTAGACCTCAGAGGAGCCCACACCCTTCTGCAAACGCCGGAGGTTCCTCTTTAAAGCCTTGATCTTTCCCTGAAGTGTGCCTCGGACCAGCTGGGCATCCTTAGAGCAGGAGGCCACCGCATTGAGGGCCCGCTGCCACACCTTGATCTCCCGCCTCAGCTCACTCATCTCCTTGGGCTCGTTGAGGCGCAAAGCATCTATATTGTGGTAGAAGAGGCGCAGGTAGGCACAGCTCTGGATAACAGCCAGGAGGACGCCTGGGAAGGTGTGGGCCACAAAGGTGAGGAAGGTGACGTCCTGGAAATGGTATCAATATAATAAATAACTTCTTTAAGATCGATTTTTAGCTACACTCACACTCTCCACAATAAAATGATTGGTGCTGACTATGATGCTTATGGGATCCCCAATGGGTGTCAGAGCTCCTCCGATATTGGCATGCACTATAATGCCCATAACCACGGGCAGCGGATCTAACTGCATTACCTCGCACAGCCTGATAGCCACTGGGGTGAGCAGGAGCACAGTGGTCATGTTATCCAGAACACTGGAAACCAGGCAGGTGACCAAACAGAGACTATATATCATGGGCCAGATCTTTCCGCCGGAGATCTCGAAGCAAAACACGGCCAGGTAATCAAAGACACCGGTCTCGGTCAATATCAGAATGATCAGCATCATGCAGAAGAGCAGGGTAAGCAGCTCCATGTCCATCCACTGGATAATCTCATCCATATTGGGACGATCTAAAGGAGATTATAATGAAGATATAGAGTAATTTGTTAGTTTTAATTAAGGATAATTCCTACCATTAAAGCAGGCTAATGCAGTCACTGAAAGAATCGAGCAGATCATGGCCACAAAGGGTCTCTCGAAGAGCTCCCACACCAGCAGGGCATAGAAAATCAGCAGAATCAGGCCAGCTAGGATGCTGCCAGTCCTGGCATTCACTATCAAAGGATTATAGTTGAGGATAATGGCCAAATCCGTCTCCACATCACTGTAAATATGCAAACGGAACTCGCTGTCCTTGTCGGCTAGTTTATCACTCAGCTCCTCGGTCATCAGGTAAGTGCGATTACTGGCCACTGCCGGAGCACGTTCCAGCTCCTCTTCAGACAGCAGAGGCAAGCGCCAAGCTGGGAGAATGTCCTAAGGGATAAATATAAATATAATAACATATTTCTCTTGATTGTAATCTCATTTGTGTTAGGTAATACCCACCTGAAATACCTTGCTGCGATTCTCGCCCAAGTAAGCCGATACCTGCGGCTGCACAGTCAGAAATCCGAAGCTCTCGGTCTCATTTTCAGCGGCATCCAGCGTGGAGAGCCCCCTGAAAGCTCCATGGATCTTCAGACGAAAATCGCCAGTGGGTTTTTGCAGCAGCTTGAAAACTATTTAGAGAAATAAAGAAAATTATTTAAGAATATTCTCAATAAAATATTTGTTATAAAACTCACATTTTCCCTGCTCGCCCTGCGGCACATCAATGGTTTTCTCCAACAGATGCTTTTCACCCACCGAGATGAGCACCACGGCGGCCAGCAGCCAGAAGATAAGCAGACCTCCTCGCTTCCAGAGCTTGTCCCGTTGACGCTGCTCTTTGGAACGCTTCGATTTGTGATGGAGCCGTCTGGCCTGAGTTTTGGCATTGCTAGGACCATTGGCTGGATCATGGTCGGAATGGGTGGTGGCCTCGTCATCGGTGACATTTTCATCACCTGGCCGATGCTTAATGTCCAAGAAATCAGAGCCCGCGTAGCTAGAACCGGGTTCATCCTGCAGGCCACCATTGTTTTTCTTGTCCACCTCATTGTAGCCATCATAGTCCTCCTCGTCATCGTCATCATCACTCGCTCCAGCGGAGGAGCCTACAAGTGAATTATTGGACGTTTGAATAATTAATAAGCGAGTGCTCAGCTACGTGGCCTCGAGTGTCTGACAGTTTATTGATTTGCCTGTCATGGATTTTGTACATATATGTACACCGGGAAAAAGCAATTAAAAATCAAGATTATGCCCTCGAAATATAGAGGAAAAGGAGGGGTGGAAAACTGGGAAAATAGTAAAAATATTTACTCGAGTTTGATTAAGAAATAGTTCTGGAGATGACACAGTTGTTTAGCTCGACTGAAATGACAAATAGCTCTCTCTCTGAATAAGAGGGATTAGGCATCATTTTTAACACTCTATATTTTTATATTTAATTTATTTATTTAAGACCTTCCCCTTATAACTTTCCCCTCTCAAGACTCACCATGAATCCTCTCATTCTCCATTTGAAAGCTGGCCATGCTGGGATCATGTCTTATTTCGGCGGGCAAAGCACGCCATACCTGGAGGGATTGCTCGGTGACCTGAACAGCGGCCACCTGGTTATGCTGGCAGCCACCCTTTGGACTGCGATGGCGCATCTCAATGCTGCACTTGTCCCGACCGGGGCTATCCGGCCGTAAACGGAACGTTTCCCGCAGACCCATGGCCCGGAAAAATCAGCGAAATGCGAAAGGCGAAAATCTAGAAGCGAGCAGAGGAGGAGCGTGGGAGATTCTCCAGATTCTATTTATTTATTCACGGGAAAATGCGAGAAACAGCAGCAGCGTACATCTTTGCCGCACACGAGGCACGAGGCGACTGAACGGAATCGGAATCTTTACGCCGCTGCGGGGCTTCGGCTTCCATTCAGCCGCCGTCGCTGCTTTCAATATTGAAAGTGAAACCATTGTCGCCGTTTTCCAGGATGGCGCAGGCGCCATATAATCTCTTCACGGATTACCTTGTTTTGCTCGCCACATTCGGTGCACCACAAAAAATAAAGGCCGGGCGTGGTGGCAGTGGTTGTGCTGCCATCAACAAGTTTTTCATTTGGCACTGTCACGCCATATTATTATTAATTTAAAAGTCTTTACTCGACCCATTCAATTTTATCTTGGATGCACTGAATTGCATGTTAAGTGAGTGCATTTTACAACCTTGAAATGAGCCTGGGAAAAAGTATTTCCAGAGCCTGCAAGGAGTATAGAACTATTTTTAATTCACACCTGCTTTACATAAGCTTGTTCTATTTATTATTAAACATAACAAACGTTTTATAGCCATTAGGTTGGTTGATCAACGTTAATAAAATTTTGTTTAAAGTTATGCCAAAAAAAAAAAAAAATATATTATTAAACAAATACTTGGACAACAAGTTCGTGAAAGTAATAGTTATAGTATACTTTTAGGGACAAACAAAAAAAATGTACAAGAATTCTTTAATTAAATAACAAATTTAAAAACAAAAAACTAATATTTTGTAAATAATTTGTATTGATAAATATTAGTGGAATACAAAATAAATAATACTTAAATCGGTAGATATTAAAAAGATAATACTAAAATTTTAATGTTCAAAAAAATGATTTCCTAAAATAAAATCCTTAAATGAGGGCTTCAAATAGAAAAATAGGTAAAAGCGAAATTGAAAAGAACCTGAAATTCAGTTTGATGATTTTTTAATCTTATAAAAACTAACACAAAAACTCTTTCCAAATTGAATTTAATTAATTTTTGACTTAATTATGTATTTTTATCGAAGCTCTCCATAATTGAATTAATTTCTTTAATATTGAAACTTTCATTTTTTGTCGAGGTTCTTTCATCGTCTGTAGCGCAGGCGCAGGACTATATAGTTATTATTCCCATGTTTTGCTCGCCTCGTTCGCTGATTCTCGAAGGTGGGTGAGCAATCGGTCAACAAGTTTGCAACGCCCGTTGTCAACACTTTCCCGGTTTATTATTTATTAAAGTGCCACCGCATTGCTCATACGACATGTCGTCCCGCCATACACACACACATTTCTAATCCGAACGATAGCTCACTACCAGGCAAAGATGGAAGGCACATTTGAACAAGTTTAATGAACAATTCTCAAGGGGATTGCATTGACCTCGTACTACCATGGAAGTAAAGGCATTACCTAGCGATGGGGAAAAAGACTGTGTGGTAAGGGAATAGTAAGAAGGGCATATAAGGCGGCCAAAATGTGATTTATAAGAATAAGGTTCCCTTAACTTTTAATTTCACTTTAAAGTTTGTGGTGAAATTAATTTCTATTTTTTAATTTTCTATTTTTTTTACTCTAGATCCACTTGGCTATATAAAAATATAAATAAACAGAGAAACTTTCAAAAATATTACTTTAGCAATTATCAGATTTATTTTTAAAGAGCATTTGCTTCTCTATTATGACTAAGGACTCCCCATCATATTTAGCTCTCCCCTAATTTGCTAGTAATTTATCAAAATCTAGATTATTATCCAAGCTGATGGATTATGCTTTGGGTCGATTAGTACCCAATTGCCGGGAACCTCCCCAAACCATACCAAAGTTCGTCCTTCGTCCAGGTGGACCTGCACATTGGCTAAACAATGAGCAGATGTTAACGGCTTTGCCTTTTCACTGGTTGTTGTTAACTTGTTAGTACAAATACTATACACAGTGTGCCAATTCACAAGCACAACAAACTATGGTGGACGCATCACCAGCTAGAAAAGCAAATAACAAGTTTTTGTTGACATACAGGACACTTGCGAGTGGACCTTAGAAATCCTTTTATTGAGAGTTATACTATCATGGAATTGCTGTTATTATACAAAAGTTTACCTAGTGGAATGATAGAAATAAAAATATTCAATCATTAAATGTAACATAGGTCTATTGTTGAAATAAAATATAATAAAATATATCTATAAATAAAATAGTAGTTATCTTTAAAAAGCAAAAGCTTTTATAACTTTTTATATTTTGCCAATCAATTTAACAAGAAACCTATAAAATGAATACCTAAAGAAATAGGATCACAGATACGGTAGTACCACCCTAATGGACACACACGTGCTGACATAAAAAAGGACACACCGCTGCCACCCGCACCCAGGTACCCCAAAAGGAGTCGGGGGTGGTTTTGGTTTGGCCCCATTTAATGGGTTAGCGCGCAAAAAAATAATATTCCTCATAAGTGGACATGACGGCCGAAACGAAAGCTCATTCAGCGCTGGACAAGCAACCTGGCAAGGTGCGAGGCGGAAAATGTCATCGCCGGTTGTGCGGGAAACGACCTTCGTGCAGCACTTCGCAGGACAGACAACTTGAGTGAAAGGACGATGGGCTGTGGCTCGTCCATGGAGACGCAGACGAATCCTGTCGTCACGGAGGTCAGCTCGGGAATGCAATCGCGGCAGAATGCCGCCGGAGTGACGGTAATTGTGACCACAAACTCTGGCACCTTCTGTAACCTAATCAATACCACACATGGTCACCGCAGAATATTGTCGAGCAGTATGTGCGACTGGACGAGCAGATCGGCAAGCTGGAGGGCACCTGTCCTGGTCCACGTATGGCCACAGCCGAGGCCTGGGTGGATCACCTGCAGAGCAAGCACGAGGCAATGCTCGGTCTCGATGGCATGGACGTGGCTCCGTTGCGGGAAAGGGGTCGTGCCAGCGATATTGAGCAGGAGGAGGTTTACACAATGGGCACCCGGCAGGGCAATCAAATTGTGGCCAACACGCCCACCAAGGACCTGGCCCAGGCAAGTGACGACCTGCCATTAACGCATATGATGAAATTTGCCCTGCTGTATTATTAACTTCCGTTTTCGTTTCCCCATCAGCTTGCCTACAACTTGGGCGTTATTGGCGATTCCCGCAAGGCTTCCATGCACGAGGACTTCTTTGCCAACCTGAGCGAGTCCGCTTTGTATTTGCTCAGCATACGATACTACGGCGAACTGCTGGAACACACCAAGCAGCGCCTGAAGACGCTGGTCGAGAGCTATGCGGAGCTGAATGAGTTGTATGTGAAGCAGGACGGTATTATAGCCTACATAAGTGGTGGGACCTATATGACCCGGCTGGAGGAGAGCATAGACGAGCAATTGGAGACGGCAAGGGACACGAGGGATAAGCTGGGCAGTGCCCTGGAGCAGTGGCGCATCTGTGGGTTACTGCTCAGAGCAGCGGCAAATTCTTCGACGCAGGCACTGAAGCAGTGGCGGCAGCTGGCCAGGATGATGTAAGGGTCATGGTTACCAGGAGGGAGATAGTAAAACTTGACGAGGTCTTTTCCTTTTCCAGTGATCCCAAGCAAAAGTTGCAGTGGGCTTTGGACTGCCGCAGCCTCCTCCATGCATCCATGGTCTCCCTAGAAGCAGCTCAACTAGCCCTGCCGCATGTGGAACTCAAGTACTTGAGTCATCGCCAAGTCCTGGCCGTCAAGCACTGCAATACCTACTTAATCACGGACATAGCCAACAAGGCGCGGTAAGTCATCTCATCAAAACCCTCACCACAATACTCAATACACAATAGTATTGTAAATCTCTTCAAGCTATGAGCACACCACCCGCGTGTTTACCAGCTACGAAGCCAACATGTCTAAGACTTGCACTTGGCTATATGAAACCTTCAACAACACCCTGCGTTCCGACTTCGACAAGGCGGAGGCCACAGTGAGCGGACTGGCCAAGACGCTGAGAGACCATCGTGAGGAGATCTTCGCCACAGTGCGCAAATGACAGGAAATTTGCTCAAGATGTGGGTTTTTGTACATTACTTTAATAAAGATTAGGCATAGGTTTAATACCAGTAGCTCTTGGCTGGCGTGCGCTCCTCCTTGATGCCCATTTCCTCCATGATGTCCATCTCAAAGGTGGACAGCTTGGGTTGGAAGGTGATCTCGCCGACCACAGCAGCTGAAAAGTAAGAAAAACTCCTAGAAAAAAAACGACAGTAGCAAGAGAAATCTGTAGCCCACCTGGCGTATCCTTCTCCCTTTCTATATAAGCATTTGGGGTTTTGTAGTCATACGTCTGATTGTTGGTCTCCGGTATGGGTATGATTCGGCCCGATCGCATGGACACACGCACCTTCTCACCCTCCTCTGTGAAGCGCCACTCAAAGTCCGTACCCTGCAAATCCGACGGATCCACCAGACGTATGTCTTTGGTGACATGCAGCGGTGCCTCGGACTTGATAATGATGCCGGGGAACTCCTTCTCGGCGCCCACTTTGCGGTAGTGCCAGTTAAGGCCCTCTACAATGACCCAGTTGCGTTCGGGGATCACCTGGGTGACAAGACCCTGCTTGCCCTTGTCCTTGCCAACCAGAACCTCGATGCGATCGCCACGGAAGAAGCTCCACTCCTCTGGAAAATAATTTATTAGTTTTTAATTTTAAAAATTATCAAAAGATCTCACCAATTGGTTCCACTAGCACCTTGCGGCGCACTGTGCCCGGCATGTTCTGCTGCCGGAACTGACCAGTCCATGAGCGGTTTGTTGTGTATCGAAACCGCTTCCGTTCCACTGTGCGTTGCAGGTAATTCTTTTCATTAGGTGTTTGCCAGAACACCTGTTTTTTAGTTTAGAGAGAAATGGGTTTTAATATTATCTGTTACGTGAGCTCTTCTCGCAAAGGGTTTAACAAATATGACTTTTTAGCTTACCTGCTTCTTGCTGCGCTCGATGTACTCCTTGGGCAGGTTGGAGAAGTTCTTTAATTTGCTGGCCAAAAATTGTGTTATCCTCATTTTTAACAATTAATTCAACAATTAACAAAATAACTAGGAAAATAAGAAATAAATGCGGCTAGCAAACAGCTGTTTGGGTCTGGAAGAAGAAAAGGCATTCACAACGAAACGTTGACAGGGGTGTTATGAGAGTTTATACGGGAAAATGTATTAATAATCAAATAATACAAATAACTAAATAACTTATGAAGTCTGCTAAAATTAAAGATATTTTCATTTGGAAATTATGAATATTATATTTTATTTTTTATTTATGTTTTGCTTTTGAAATCACAAATAACGGAATTGTTCTTCGTGTAAACACATTTCCCTGTGATTGACAATACCTGCCAAGAAGAAGCACTTGTTATTTGCTTTGCTGTTCTTGGGAGTTTTTTTATCGTTCGTCGCAGCCCTAAATTGCGATGCAAACCGGCTTATTATAAACAAAAGGTAAATGCTTGACTACTTAAGTGTGGGCACGTGCGGGCGCACTTCCATTGGAAGCCGCACTGGCCAACCGCGAGCATCTGTGCCTCCGTCAGCTGCAGCAGCGCTTAGTCATACATACACATATCCTCACCGTCGTCGCACACTCACCCAAACACACACACACACTCACACCGATAACGCAGTTCCGTTCCGGACACAATAACTTCTTCGATATGTCCCATCACATAGATATGGAAGACCACGCCGAGCCGGAGCCCGTCCTGCTCTCGAAGCACGCCAAGAACCTGCTGCGTTTCCTCAATCTGCTGCCGGCACGGATGGCCTCGCACGATAACACCAGGTGAGTGCAGCACCCTGCGAGGGTCCTTGAACTATTCTGAATTATTCCATTTGTCCTTTTAGGAGTACCATTGTCTTTTTTGCTGTGTGCGGCCTGGATGTCCTCAATTCCCTGCATTTGGTGCCGCCACAGCAGCGACAGGACATCATCGATTGGATCTACGGGGGATTGGTGGTGCCACGCGACAACGAGAAGAACTGCGGCGGCTTCATGGTGAGCATAAATTCCCGTCAGTCGTCTGTCAGGTGAACAAACAGCCGGCAGTTGGCAAGTTAAACAGAGAATCGCTCGACGCCACATATCCCCGCCCATTCCTCCGATATCCAACCGCATTCCTTATCTCTTTACGTGGCCCGGCAGCAGACACTGCGGCAGACCTTGCCGTTTACTTCGGAGTATTAATTGTTTATCCAGCGTATCATGATTTGTATTTCCTTCTCGGGAATATGATCTACGAGGGGGTGTCTTACATCCTACTATGGCAGGCAAGATAATAGCTCAAAAATATGTAGTAAAAGAGGGAGTTCAAACTCTACTAAATCATATTTAATTTAATTAAAGTCAAAAAAAGAAGTCATAAATAATAAGGTTTCGCTAACTCTACGCTTTACTTGGTACTTTATCTCTTATAGTCCACATATAAATTCACTTTTAATGACTCAAGATTAGCATATACTTATAATACTACTCATTATTATTCCAGTATTTACTCTATATTTATTAAACCCAACTTTCCGAGAACTTTAAATGTAATTCCAAAGCATTGCCACTTGAATTCACCTTGCTGTTGTTATTATTCCCACCTCCGCTGTGCAAATATGCATACATAATTGCAGGGGAAGTAGTTCTCCCGCAGCAGCAGCTCGATTCAACCAGTCCCCCATCCCATTACCTTGGTTTCATCACGCCACGCTTTATCAGCGACGAGAAAAACATGCAAAACCTTTTATTGATTGATTAACTTATTGCGCCTTCGTTTTATCTTTGCAGGGCTGCCGCGCCATGGTGCCGAAAACGGAGGACGCCGCGCTCTTGGAGTGCATGCGGAAGTACCAGTGGGGCCACTTGGCCATGACATACACCAGCATAGCCGTCCTTGTGACCCTGGGTGACGATTTGTCCCGTTTGGATCGCCGCAGCATTGTGGACGGAGTGGCTGCTGTTCAGAAGGCGGAAGGAAGCTTTGGAGCCTGCATCGATGGTAGCGAGGATGATATGCGTTTTGTTTACTGTGCCGCCGCCATTTGCCACATGTTGGACTACTGGGGCGATGTAGACAAGGAGGCCATGTACCAGTTTATTATGCGTAGCCTGCGCTACGATTATGGTTTCAGTCAGGAGCTAGAGGGCGAGGCACATGGTGGCACCACATTCTGCGCCCTGGCCGCTTTGCATCTCAGTGGACAGCTGAAACGACTGGACGCGGATACAGTTGAACGAATGAAGCGTTGGCTCATCTTCCGGCAGATGGATGGATTTCAGGGGCGTCCCAATAAGCCAGTGGACACGTGCTACTCCTTTTGGATAGGTGCTTCGCTGTGCATTCTGGATGGCTTCGAGCTGACAGACTATGCAAAGAACCGCGAGTACATACTGAGCACGCAGGACAAACTAATTGGGGGCTTTGCCAAGTGGCCACAGGCCACACCCGATCCGTTTCACACGTACCTGGGACTCTGTGGCCTTGCCTTCACTGGTGAACCGGGCCTGAGTGCCGTGAATCCTAGTTTGAACATGTCCATGGCCGCCTGCGTTCACCTAAAGCACCTGCACGAGCAGTGGCATTCGAGAAATGGACGTGGCGACGACGACACGGGCTTGAGTTCTGCCGCCCAGCAGCACCTAAAGCTGGCGAAGGAGCCAGAGGCGATGACGACTGCAACTACTACCTCTACATCGCCTTTGATTCAGGCACAATGAGGGACAAAAAGCGTTGACGCACACGCACACTATTGTATTTGTATGGGCCAGGTTTTAGCCACGTTTTAGCCATGCTTTTCTACCTGTTTTTTGTATTGCTAGAAGCTCAGGCTTTCGGAGGGAGTAAATACGTTTATTGTACAGCCTAAATTAATGTTAACAACGAGTGTAAGATTAAGCTTAAAATTAAATTAAAGCGTCCCATGCCGAAGCATGTATTTACAGCAAGCCTCAAAAGCCTCCTAGGTTTTGGTCCGTCCCCAGGGTTAATCTCTGTAAAGGTAAGTCACACCTGCAGGAACAGGCGGTGGTGCTGCATGGCCGGCAGGTTGTAGCCCATTCCCGGCCGATCGATGTGCACCCGTCCGCGTAGCGGGGCCAGGACTCGTTCCGTGACCAGCGGGCAGCGCTGCACCATCAGCGACTGCAGTAGAGGACAGCTCTGGGTGAGGGCGCTGCGGGCGAGAGGGGAGAACGAACGGAGGAGAGCTAGTAAACAAGAAAATCGCTTGGATAGAAGTCGTTCAGATAGTGGGCATGGTGTCCCGCCGCCTCTTCCTGCCGATCGATGTAAAGGCACCGCTGCCGGAGCGGCGCCAACGAGCGTTCCGTGATCCGCGGACAGCGGCGTATTAGCAGGGTGCGTATACGCGGACACTGCCTGGCCAGAGCGCTGAAAAAATACCCAGATGCAGATGCAGGATTGGCCAGGTTTGACCCAAGGAACACCACACAGACACAGACACGAACAGGACTACAGCGAGAAGAGATAACGAGGACTACTTACTGCACTCCATAGTCGGAGATGGCCGCACAGCCGATCAGGTTGATGTGCTCCAGTTCCCGGCAATAGTTTCCAATCTGGATGAGCACCTGGTCAGTGACGCTGGGCGTATTGGCCAGCGACAGGACGGTGAGCTTGTTTAGCCTCCGGAAGAAGATGATCAGACAGCGTTCGCCAATGGCGCCGCAGTGTGAGATGTCGAACTCCACCAGCTTGCTCTGGTGCAGGGTCAGGGCGTCCACGGCCCCAGTGGTCAGCCACTGGCACTTGGACAGTTTAAGCACTCGCAGCTCCTTGCACTCCACGATGATGGGCTGCAGGGACAGGGCCGTGATATTGATGCATTCGTTCAGGTTGACGGCCCACAGGCGTTTCTTGTTATTTGCCAGCAGTGGAAGCAGTAATTCGTCCGTCAGCCAGCGGCAGCGGGCCAGATGGAGAACCTCCAGACGGTGGCAGCAGCGGGCCAGCACTCGGAAGCCCTCTTCGATATTGCTTGTATTGTTCCCGGACAAATGAAGCTCCTGGCGCTTCTCCAGGGCCGCCTGCACGAATCGGTGGGCGGTACGCGAGCAGCAGCGCAGGTTGAAGAGATCCTTGAGCGACAGGTAGACGGCCACCTGCGGGATGAGCACGTCGTCCCAGCAGACGTCGAAGAGCGACAGAGGCTTGCCTGTCTTCGGCGAATCCGTGGTACTCAAGGCCTCACTGGCCATGGCCACAAGGTGAGCCTCCTCCTCGGGATTAAGGGTGCACATGAGTGCGCCTCCTAGAGCTGGGAAACTATCGATGGTACTATCGAGGTATCGACTTTTTCCTTTTTTTGAGCCACCATCGATAGTTTTTTATCACTATCGATAGTACGGGACTATTTTTATATCTCTGCTTTGTTGCTGAAATTTAGTAAGAAAAATGCAAACAAATATATATATATATGTATATATATATTTTTTTTTTTATAATAAAAATGTATTCTAAATTAACTTAAATTGGAGTTGGTGGTGAAAAATATTAACTGAATCTCAAAAGAAAGGGTGCGTCTACGCCACGTCTTCAGAGTCTAAGCGTATGTTTAGCAATGGTAATACAATTTTATTTGTGCAAAGTTGCTTGGATAGAATATTTATGTTAATTACTTAGTCAAAACATATTGAATAGTATTATAATTCTATTTGAAATTGCTATAACTTTAATTTGCAAAAAGAATCGTAAAAAAACGATACTATCGATAGTATCGAATTTTCGTTTTCAAAACATCGAAAATATCGAATGGTGTCACTATCGATAGTTTCCCAGCTCTAGCGCCTCCGATTATGTGATCTGTCCACCAGCAGCGCTCCTGACCCGCGATCCTGCTCCAAATAAAACGTAATGCGATCAGCTGTTTGCCTTTCACCCAGAAGCGTGAACAAGAAACAGCTACAAAATAGCTAAAACAAACAGCCACCGCCAAATTGGAAGGATTTAAAAAACAAGCCTGATTTTTCGGTTACTTTTCAAATAATCATTTTACTTTAGGAAATTAGTAAGAGATGCCAGTGTGGTCACGGATCCAGTCCAAGTGGTAGGTGACGCGCTGGAAGCCAGCAGGAGCTCCCGACTGGCAGCCGTTGCTGGAGACGAAGTTGCTGACGCCGACCAGCTTGCTGCCGTCGTGTGTGACCAGGGGACCGCCGGAGTCTCCTCCGCAGATGGACTTGCCGTCGACGGTGCGGGTGCAGATGACGTTGTCGCCAACGCTGCCGTAGGTCCAGCCGCACTCGTCGTTGTGGACGATCTGCAGGTCGACGCACTGCAGCCAGTCGGGCAGCGGGCTGCCGTCGTAGGTGCCGCCCCATCCGCAGGCCACGGCCCACCACTCGTTGTAGTTGTTGTAGCGGTCGTTGTAGCTGGGCAGCTCCACCTTGTTGACCATGTGCCAGAAGTCCACGTGGGGGATGCGGATCAGGGCGATGTCGGCGTTGGAGTGCTTGATGAAGTCGCCGTTGCCCACGGTGTGCGTGTACTGGGCGTTGGTGCGCCAGGTGGCTCCGAAGTAGACGGTCACGGAGCCGGCGTCTCCGATGCAGTGCTCGGCGGTCAGGACCCAGGTGTTTCCGATGATGGAGCCGCCGCACCACCAGCCTCCGCTGAAGCCGAGACCGACGGTGTAGGGGGGCCTTGCCCTCGGGGGCGGCGTATCCGTTCGTGATACGACCCTCGATCTTCATGGGCTTGGGCAGGTCCTTCACGAAGACCTTCTCGTCGAAGGCGGCGGCCGAGGCCACGGCCAGAGCCAGGATAGTTAGGAACACCTTCATGTTGATGTCGACACTGGATTCTGCTAGCCAGGGAGCAGTCTTTTATAGGCCCTCCCAGAGCTCGGTTCCCGCTATCCTTATCTGGGTTCGTAAATATTCATCGAGACTCCCATAAATCCCGTGATTGGTGACAGCGATAAGCTCCGAAAGGAGCCACTTGACCGGGAGTTTCTTAGGCGGAAGAAACCAAGAAAACCTACTATCAGACAATCTCTTGGTGCGGTCTGAATTTTGTTCCGAATATATTATATATATTTAATATAAAATTTAATTTATTTTTTTTTTTATTTGGATTTATTCTGATACAGTATATATCAACTTAAAGGAAGGAATGACAATTGCTTTAATATTATTATAATTCTGGGATTTTCTCAGACTGTTTTGAATAGTTTTAGCAATATTTATTGCAGTGTTCGAACATTCCTGACTGGGCTCAGACCTTTCTTTGAACCTTTAAAAAATTTACTATGATCATTCATTTCGAGAATGATTTTTAACTTAGTGGTTTGAATGATAATAAAAATCTTGTCAAGAAGCACTTTCGTAGATTGGTTGTAATTAAGGTTCAATACGTCATTTGTTTATAATTAGGATACTTTACTAAGTACTTGGTTCGGCAAATAAGACTTACAAATGACACATAAATGTACTCAAAGAATGGATGATTTTTGTTAGTAACTTGTAGTAGTACATGCTTTCAAGTAATATGATAAGATTATCTTCATTTTGCCTTTCTGATCTAACTAGGGAGAAATAATTGTTGCCATGGTAGACACTCTAACGGGACTCCTTAAATATCAATGTAAATAAATAGTATTATCAATGGAAGAGGCTACTCTACGAAAACAAAATATACTTTTCTTTCTATTGCAGATGTAGAACGTGTATAGTTTTCGTAAGCCAAGAAATCCTTACGGATCTGTTTAAAACTTGACTCGTTTTGTGATAAAAATATTTTCTTAATTTTCATCACAAAAATGTAATTCAATATATAAGTAAATAAATAAATATTTAAAGTAAAACAAATAATTCTAATTACTAGGTATACAAGGCTTCTGTACTCGGAGTCCCCTATCTGCAGGCAAATAAATATTGTAAATATTCTACAAGAGGACCATAAACACCCAGTGATAAGGAACTGAGACAGGAACCAGCTCCGTTGGCTATCGAAACAAGTAAAATTGTGGGTTAATTAGTGATGTCTTGAATATATGACAGGATCTTCACTAAATGGTAGATTACTCATGGTGGTCGCTCTTAATTAGAATGCACCGAAGCCGCCACGAAAACTAGAGTGTGATGAGCGATAAGATTAGAAGACTTGTCTGGCTTTAAGATTTAATAATAAATGTACAATAATCTGTCTACTTAAATTAATTAAAATTTTACATATAAAGTTTAAACAGACAAAAAAGGAAACTAACTTCGGAAAGCCCAAATTTGTATACCTTTGTAGTTTGCCATAGTTTTGTGGCATCGAATCAAAAACCAATCATAACTAAGCCAAAAATGCATCAAATTCAATTCGGAAAGCTGTTCTGTGCCAGTTTTTTCTATGTTAACAAATCTGCAAACTCAATTTTAATTTTTAGGAAATTAAAATTTATGTCAATTTTTGAGAATTTTAATGATGTAACCCCTTATAAAAGTTTGAAATTTTGGGACAAAATTTTTAAAATTTTTTTTCCTCCAAACATATCTAGAACGACTCGTCTGTTAATGCTGATCAAGTAAATATATGATTTATAGGGTCGGAAACGATTCCTTCACTGACTTAAATCATAATACCCTCAAAGAAAACAGGAAATATTATATTTGAAATCTTTAAATCGAATTTATCCATATTTTTTTATCATAATTTTTTTTTTTTATCTAAGTTTTAAAGTTCAGTTTGGAACGCTTTTTTTTGTAGCTTATCAAATCTGTATACTGAATTTAAAGAAATCAATCAATCATTTCCGCAAAAATTAAGTAAAATGACTTCACTGCTTAAAAACTTTTGACAAAAATTATAATACCCATCAAGGCTATTAAAATATATATATAAATATATTCTTCTATAATTGATTAAATTTTGCAAATATTTAATACGCAAAATCCATAATCTTATCAAAGAATAAAACCGCCGCCAAAGGTAAACAAATCCCTTAGGTTGGCTCTATAGCCACCGATAAGGATTCTTAATGAATACTCAAAACTTTAATCACTAGATGAACTCATCCAAATAGAAATAGCTCGACCCAAACCCACCATAAATAAAATAACAATCTAAGAGAAATTAAAACAACATCCAAATATATGCAAATAGATTTATTTCAAAAACGAAATTATGCTTAAGAGGAAATGCCGGTGTGGTCGCGGATCCAGTCCAGGTAGCTGGTGACGCGGGTGAAGCCATCGGGCAGGCCCGAGGTGCATCCGTTGGAGGCCACAAAGGAGGTGACGCCGACCAGCGTGTTGCGGTCGTGGAGAACCAGGGGGCCGCCAGAGTCGCCAGAGCAGGTGGACTTGCCGTCGGGAGTGGAGGTGCAGATGACGTTGTCGGTGACCACATCGGATCCGTAGACTCCAGCGCAGGCATCGCGGCTGATGATCTGGGAGTCGACGCAGTTCAGGTAGTCAGAGACGCCGCAGCTGTCGCAAGGCCTGCCCCATCCGGAAGCCAGAGCCCACCAGCCGTCGTAGGAGTTGTGGCGGTCGCTCCACGGCAGCTCCACGCGGTTCACATGGCTCCAGAAGTCCACGTGGGGGGTGTTGATCAGGGAGATGTCGTTGTTCAGGTTGTTGGTGTTGTAGTTCGAGTGCTGGCGGAAGCTGCCGCTGCCGACGGTGTGGGTGTACTGGGCCTGCAGGCGCCACAGGGCACCGTAGTAGATGGTTACAGAGTGAGCGCCGTGGGTGCAGTGGGCGGCGGTCACCACCCAGGTGTTGCCGATGATGGAGCCACCGCACCACCAACCGCCGCTACCGCTGCTAAAGCCCAGACCGACAATGTAGGGCACCTTGCCCTCGTAGGCCGGGTAGCCGTTGGTGATGCGACCCTCGATCGAGCCGGATGCGGGACCCTGAACGGCATCCTTCAGGGGCACGGGCTTCGCCTTCTGGGGCTGAGCGGTGGCACAGGCAACGGCCACGGCCAGGACAGTGAGGAACAGCTTCATGTTGATACTTGGTTTCGAGCTCAACTGGACTGGACACTCCATGGCGGTGATTTATATACCTCCGGTTGGATGGCATATCGGAGATCTTCTTCGATACTCGAAAGTTCAATCCACTTGCCGGCAGGTAATCTAATCGAGCTAATTTCGCACGCCTCCACAGCTCCGTTCAGTGATATGCGTGTCTTCCACCACACAGGGTACTCCTCCAAAGTCTGATCGAGCAGATTCACTCACTTTCCGGCTCATGCCGGCACTTGCCACTCAATTGAGTTGATACCTCTGTCGCACCTTCACCCATTCATTAAAAGATTATGGACGCACTGCCGCCTCTTGGGGCAGATTTGTAGATAAGTCTCCCGATAAGCCACCCATTCATGCCGAGAGCCACAACCGAAAGGCCTCTCGAACAGAAGCGTGGAAAGATTTGGCAACAAGTCCAAGGGAAGCCTATCATTATTTTTTGGGGCAAATGGAAATATTATTATAATGGCTTCGAATTTATACCTTTTAATTATTTATTTATTTATTATTTAAGGAAGAGCAAATATCTGCCATTATAAATTATAAATATTAAACCCTTACCCCTGACCGGATAACGATATGCTTCGACTTACATCAGGTGGGCAGAGGCAAGGATAAATATGGGATAAATAATATTTATATAATGAATTAAATATCTTTATTAAATATGTTAAGTATTTTTTTATTTATTATCAACATTCTCTATAAGAAATAGAACTAACTGGAATAGATTTACCAAACTTCTTGGCAGCAACAAGGCAATCTTCTCCAGGCAAAGACAGCTCAAGCTGGATACCAAGGCACCTGCCAATAATCATTTTCTTTTTGTTAAATAAAAAATAATTCGAAAGAAAGTCTAGTATGCCAGATTCCATCGTTTTAATTTTCATCAAAGTTATTTGTTTATTTTATTAACAAAGAAAATTATTTTCTTCATGATTCAAATGCCCAAAAAAATATACCTTAATCAAGATAAAATTAATACAAATGACAATAAATAAATTTATTATCATTAAAACTAAATATATGTATATCTTTAAAAATAGGATTTTCCCATGTTATCAATACCCTTTGGTATTCCAGTTCCCGCCCAGAGTACATTCTACCAACAATTAAAAGCTATCTAGATGTTCCCGGGCTATCTATTAATTTCCATTGGTATCAGCAGGCTCTCGTCTGTGGCTATTGATGAACGCGGGCAGATAGGATGAAACACAAGTAGGGCTACTCCAGACGGCGATAAGGGGGCGCTATATAACCGGCTGGAGAACTGGAGGAGCCACATTCAATCACCATGAAAGTGTTCGTCGTATTGGCTCTGGCTTTGGCCGCCGTCTCCGCTGAGACCGTGCAACAGGTGCACCCCAAGGACCTGTCCGGCAACACCAAGCTCAATGGCCGCATCGTGAACGGCTACCCGGCGTACGAGGGCAAGGCCCCCTACACCGTCGGCCTGGGCTTCAGTGGAAACGGTGGCTGGTGGTGCGGCGGATCCATCATCGCCCACAACTGGGTGCTGACTGCCGCTCACTGCACAAACAACGCCGCCCAGGTGACCATCTACTACGGAGCCTCCTGGCGCACCAACGCCCAGTTCACCCACACCGTGGGCAGCGGCGACTTCATCCAGAACGGCAACTGGCCCAACCAGAACGGCAACGACATCGCCCTGATCCGCACCCCGCACGTCGACTTCTGGAGCCTGGTCAACAAGGTGGAGCTGCCCAGCTACAACGACCGCTACAACATGTACGACGGATGGTGGGCCGTGGCCTGCGGCTGGGGTCTGACCACCTCCGGCTCCAAGCCCGACTGGATGGAGTGCGTCGACCTGCAGATCATCAGCAACTCGCAGTGCTCCCAAACCTACGGCACCCAGCCCGATGGCATCCTCTGCGTGTCTACCTCCGGCGGCAAGTCCACCTGCTCTGGCGACTCTGGCGGCCCCCTGGTGCTCCACGACGGCGGTCGCCTGGTGGGAGTCACCTCCTGGGTGTCGGGCAACGGCTGCACCGCCGGCCTGCCCTCCGGCTTCACCCGTGTCACCAACCAGCTCGACTGGATTCGCGACAACTCCGGCGTGGCTTACTACTAAGCTCAACGTCCGGCCATTCGTTAAATAAATCAAATTCTTAAAAAATTAATGGTGTTTTAATACAAATATTTGTTAAGCTATAAAAACGCTTTAGATGAAGAATATATTTATTTATAGGGTTTAAGATTTAAAGAGCGCTTCAGAGTAAACCATGGAGTATTTAATAGTCTACTTTGGCAACCAATCTTTTTATTTTGAAGAAAGAAAAAATGCTATATAAAAATCATCAAAATAAAAATCAGGCACTCTGCTATTAAGAAATAAAATTTCCGTGCTTATAATAAAGTCAATATAATCTATGATTATTATTTTAAATTTGTTCAACAACCAACCAAAAATATGGAAAATCATTCATGTCGAGAGATCATTGTAAATTGTATAAAAGTTTAAAGCTTGATTAAATGATTAGATAGACAGGTCTCAGCCCAATCAAGAACCGACAAACATTGCTATAAATATTGATAAGACTATTCAAAACAGGCTAAGAAAAACCCAAACATTTTACTTAACATATCCGCTATAGATAGTAGTGCCTAGGAAACCATTGGCCATTCCTTTCTACATTCAAGGTGATACCAACTCCTTTAGAATAAATATCTTAGTTGAACGTCAAATTAAAATATTAATTTTAAATTAAAATACAAATTAATATTATATATTTGGAATATTTAGACCCCACCGAGGTTTGACAGACCCCGGATAAGTGGCTCCTTTCGGAGCTTATCGCTGTCACCAATCACGGGATTTATGGGAGTCTCGATGAATATTTACGAACCCAGATAGGGATAGCGGGAACCGAGCTCTGGGGGGGCCTATAAAAGACTGCTCCCTGGCTAGCAGAATCCAGTGTCGACATCAACATGAAGGTGTTCCTAACTATCCTGGCTCTGGCCGTGGCCTCGGCCGCCGCCTTCGACGAGAAGGTCTTCGTGAAGGACCTGCCCAAGCCCATGAAGATCGAGGGTCGTATCACGAACGGATACGCCGCCCCCGAGGGCAAGGCCCCCTACACCGTCGGTCTCGGCTTCAGCGGAGGCTGGTGGTGCGGCGGCTCCATCATCGGAAACACCTGGGTCCTGACCGCCGAGCACTGCATCGGAGACGCCGGCTCTGTGACCGTCTACTTTGGAGCCACCTGGCGCACCAACGCCCAGTACACGCACACCGTGGGCAACGGCGACTTCATCAAGCACTCCAACGCCGACATCGCCCTGATCCGCATCCCCCACGTGGACTTCTGGCACATGGTCAACAAGGTGGAGCTGCCCAGCTACAACGACCGCTACAACAACTACAACGAGTGGTGGGCCGTGGCCTGCGGATGGGGCGGCACCTACGACGGCAGCCCGCTGCCCGACTGGCTGCAGTGCGTCGACCTGCAGATCGTCCACAACGACGAGTGCGGCTGGACCTACGGCAGCGTTGGCGACAACGTCATCTGCACCCGCACCGTCGACGGCAAGTCCATCTGCGGAGGAGACTCCGGCGGTCCCCTGGTCACACACGACGGCAGCAAGCTGGTCGGCGTCAGCAACTTCGTCTCCAGCAACGGCTGCCAGTCGGGAGCTCCTGCTGGCTTCCAGCGCGTCACCTACCACTTGGACTGGATCCGTGACCACACTGGCATCTCTTACTAATTTCTTTAAATAAAATGATTATTTGAAAAGCAATTGAAATGTTATTATTTTTCCCTGTCCAATATTTTCGTATCAGGCAGAAAAGAATCAGTAAGATGAGGAATTTAAGCTTGTTCTTTATTGTATTTGAACTTCACGCGCCATATCGATTTTCGATAAATATTTACGATAAAATTTCCTCCAGGCTGGTTACTCTGCGCACTGCATTTGTTGTTTGTTTTTATTTTCCGCCAAATTTCGTCGCAAATTGTCGCGACATGTCCACATGCAGTGCGTCCGAGATTGCGGAGAAGAAGCGCATTGCTCTGTCCAAGCTGCAGGCCAAGAAGTCCCAGCTCCAGGCCAGTGGGAATGGCGGGAGACCAGCCCCGACGATTCCAACAGGCGCCGCCCAGCAACAAGTCCACAGTGGAAGCCATGGTAATCCGAATCAACCGCAGGCCAAGTCCCCGTTGAACTTCTACCGATCCCCGCCAGCAGCAGGGCAGTGGAAGGTCAGCCGTCCTGGTCCCACCACTAGCGACAACAAGAGCTCCTCCTTCCTGAACGCCTTGAAGGCGATAAAGCAAACCTCCGCCCGGGAATTATCCCGCAGTGCAGCACATCCCTACCAGCGGCCCAATGGCGGCGACAAGGAGGTCAGAGGCAGGCCAACGTTGTCGCTGGATCCGGAGAAGGATAAGCAGCGGCCAGTGGCACCGGTGTTTCGGAACTCCATTACCTGCAACCTTTACATGATCAGCGCAAATCGCTTTGCGGCCCACACCTCCGGATATCACGAGCAGCTGATAGCCGTGTTCAAGAACATGCCCACCAAATCCTACGAGCCCAGCAGCCGCCTTTGGACCTTTGACCTGAAGGATTATCAAGCACTGCAATTGCATGCAGCTGACCTTAAGCCAGGTGTCCATGTGAATGGCGTGCCCAAAAAGGTGCTGGATTTGTGTCAGCAACCGGCGGTGGTCTCGGAGCGGAGTGTCCTGGCCTCCATAGAGCCCAAGTTGGCGGACAAACTGATGCCCTTTCAGCAGGATGGCGTGTGGTAAAATTTCTCCTGTTAAACTTCTTGAAAAGATCACAACTAATTTGGGTTTTCCCAGCTTCGCCATTGGCCAGAAGGGACGCATTATGATCTGTGATGAAATGGGCCTGGGCAAGACCTATCAAGCCCTGGCCGTAGCTGATTATTTCAAGGATGACTGGCCCCTGCTCGTCTGCACCACGGCCTCCACGCGGGACAGCTGGGCCAAGCACATAGTGGAACTGTTGCCCAAGGTGCCCGTCCACTACATCCAGGTGCTTAACAACAATCAGCAATATGTGGGCGAGGCCCAGGTGCTCATCACCAGCTACAACATGATGGAGAGGAACAGGTACAAGCTGCTGCAGCGCAAGTACGGCTTCATCATCTTCGACGAGTCGCACACGCTGAAGAACAGCAAAGCCAAGTGCACGGAGGTGGCCAAGAAGCTTACGGATCAGGCCAAGCGTGTGGTCCTGCTCTCGGGTACACCAGCTCTCTCCAGACCCTTAGAGTTGTTCACGCAATTGCAGCTGGTGGATGGAAAGTTCATGAATTTCCTGGAGTTTAGTAAGTGGAGACTCTTTTTAATTTATCATTTTATTCTTTTTTTTTTTCAATATTTTCTTAACCTTCAGCCACTCGCTACTGTGATGGCAAACAGTCCACGTTTGGCTGGGATGCCAGTGGTCAATCTAATCTGGAGGAGCTCAAGGTAATGCTTACCCTGAAGTACATGCTAAGGCGAACCAAAACCGAGGTGCTGCCGCAGCTGGCTGACAAGAATAGGTATTTGCCGAAGCCGTAAGCAATATACAGTCACTTTATCAACCTTTTTTTAAATTCCTAGGGAAACTGTGGTCCTGGATCCTGCTTTGGTCTGGACCAATGAAGAGACCAAGGACAGCTTGGATGCCTTTAGCAATGAGCTGAAAACCAGCAAGGGCAGGGCCACCGAGGAGATTCTTCTGCGTTTCTATGCGCGCACAGCTGAAGTCAAGACCCGAGCCGTTTGGTAACTTATTTTTATTTATTATATATAAAGTTAACATTTTAAACTAAAGGCTAACTTATGTTTTAAGAGAGAAGTAATAACAAATTCTTTTCCCTTATTCCAGTGCCTATGTGAAAACCCTGCTTAAAGAGGATAAGAAATTTATAATATTTGCCCATCATCGGGTCATGATGGATGCCATTAGCGATTGCCTTTCGCAGCTGAAGGTTCACTACATAAGGATTGATGGACAAACCCGTAGTGATCTCCGGGCTGACTTTGTGGACACTTTCCAGAAGAAGAAAACCTGCAAGGTGGCCCTGCTCTCCCTGAAAGCATGCAATTCAGGGATTACTCTAACAGCCGCCGAGATCATAGTGTTTGCTGAACTGGACTGGAATCCAAGTGTGGGTTTCAGTTGCTCTTTGACTAGGAAAAATATCCTCTGAACTTAATTTATTTAAAAAATTTATAGACCCTTGCCCAGGCCGAGAGCCGTGCCCACCGCATAGGCCAAACCAAAGAGGTGATATGTCGCTACCTGATGGCCAGCAATACGGCCGATGATACCATATGGAATATGCTAAAGAACAAGCAGGAGGTACTCAGTAAGGTGGGCATCTTTGCAGAGAATCTACAAAAGGCCACGCACACAGCAGCGCCCACCACGGTAAGTATTGCATTATATCTTTTATATTTTCGACTAAGGTAAACCTACTTTAAAGTCCCACAAAATCGAGGAATACTTCTCGCCCGCGAAAGCCTCTGCGGCCCAGCAAGATAAGGGGTCTATTAGGCAGTTTCTATTGCCGGCTCCCAGTGAAACCAATAATAAATTGGAAGAAAAGCCCCAAGAATCTCTTACCAAGTCGGATATGGCAGCGTTTTTCGAGGATGACGAAGATGAGGCCTTGCTGGATTTAGATATATAGTTTTTTTTGTTCCCCAACTTCTGTTAAATGATGTCAATAAATGGTAGTTATTTGTACGCATGCTCTTATCCACTGGGAAGTCAGTGTTTCTGTCCTGGCAACAAAATAACAAACAAACACTCAATTTGTAGCAAACCTTTTCACTTGTTTCAAATATAAATAAAATACACAAACTAGGCTAAAAACTAAAACATATAAAGATATATATAGCCATGGCCGATAGCCAGGGAGAAACTGAGCTCTTGGGCGAAGAGGAGGAGCTCGAACGAAGCTCATTTCACGAATCGTTCATCCAGGATATCATCGCCATTAAGCACTCGTTCGGCTACGATTGCAAGAAGCTCTTCAATCTGGTGCTGGTGGATCAGGACACCTTGGTCTTTGCCTCGGGCAACTTTTTGAAATTCTTTAGCATTTCTCGGCAAGAGATTACCTTCCAGGAGACCGTCTATGGCTGTGGCATAGGCTTCATTACGGTTTGTAGTCCTGGATTTCTCCTCTAAATTGTTATTTAAAATCTTCAAGTGCCCATCCTTAGAAAAACGACCATCCCGACTTCCAGGGCCTGTTCACAGTGGCGGAGAATGGCCCGCAGCCTACGGTGTTTATTTACGAGTATCCATCGATGGATGTCCGTGTCAAGCTGCTGAATGCAGCCAAGGCGTGCTTTACGGCCGGATCCTACAACAAGACGGGCGAACTGTTTGCCTCGCAGGCCGGCTATCCGGACTTTATCATAACCATCTGGCGCTGGGAGAAGGCGGAGGTGGTGCTGCGCGCCAAGTCTTTTCAGAGCGACATCCTCTTCGTGCACTTCTCGGAGCACAATCCCATTTTGCTCTGCTCCTCGGGCCTGAGTCACATCAAGTTCTGGAAGATGGCCAACACCTTTACCGGTCTGAAGCTAAAGGGCGACCTGGGGCGCTTTGGCAAGACGGATTTCAGTGACATCTCCGCCATGTACATGCTGGCCGATGAGAATGTCATCTCGGGCTGCGACTGGGGCAACATGCTGCTCTGGCAGGCGGGCCTCATCAAGTTCGAGGTATGCCGCAAGGGTCGCAAGCCCTGCCACACCAAGCCCATTACGCGGATCACCATGAAGAACGGGGAGGTGACCACCGTGGGCATGGATGGCTATGTCCGTGTCTGGTACTGGGAAACGGTGGACTTGGCCGACCCGCCCGAGGATGATCTGTTCGTGGAGATCGATCCGATCTATGAGTTCAAGATCGCCGATGTGGAGCTGCGCTGCATGCAGAAGATCCATCTTTACGACGAGATGGACTTCACGCACTACGCCCAGGATGGCAACGGCGGCATTTGGTTCTGCGATATCAACACCTATGATGTGCCCCAGAAGCCAAAGAAGATCTACTCCTGCATCGGCGGCAAGGTTATAGCCTCCCAAATGTCCCCGGTGTCCCCGCACTTCCTCTGCATGTCCGAGAGCGGCAAGATCTTTGTGTACGAGTACGAGCAGGAGAGTCTCATCCTGGAGAAGCAGTTTCCGGCGAATGGCGTCGATGTGCTGTGGCTGGACACTCAGGTATCGGTCCTGGGCACCGAATTGGTGGCCGGCTTTGAGGACGGCATTCTGCGGCAACTGTTTTTGGATTTGAGCGATTCCAGCCGGCCAACCATGACCCGAGTTAGAGCCTTCAAGGCACACACGTCGCCCATATCCAGGATAACCGTGAACCGAACGAGCACCCTGCTCCTCACCGGCAGCGTTGACAAGAGCATCTTCATCTATCAGTTGAGTCGCGATGAGAACTCCTTGGTGGACATCCATCCCCTGGGATTCGTGCAGTTCGCAGCGATTCCCAACTGCTTCTACTGGCATGAGACGGAGCCCACCGTGGTCCTTGTGGGCTGCAAGACCGGCGAGGTGTACGAGTATAATGTGCGCACCCAGGTCACCGAGGAGGAGACCCACCTGTCCTACAACATAACAGAGCCATCGCGTCAGCGCTACGTGAAGTTTGCTTCCGTGAAGAGCAGGATACGGCGGGACATCAAGCGGGAGCAGACGAAAAAGCGCAAGGAACGCAAGCGAGAGCGCAAGTTGAACGAAATCGAGAAACTTAAGAAGGCCAATCCGGGTCTGCAGATTGATATGGAGTCGGCTTTGGCCGACTCGGAGCCCGAGGAGGAGGAGGAGCCTCTGTTCATACCCCCGAAGCCCAATCCAATAATTTGGCTGCGCTATACGGAAATGAACACCATCTGGGTGTCCATGGCGGGCTATGATGCGGGGTACATCTATGAGCTGGAGTTCCAGGCGGCGGAACCCACGTGCTCCACCATTATAGCGGATGCGGATGATATTGAGATTCACTCGTACTGCATTATGTGAGTCTTGTAAGCTGTAATTTCCGGGGATTCCCTAAAATTCCTCTCTCTCCCACAGTGATCAATACATCATTTTTGGCCTGATTAACGGACGGCTTCGCATCAACCGCATCAATCCGGATAACTTCAGGGACCTCTCCGAGTACCGCATCTATCCCATGCACGATGCTCTTAAAGGCATCATTCCCAGCATCCAGACCAGCTACAATGGCGAGAACATCCTCACCGTTGGCTACGATGGCAACATTTTCCTTCACAATTGGAACGGTCCCAAAGTTGTTAAGAATCCGCTTCGGGATAAGCTCATGCCCTTGCCTCCAAACGTTCAAAAGGCTCCCGATATAGTCGATCCAGAGGAACCATCACTGGAACAGGAAAAAATCAATGCAGAACTGCGACGCCAGCAAGAAGCGGCTGAGGCACACGATCGCGATGTCCTGGCCAAGATCGGGGTGCTGCAAAATGATTACTTTGAGATTATCAAAATAAACGAGGAGCTGCCGCCGGGACTGAGGGCCAAAGATACGGATTTGCTGTTGGATCCACGCATCAAACAACAGATACGAGATGAGTTACAGGCGGAGCTGGATGATGTGCGTGAGGACTTGGCCTACGACCTGGAGTTTGCCCAGGTGGGGCACAAGAAGCTGTACAATCACTTCCTCAAGAATCTAGTTGAAGTTCCCTTCACGGTGAATCCTTTGGGGTGAGTAACTTAATGGAAAACCTGTCCTCCTAAAGCCTAACCTTGTCCTGGCTAGTGCCAATGTGCCGGGCGTGGCCACCTTTCGCCTGCAGGAACTGGGCGAGGAATTCGAGCAAATCAAGCGTGACATTGAACTGCGTCTAAAACAAGAGCACGACATGGGGTAAGTGGGAGGAACTATGACTCAGACACACTTAAGGGGGAATATACATGTAAACCAAAATTTGCTATCTCCAAAATTTCACGACAATTGCTGATTATTTCTTAAAAGATTACATGTAGTATTCCCCTTAAGCTATCAACACTTGACTACACAACATAAATTACTCTCCAAATTCCCGACAAGCAGCCTTTACAGAGAGGATCGAGTGGCAGAACAGCCGGAAGTGTAAGCCTGATAAGTCCTTAAAGTCCTTAAAGCACCTCAGCATTCTAAACTCCCTCCAGCACTCCTCTTCCTTTTAGATCCTTTAACTATTCCCTCTCTAACAATTGTTCTCGATGACCTCCTCCTAGCCTCCAAGACCTTGTGGTGGCCGAACCCTCAGACGAATCCATTGGCCAGCCTCCACCGGAAACCTTTTTCTTTGGCCGCGATCCGCGTAGCATTGAGCCGCGCTTCAGCAAAAAGATGATGCGTCTCCTGGTCCGCTACCGGAAGCGCCAACTGTACGAGGTGCGTCGCATCTTTGACTGGGATAAGTTAGAGCGCCAGAAACCGGATCCCAATCGAAATCATCCAGATGACGATGCCAAAATCGAGGAGGCCAAGCGCAACCTGGGTGACTACAAGCTGAAAATCGGCGAGGACTATGAGCCCAAGTCCTCGGAGACGCTGACCCAGAAATACATAGAGATCGTCAAGTGCCGGGAACGTCACTATAATATGGTGAAAGACTTCAATCTATCGGTGGCACAGCTGCGCACGCGCAAGCAGGAGCTGATGCAGTTCATCAATGCCAAGCGGAAGCGCTTGGACGTGATCAATAGCTATTTGCCCCCGGTGGATCGCCTGCCCCTGGATCCGATACAGGAGATCGACATGGATCTGGAGTTTCCCGAGCTCAATCTAATCGAGCATCACACGCCCGGCTGTGGTGTGGAGATCGATGACATTCTCACGCTGGAGCAGAGTGTGGATGATGTAAGTGATACCCCGGTTAAGTGGCAATCAAATAACATCCTTGGATTCGCAGGTAATCGCCTCCACCAAAGTCAACCGGGAGCTAACCAAAAGCCTGGTCAACCTAACGGCACTGGATCTACCCGAACTGCACGAGTACGCCGCCTATGTAATGTTACAAATGTCCAAGCTGGAACGCTGCCTATCCAATACCGATCTGGTCGACGGTCTGAAGAGTATGCCGGCAGTCAGTGAGCCGGCCTACTTTGAGCTGAATGCGGAGGATGAGACGCCCATGATATTAGAGATGCGATACCGGTGGGTACGATTCATGCGGCGTGAGCAGGCAGCGATACGAGCGGAGGTCCAAGAGGAGGTGCAGCAATTCGACCGGGCATTGTCCAAGTTGCAGGTGCGGCGCTTTCATGTCAAGCTGGATGCCGAGTTTATGACCTCATACCTGATCAGCCTCAACCAGGAGCTGTACATCCTGCGGGACAGCGAGGAGATCGAGTTGCAGCTGATGCTGAACGCCAAGACGGCAATGAGCACCCGGAACGAGCTGCAGGTAGTTATCAATGCCACCAACCGTCAGCTGGACGAACTGCGACGAAGCATTGACAAGCTGGCCGAGCAGATCCTGGCCGTTCAGGTGCTCTTTATGAGCACAATGAAAGGTCACAAGTTCTTTGACTTTCTGCGTCGCATCTTCAAGAAGAAATGGCGTCCGCCAAAGGTGGCCAGAGGCGATGACGAGGAGTCCTCCTCCTCCTCGGAGTCCTCGTCCTCCAGCGAGGACGAAGAAGCGGACAACAAGAGTCTGGACTCCCTGGACATGACCACCATACGGCTGGATGAGGCCACTTGTCCCACGGGTCTCGATCGCTCGCTCTACGACCTGGCCTTTGCCATGCGATCCGATCGCCACGAGCTTGAGCGCAATATGCGGGACCTGCAGCGGGATGTGGATAGTAAGCGCAAGGAGATTGCCGAGATGCAGATCAAGATGAAGTTCCATGAGGAGGTCTACCAGCGGGAGAAGAATGCCCTGCTGGAGTTTAGGGTAGGATTTTTAAGCTGATCCTTGGAAAATATAAAGTTTTTCCTCCTGCCTTTCCAGCGCAATCGTCAGCAGGAAGTGAACAAGGTGAAAATCAGCGCCATCATCCGCATGGACCAATTGCAGCATTTCTACGAGGGCGACGACTACCGCGACCTGTCCAATGCCGTTCTCTTTGACGCCGACATGCTGGTGGATCTCCGTCGGCGCGCGGATCAGCTCAGCGAGGAGACCAAGGCCACCAAGCGCTGGCACCGCATCAACTTTATTCATTTGCGGCGCATGAACACGGACATCAAGTTTATGCGGTTCGAGATCACACGCCTGGAGGAGGAGATCCGCCAGGCCATGATGAAAAAGTTCGGCCTGATTGTTAATCTCGATGAGCTGGAGGAGGAGGTACTGCGTCGCTATATCTTTGACCTGGAAACCAGTGCCGAGGACGAGCTAAAGGCCCTCGAAAAGGAGTTAATGGAGAAGCAGGTGAGGGGTCACAGGATTCTTGAAAATTTTGATCCTAAATTCTGATCCTCTAGAAAGAGCTAGCCCGCTGCGAAGAGTCCCTGATCATGGAAACCCAAAACAACACGGAGAAGCTCAATATAATGACAGTGCTGCGCGAGGAGAAAAACATCCTGTGCACTCTGTTGGACATTCAGGACCGCAACTATGCCAAGTGGAGCAATCCAAGTGCTTTGAATCTAACCTACGACATTGAGAAGCTCAGAGGTATTGAGAACTCCTTGCTTCAGCAGATCGAGGTGGGTAGCTAACTGAGTATCCTTAGAGATTATCCTTAAATGCTCTTTTATAAAAGTGCCTGGAGCGTGAGATCTGCGCCTTGCGTCTCAAGTCCAAGCCCCTGCAGATCAACAACGAATTTGAGCTGGATCCCAATGCTCCACCGGAGGTAACCACCGAAGTCATGCCCAATGACGATGCCCTGATCTGTCCGGCCATCTTGAATGTAGATGCCTACTTGCTGCCCCCCATGCCCGATGAGTTCATCATGGAACGCGTTCAGACAATCGTCCAGAAAAGCTTCAATCGGTTCTTTGGACGGAGCACTACGCCGGACAACGTGCGCAAGTTTGCTTTACGATCTTCTCTGTACCTTTGCCAGGCCGCCTACAGTTTCCAGGTGCGAATTCGATTTTTTTTTTAGATTTTTCAAGTGTTCTCCAGACCTCTTATTACCCCTTCCAGGGTCGCTATACGGACAGCATAGCCGAGTGCATCACCGAGCACCTGCAGACGATTGTGCCCAAGAAGTACTTTATCCACATCAGTGCCGACGAGCTGAGGAAGCTTTTTAACGAGGTGGTTTCCGTCTTCGACTACGAACGCTCTGATATCAACACCGAGGAGCTCATCTCTGGCATCTTTGACCACGCCAAGGACTCGCTGTGCGCCCACATTCACGCCGATGCCACCGACGTGGTTAACCGTTCCCATTTCATTGTGGCGCACATGTTCAATGAGCTCATCGAGGTGCTGCCCGTGGAGGAGTTCCAGTCGGAGGAGACAGTTCGTATGATTGTGGATGTGTTGGACCGTGAACCCATGGTTGATCCCCGGGCAATTGGTGTGGAGAAGCTCATCGAGAGCACTATGAAGCATGCCCAGGAGAATTTGCTGGATGGGATTACGGCTGTGCCGGTGCGCAAGCTGGGCAATACCATCCAAAAAGACCTGATAAAGCGGCGCCAGTACAAGCAGGCGAGCTGCGAAGCGCCGATGAAAGTAAGGATTGCCAGCAAAAAATAATTAGTGGCTTGCCCTTTTAGCGTTAACAATATAATTTATTTTTATTATTATTTGGAGTGTGTAAAGCTTTCGGCAAATGCAAACAATTTTACATGTTTTAATAAGGTTTGTGTGTGTTTTTTTAACTAACCAAACAAGTTCTATCAATGTTTTTGTGTGGCCAAGAGAAGGCCCAACCTTAAGCGGGCTTTTCCAATGGAAAGAGTTTTATAAAGCGATTTTTAGAACAAATAATTCTAGCCCAATCTCGCCTTCACCGTGTTCATCTTGAGGGGCAGCAGCTGCAGCATCTCACGCACCACCCCCACTTCGGCCTGCAGCGTCTTGGCCGCCTCCTTGTGCTGTTCACAGCCTTCGTCAAACTTTTGGTAATAAGTTTGGCAATTGGTGAGTTGCAGCAGCTGCTGAACAGGATGGGGACTGATCAGCTTGTAGTAGATGCGACCAATGTGAAAGTGGGCATAGAGCATAAGACGTTGCTCCTCCTCGTCCATGTTGGGACGCCACTCCTCGCTCGGCGGCTTCGCCGTGTACGATTTAATGAAGCTCTCAAAGTGCTTGATAGCCTTTTGGCAGCTCTGGTTGACCTTCTTGATCTCATCCGGCGTGGGGGAGCTCTTGGCACGGATGGCATCGAGACGGACATCCAGAACGGCGGCATGAGCTGTTCCCGCCCCATACCAACACTCGCGGCAGATCTTCATGTAGAAAATGGGATCGATCAGATCAAGCAGATCCTCCAAGAACTTGGCTCGACGCTTCTGCATTTTGGCCTGATTCTCCGGATTCTCCTCAAAAAAGGCAATGCGCTCGTACGCCTCGGCGTAGTCCTGCATGATCTTACAGTACTCGGTGGCCTCGTTTTCCGCCTTGTAGTAGTCCTTGGCAATGTCCAGCCACTCGTTGACAAAGTGGAAGACCAGCTTGGCATCGTCAAAGGTCAGGCAGTAGTCGCAGCTAATGCGATTCTCGCAGGCGGTAAGATCCAGACCGGGAAACCGCGACTCCTCCGCTTCGGCCAGCCGGAGGGTCTGTATGGCCTTCTCCAGGCGCTTGGCCTCCTCGCTGTCGTCCTCGTCACGCAGCAGCCGCTCCCTAGAGGTCTGCATCAAGTGCAGGCCATACTTGGCCCAACAACGGGCCACATCGGCGTAGCGATGCTTGAAGGTCTCCGTCACATCCTGCCGCTGCTGCTCGCTCATTCCCTCCGGCTCCAGCATGTGAGCCTCGTACTCCGCCATGATGAGAGTGGCGGCGGCCAGATGATGACGGGCCTCTGCGAATCGCTCCTCTCCAATGTAAAACTGCGACAAGGTGGCGGTATTTAGAGCGAAATCAATGGCATCATACGACTTGTACTGCAACTGGCGGTGCAGCGTGCGATGGCAGCACTTAGCAGACTTTTCCGTCTCTCCCAGGTGGCCATACATTTGGGCTAGATAAAAACACACCAGAGTGTACAGAGATTCCAGCTCCTTTGCACCTGCTGCAGCGATTTCCTGCCCCTCCTCCGACGGACTGAAGATATCCTGTATGGCCAGGGGTTCCAAGCCACTGGCTTTGAACTCCTCGTAGCTATTTTCGGCCAGAAGCAGCAGGTCCAGGCCCTTTTTGTACTCCTCCTTGGCGGCCAGGACAATGCTGAGCTCGTTAACGGCGCCTATGTAGGGAATGACAGCTTCTGGACGCAGCTTCAGCGGAGTGACGAGCTCCAAACAACGATTAAGGAACTCCTCGCCCTTGGACTGTTCCTCTGTGTATACAAAGATCCGGCCCAGATCCCGGCATACGAAGGCCAGCAGGGAGCGGTAGCAGAGGTCATCCTGGCCGCCATCCTCTTCGCTGGCCTGGACGGACACCAGTTGGTCGTCCAGCTGCTTTTTTAAATCGACCAGAACATCGCGGGCTTTGTAGTGGGACCGAAAGGGATCCGTTGGCGGATCGCTGCGACTCTCCTCCTCCACCAGCCGGTTGGCCTTCTCGTAGAGCTCCTTGTAGTCGCTCAGAATCTCTTTGGGAATAACCATGTCGACGTTTACTGCTGGGCGGAGAAGTTGTAAGTGTCACTTTCAGGGGAAATCGGAACTTTTTCCAATATTTCGTCGCCTTATTTCATTTTTGTTACCCGCAGTGTGCCCGCCTGCTTTTCTTCAGAAAAATTACCATTGCACTTGGGCACACTAAAAACCTAAAAAGAAAAGTGTTGAAAAGCGTTTATAACTTTGTGATTACAACACTAATTCGTAAAGAAAGAGTGGACAAGTCGAAAGAAAATAGCTAAATGGCCATAGCTAGCCTGCCTAGCTATATAGCTATTTATAGCGGGTAATAGTGTGCCCATTCGGCCTAAAAAATACTTGTGCGCATCTCTGGCAGCAGTATTCTCGGTATTCTTCCGTATTTAGTTGCAGTTCACACAGCATTGTTTTTCCGATTTTTTTCGCATCACAAATACCAGAATAATTACTAGATCGAAAAGCTGTTAAAACTAGTCTCTTTGGCGCTCACATTTCAAAGGATCTTCATTCGCCAATAGGACGAACCGCTCCACGTAACCACTATACTATGCCCAAGGACGATTCAGACTCCGGCGATAAGAAGGTGAAGCGACTGTACCACCAACGGTACCGGTCCGAGTGGGAGAAATTTCCCGCGTTCGCCAACTGGCTGAGTTCCAGCAACGATGGTTACTCGGCGCACTGCCGGATCTGCGATGTGACTGTCCTGGCCCGACTGGCGTCTATCAAGCAGCATCTTATCACACGAAAGCACCAGGACGGCGCTCGGTGCAATGATTTTCTGTCACAGGTAAGGCAAGGGAAACCGGGGGAAAAGATTGCATTTTCATATATTTTCTCTTTCGCAGAACATGGTCAAAGGCGACTCAAATGCAGTGAAGCAAATGTGCAGACCAAATGCGGCCAAGAGCAAGGGGGACACGGATATGGGTAGATCCACAGCCAGTAGTAAGCCGAAGGCAAAGCCGAAACCCAAGCCAACTGCTAAGGTGAAGCGCGAACCCAGAGAGATTAAGCGCGAGCCCAAGATCGAACGCGTTGAGGTGGTAGAGCATGATATCGCCTCCAACGACTCCATCCTGGACGATCTACTCGGCAACGAGCACATGGTGAATGTGGCGGAGGAGGAGTATGTGGTCGAAGGCGAGGCCGAGATGATGGACGAAAGTGTTTTGGAAGAAGAAACCGTCGAAGATGCGTACGAAGAGTTGATGCCGGAGCTAAACGACGATAACATGTCCGAGGATGTTATCATCAGCGAATTTGATCTGTTTGGCAAGAGCCTGGCTCTCCAGCTTAACAATATGGACCTTGAGGATGCGCTGCTCTGCCAGGAGCGCTTGCAGGTGGTGCTAACTGAGTTCCGCCTGAAGATTCTAAAGCGCAAGCGGGAGACCACGCGAAGTTCTTAGACATTTACATTATTATATATATAACGTTTAATTCCCTTATGTACATAAAATAAGTTTATATGACTAAATAAACATCTATTTCGCATCAATTTCGTTAATAAACGCGCGACACTTCTTCTTTAGCACCTTGACGGCCTCCAGGAAGATAACCTCGGGTTTCAGCGCACCCACGGACTCCACCGTAAAGATGTAGTGGTCGCGCACTCTCGCCAAGGTTACGGCATCATTCAGCTGCGGATAACGATACACATTCCGGCTGCAGGTGTCGTAGCGCGCATCCTTCACGTAGGCGCACTCGTTCTCGTTGATCCCAATCACGCCGGGCGAGAAACAGCTCTGTAGCAGATATGCATCCTTGCCGGAGACCTCGCGATTGAGCTTGATCTGCGGCAGCAATCGGTACGTGGCCGTGGCCACCGGCGAGAACTTGGCATGATCTCGGCCCAGCCCCTTGACAGCCACCAAACGCAGATCCAGCTCGTGACCCGGTCGCAATTGGGCAATCAGAATGTCTTCATGGATGCAGCCCACGGTGCTTTCGCTGTAGATCTGCGCCTGCTTGCCCTTGGGCAGCCACTTCAAGTGGCCCGAGTAGACCTTGTGGTTTTTGTAGATATCATCAAAGTTCGACTGATCCTTTCCGGCGTCCCGACGGCGGCTGCACTTGACCTTTAGCTCGAATTCCAGCGTGTCCTGTTCGGTGCCAGCCTCGGGGCTCTCCTCCGTGCGATAAGCGAACAGACGGGGATCAGCTCGCAGCGGCAGCAGGCCCATCCGATGGGCCAAGACCTCATCCTGGATGATCGAGGTGTTGTTGTAGATGTACACCTTCTCGATGGCCATGCTGGGCACTTCGCTCAGCATCAGACGGCGGAAGGCGTTGGCTATGGCGGGGTACACTCCAATCAGGTCAAACTCCAGGCCATCTTCGTCGTTCCTAAAAGGTGAAGGTTGTTAATCTCCTCCAGAATTTGTTGTTTTCAAATATAATAAACGTACTTTACAATGGAGATTTGCATTTTCTTTTTGAACACCTCCATGGTAAACACCTCATCCGCCAGGCCGTAGTCCTGCGGATCCTGTTTGACACGGTACTCCTCCATGTACAGCAGCGGCTCATCACGCTTCGGTTTCGGCATGTTTCTCGCTTTTTAAATAAATAATTTACCAGAAATCAACAACCGCCCGCACGTGTTGGAACCGAATAACTCCTGACCTGCTTTTGTTGCTCGAGTTGGCAGGGCGTTCCAAGACTTCCCTGTGACTGGCAGTCGAACACAAAAAAGAAGAAGCACGGCACCGGCGAGTTTTTTTTTATTCTCCAGAAGATTTACGTAAAGCCCCAAAATTCCGGGAACACGGCCGTAAAATGTCCCGCACCCTGCAACGCTTACTGGGCAGCTGTCGTCGCTGGGCAACACAGCCGGCCGTCCGTCACTTTGCCGCACCGGCAGATCCCACAAAAGGCAAGGGCCCGATATCATGGCGAAGTCTGGCCGTGATTGGAGCTATGGGAGCTGGAGGTCTTGGCTTTATGCTCTACGTGAAGAGCGAGAAGGACGAGGCACGCATGAAGGAGCGCAAGCGGCAACTGGGCAAAGCGGCCATCGGCGGCCGGTGGGAACTGGTGGACTCGGAGGGTGCTGTGCGCAAATCGGAGGATTTCCTCGGCAAGTGGCTGCTCATCTACTTTGGCTTCACCCACTGCCCGGATATTTGTCCAGATGAGTTGGAGAAGATGGCCGCCGTGGTGGACGAAATCGGTTTGTATTGACATTGAGTCGAATTGGAGTTACCGGAACAACGCTTCTTAATCCTAATCTTGCACAGAAAAATCCCCTCAAACGCCGGCGGTGCAACCCATTTTCATCACCGTGGACCCAGAACGTGACTCCAAGGAGATCGTGGGCAAGTACGTGAAGGAGTTCTCCCCCAAGCTCCTGGGGCTCACGGGCACTGTAGATCAGATCCGCAACGTCTGCAAGGCGTTCCGGGTTTACTTCAGCGCCGGACCGCGGGACAATGACAATGACTATATCGTGGACCACACCATCATCATGTACCTGGTCAACCCGGACGGAGAGTTTGTGGATTATTATGGCCAGAATCGGGACAAGGATCAGTGTGTGGCCTCGATTATGGTGAACATTGCCAAGTGGAATTCGTTGAACAAAAAGGGCTGGTTTGGCTAAGGTGCTGCTGCTTAGCTTCGCAAATGTTGATTCGTTGTATTTTACTTTTACGTATAACGTTTAGCTGTAGAAATATAGCAGAAAAAGAAATAAATTTAAACATTTTCAAATTTGGTTAATATTTACCAACGGGTTGGCAGCGCCGCTCCGAAATTCGGGATTATTGCATTGGCCAGGGTTGGCAGCTCTTTTTCGGCGTGTAGTGCTGCGTGGAGAATTTTTGTTGCAAAAAGAATTGTTTTCTCGCAACAAATAGCAATCTAATACAAAATGGTGCGTGTAAAGCTGAGGAATGCAGACCCCTCTGTGCTCCCAAGGGATTTGCCAAGTGTTTGGGTGAAATTACGTGGATTTGTGCTGTGCTCAAGTCTTGTGGGAGTTCCAGGCCAAACATAACCTAAAAGGCGGTTTCTATTTGTGCTAATATTTCGCATTGTTGCCTTTTTCCCGCAGCGTCCGTTGATGCTACAGGGCCACGAGCGTTCCATAACGCAAATCAAATACAACCGGGAGGGTGACCTACTGTTCTCCTGCTCCAAGGATCAGAAGCCCAATGTGTGGTACTCGCTGAACGGCGAGCGCTTGGGCACGTACGATGGTCACCAGGGTGCCGTTTGGTGCCTGGACGTGGACTGGGAGAGCCGAAAGCTGATCACTGGCGCCGGCGACATGACCACCAAGATCTGGGACGTCGAATATGGCACAATCATCGCCTCCATCCCCACCAAGTCTTCGGTGCGTACCAGCAACTTCAGCTTCTCGGGCAACCAGGCTGCCTACTCCACGGACAAGGCTATGGGACAGAGCTGCGAGCTTTTCATCATCGATGTGCGCAACGCTGACTCCACGTTGGCCGACCAGACGCCAACGCTGCGCATCCCAATGACTGATTCCAAGATCACCTCGATGCTGTGGGGTCCCCTCGATGAGACGATCATCACAGGCAAGCATCCATAACACAGATTTTGCAAAGCAACTACAATAACTGCGTCTAATTTCAGGCCACGACAACGGAAACATTACTATCTGGGATATTCGCAAGGGCCAGAAGGTTGTCGACTCGGGCAGCGATCACACCGCCGGCATCAACGACATGCAGTTGAGCAAGGACGGCACCATGTTTGTGACCGCCTCCAAGGACACCACCGCCAAGCTGTTCGATTCCGAGTCCCTGATGTGCCTGAAGGCCTACAAAACGGAGCGCCCTGTAAACTCGGCCGCGATTAGTCCCATCCTTGATCATGTGGTGCTGGGCGGAGGTCAGGATGCCATGGAGGTGACCACCACGTCCACGAAGGCCGGCAAGTTCGACTCGCGCTTCTTCCACCTGATCTACGAGGAGGAGTTCGCCCGCCTTAAGGGCCATTTCGGACCCATCAACAGTTTGGCCTTCCATCCGGACGGCAAGAGTTACGCCTCGGGCGGAGAAGACGGTTTCGTGCGTGTCCAGACCTTTGATAGTACATACTTCGAGAACATATTCGAGTAGTCCAAGACGTCCGGTAGTCTGTTGTAGGGTGATCAGAGCCGGTGGACTGGACAGCAACCGATCCATTGCACTGGCGCCATGTACGTTTGCTTAGGGAACTTTCAAATATACGCGAGAACGAAACGAAGCTGCTTGCATCGTTTATTTTTATAACATTTAGAGAGTAACAGGAATATATATTCGAATGAACGGGTATGGTTTGCAGTAATCTTAGAAGAAGGAGCGCTTCTTCTGCTTTAGGACCACAGGCTGACCCTGCATGGCCGCCCACTGAGCCGGGGTCGGCAGACAGCCAGGCGGCGGTGGCGGAATAACAACTGATCCCGCGGCATTTGTCCTCACCTCGGCCCGCGAGTCCAAGTGTAGAACCTGCGAGGCAGCTGCTCCTGCTGAAGTACTGAGTCCTGCCAAACCGTAACCAGTTCCATGATGCATTCCATACTGTGGCTGCCCGTTAAATGGCATCTGCTGTTGATGGTGGCTTATCATCCCATAGTACTGGTTCTGGCTTAGAGGAACAGCGCCAGGCTGTGGGTATCCAACGGCACCGCCACTCCGCTGGCTCTCCTCGTACGATGGCGGAGGAGCTCGCTAAAAAATATACATTGTTATGTGTCACCATTTCTTTTTGGCTGCTTGTGGGGGCTCACCATGGCCATGGACTGCGCGGAATTGCCATAGTTGTACGCGGGGGCACTTCCCTCAGCTGGAGGACCCGATTTTGATGGTTTTGACATTATATTTTGATTTTCCTTTAATTTCTTTCTTTGTTTACTTGTAAATCCTCTGAATCACATTTCAGGGTTGCCTACTGGCTTGTTGATGGACAGTGCTGATCGATAACTTAAAATACAAGAACACATTGGAATTGGAAAAATATTCAAAATTTTAGTAGTATAATTATTTGTTACTTTCTATAAATTCTTAAAAATAAACGGAAAAACAAATAAATTCGACGTTTTAGCTATATTCAATTTTTTCCTCTTTTAGAAGGGCGACAACTCTACTCGTTAGCCATTCACACAGCGATCAGCTGTTTCTTCCAAACGGGAAGAGGAAGAACGGAACACCAAGTTGTTGGCCTGGCCAAAATCAGGGAAAATATAGTTAAATTGCCTAATCTAGACTGCCAACCGTAGTATTTAGTAATTATAAACAATATACAAATAGTTGGTACCTCACAACATGGCGCACGCCACACCTCAGGTGAGTAGAAGCTCAATGTACAAGGGCACCACGGAGCGCGCCGCGTTTCTGTGACGCAATAGCTACGTTAATTTTCGTAAACGAATTAATAACAAACTCTTCTCTAATCCTCTGACAGGGCGTTAAGCTGTTGAACGGATGGAAGCGTCCGGGCCGCTTTGACAAGGGCTTGGGAGCCCAGCTGCCCGAGGCCTACAAGAAGTTCTGGCGCGAGTGGAAGTTGACAACCCCGGCCGCCGTCCACTACATCCCCAAGGAGCATCAGTGGGAGCGCGATCCGGTGACGCATGCCATCAAGCCGGTGCAAAACATCCCGCTGCCCCTGATCGACACGCCGGAATCCCACAAGGGCATCTGGGGTGGCGAGGCTGTGATCAAGGGCTTCCAGAAGCGAGAGCAAACGAAGCGTCGTGTTCCGCACTTCTGGGTGCCCAATCTACGACGTTCGGTGGTGCACAGCCATGTGCTGGACTCCTACATGTCCGTGGTGGTGACGGAGCGCACGCTGGAACAGATCCACGAGTGCCATGGCTTTGATCACTATCTCCTTAAGAACAGGGCCTGCGATCTGCGGTCCGCCCTGGCCTTAAAACTTAAGCGGGAAGTGCTCACAGCTTTGCTAAATGGTGTTCCAGCTCTGGACGCTGAGCCCGATCGCCAGCAGGAGGTACTCAAGGAGTACTCGCGCTATCTGGCGACGTACACGCCGGAGGAAATCGATTGGTACGGACACACCTACGTAGAGGCCATTCGAAAGCTGCAGAAGCAGCTGCGCGATGCCGAAAAGGTGAAGCCCCACAAGGTTGAGTTCCGCAGCAAGCTGATCGAGCAGCTGCGCCAGGCGGGTATCAGTGAGGCGGGAAAGCTGGAGAAACCTGGAGATAAGCTGGCGGAGTCATCGACGGAGCATAAGGATTCGGACATCGAGGCGTTGACTAAGCTGTGAGTAAAATCGTCTTAAGTTTCCATATTTCCATTCTTGCTTAGATTATTTCCTCATAGTTAAGGCGCTTTTCCTAATGAATTTATATAATTTTACAGGGAATCTTCACCCTCCTCCAACTGGCTCTCCAAAATCAATCCTTTCGGCAAGAAGGAGACCTAAGCCAGCCAGTTGTCCTTGTTTGTTTTTGATTTATGTGTTTAGCCTCGAGAGAATAAACATAATTTCGGAAACATCACTCGTTCTCATTTTGTTGGATAAAAAGATAAAACATATTTATTGCAAATATTCGTTAGATTGATAAAATGTATAAAAAACAAGTAGAATCACACACAAACAAAACGTACGCGACAAAAAGTAGATAAAGGAATGGTTGTAATTCCCCCAAGAGAATATAAAAATACATATACGGATGTGGACAAATCGAAGAATACAGTGATCACTATTCATGCTTACGACTAAATGGTTGGAGAGAGCTTTGTGCCATGTTCAAGTGTCATTAGATTGGACTGCCAGGCCCTATGCAATGGGGTTCTTCTTCATCAACTCAATGTCGGCCTTCATCATGTCGCTGACTAGCTCCAGAAAGCTCACCTTTGGCGCCCAGTTGAGTTCCCTCTTGGCCTTGGAGGCGTCGCCCAACAGAAGATCCACCTCTGTGGGCCGGAAATACTTTGGATTGATGCGTACACGTACCACGTCCGTGCCGCTCTCCACGCCCACCTCGTCTACACCCTTGCCTTGCCACGTTATCTCGCGACCGATGTGCTTGAATGCCGCTTCCACGAATTCACGCACACTGTGAGTCTCGCCCGTGGCAATGACGTAGTCGGAGGGCGAATCCCGCTGCAGCATCATCCACATGGCCTCCACGTAGTCGCTGGCATGCCCCCAATCGCGCTTCGAGTCCAGATTGCCCAGCTCAAAGTACTCCATCTGCTTCAACAGAATCTTGGCCACACTTCTGGTGATTTTCCGTGTAACAAAGTTCTCGCCACGTCGCGGACTCTCGTGGTTGAAGAGGATCCCGTTGCAGGCGTACATGTTGTAGGCCTCTCGGTAGTTGATGACGATCCAGAAGCCGTACATTTTGGCGCAGGCTAAAGGAAATAAGTGCTTAGAGATAGTAACACCTGTGGTCTTAAGCTGGCTCACCATATGGCGACCTTGGATAGAACGGTGTCTGCTCGTTCTGCGGCGTCTCCACCACCTTCCCGTATAGCTCCGAAGTGGAGGCTTGATAGAATCGCACACTTTTTTCTATGCCACACGTACGTATGGCGTCCAGGATGCGCAGAGTGCCCACTGCATCCACCTCGGCAGTATACTCGCTAAGGTCAAAGGAGACCTTTACGTGCGATTGCGCCGCCAGATTGTAGATCTCTGTGGGCTTCACCATGTTGATAATTTTCACCAGGCTGCTGCTGTCAGTCATGTCGCCGTAGTGGAGCTTCATCCTTCCGCCCTTGTGCGCCTTGGGATCTGCGTACAGATGCTCTATACGTGTGGTGTTGAACGTGCTGGCCCGCCGGATAATGCCATGCACTTCGTAGTCCTTCTTGAGAAGGAACTCGGCCAGGTAGGAACCATCCTGTAGAACAAAGTATAACGTATTTAATTTTTACCACGTATGCATGAAGTTGGTGGAAGTGATGTTCAATCCAGCACACCCCCAAAAACACTGTGACTAATGCCATTACACTCGTTTACACACCTGGCCCGTTATGCCGGTTATCAGCGCCACTTTATCACGGGATGTACCAGCGTCCCCGGCACCGTCTGTGGTTCCATTTTGCTCCTTGCTCCCGTTGCTGCTGCTGTCGGTGCGCGGCTTCTTGGTCTCGGTGGCCCCCTCGGAGGTGGACATGTTAATTAGACGAGTTTGGGAGCAGTACTAATCCTAAATTCGCGGTTTTTCACGGCGACGGCGGCGGAGGAGAGTAAACAATTTAGTTTTGGCCGAGAGTTGCCATACTTGCGAAGAGTGGCCACTCCGTGTGAGGAACAGTGGGGCGAGGAGAAAGAAAAAAAAAAACTTTAACTTAAATTCTAATAAAAAAAAATTCATTTTGTTAAAAAAATAAGTATTTACATATATATTAGAAAACAGTTAAGAGGCTGTAGTTTTGTTAAAAATAATATGTTTTAATTTGACGGATCGCACAAGCAACCCTTGCTTCTTCTTTCACTGTTGCACATTTATCAAATTAAAGCATTTAAGGCATAATTTAATTTATCCATAAATGGAAAATATAACCCAAAACAATAAAGAAACCAAATAATAATTTTTATTGTGTTCCGCTACGTCCCATTGTAATATTTCCTGTACCACTGTTCAACAGTGTTGTAAAGCGCACAAAACCACGTAGCGATTTTAACCTTACAGGCGAAATCGTCCGAAAGAAAGAAGATAAAACCACCTCGAGTCTTATCATCCGATTTCCACTCCCTCACCCGATTTGCTACTGGGTCGCAGCAGTATCTTCTTCAGCTTTAGCATTACGTGTGCGCGTACAGAGGCTTTCCATTTCATTATACGGTCGGCTGTCCAGCAGAAATCAACAGTGATAACACCGCCGGAGCGAAGACCGGATACTACACATTGGGAACCTGAGGGCACTCTTTAATTAAGTACAACCTCCGTGATAAATAAAAGGCAATTGTCTGCAGCACAAAATGACGGATCTTATCAGGAAGGGAGCCCTGTTCCTCATGAGCGAGAAGTGCTATGATAACTACTTCCTGGAGCACAACTTCCTAGACAGTAAGATAATCCGATAATCCAAATTGGCCATTTAACAATTAATTTGCCTTTGCAGTTCCCTGCTTCAAGGCCCTGCTGAGCAAGGGCCTGGGCCTTGCCATTATCGCCGGTTCGGTGCTGGTGAAGGTGCCCCAGGTGCTGAAGATCCTCAACAGCAAGTCCGGGGAGGGCATTAACATAGTTGGAGTGGTGCTGGACCTGCTGGCAATTTCCTTCCACCTGTCGTACAACTTTATGCATGGCTATCCGTTCAGTGCCTGGGGCGACAGCACCTTCCTGGCCGTCCAGACTGTGGCCATTGCCGTCCTCGTCCTCTACTTCAATGGTCGCAAATTGCAATCGGGCTTGTTCCTTGTGGGCTACATAATACTGATGTACGTCCTCAATTCTGGGCTGACGCCGATGTCGGCACTGTTTACCATCCAGAGCTGCAACATTCCCATCCTGCTGGTGGGCAAGCTTTCGCAGGCGTACACCAACTTCCAGGCTGGATCCACTGGTCAGTTGTCCGCCGCCACGGTGATCATGATGTTTGCTGGCTCTGTGGCCCGCATCTTCACCTCCATCCAGGAAACGGGCGACACAATGATCATTGTCACCTTCGTGGCCTCCACTTTCGCCAACGCTGTCATCCTGGCCCAACTGATCTACTACTGGGACAAGCCCCCCACTGGCGCCGTCAAGGGTGGCAAGGACGGGAAGGCAAAGAAGCCCAAGAGCAAGAAGGATGATTAGGCGGGAGACGAAGAAAGAGAGACTTGAACTCGAAACGAAACAAACTTAGGTAGCAACTATTTCTCGACATTGTAGAACAAAAATATGCAAGTTTAAATAAATAGAGTCCTAGTTTATTTGCTTGTCCTGCTTCTCGAAATGCTGCTGCAGCAGGGCCAAAGCGCGATACCGATGCGATATGGTGTTCTTTTCGGTCTTCGGGAGTTCAGCGTAGGTCTTGTCGTAGCCCTTTGGTTGGAACACGGGATCCCTGCCGTTACAGTCAAAGTGCGAATCAGTATGGGACTTTTTATCAGGTTAGTTACGCAAGTGACTCACCAGCCAAAGTCCCGGGGACCGCGCGGCTCAACGATGATGCCGTCGGTAATGCCCTTAAAGATCAAAGGCTCTGCTCCAACGCCGTCGCAATAGCCAAAGGTGCAGATAGCCTGGGCGGACTTATCTTCCCATCCATGGAGCAGGCGATGTAAGCCCTCCGGTTGCAGTTTCTCTAGGAACCACTTGATATAAGGACCCGGCAAGCCTTCTAGCGAGTTGAAACACAAGCTGGTGTCCTCCACTAGCACGGGACCGTTTACCTGTCGCGCTGCCTCCTTGCATTTTTTTATGGCAATCTCATCAATGTCACCTGGGAGAATATCATTGAACCATAAAAACTTAATTGAAGAGATTTATTAATGTATTTACCTTGCAATTCTGGCAGATCAATCTTTTGGGACACAATTGGCCGGGGAAAACTGGGCCCTAGAATGGCCAACAGCTCCTCCAGCTTCTTGGCATTGCCTGTCACAAAGGTAATTGGTTTTGACATTCTGCCACTGATTTCTCTATTTAATTTACACAATTTAAATCAAAACAATTAGCGTAAATAAAGAGAGCAGCAAATCACTCAGGTGGAGCATGCGGGTGCAATCAGCTGTTTTCTGCTTTGGCGCCAAAGCTTAGGCAGGGTTGTTAAACCCTCAAAAGTTTATTTGAATTTGTAAACAGTCGCGGCCCATATATTGACACTAGTTATTTAATTTAAAACTTCATTAAATATTACAAGCAAATAAAGACAATCCACATATAAATATTTTTATTATTTTTATTCAATACGTATTTACTTAAATTTAAAGACAGCTTGTTAATTTTTATGGATTTTTCTTGCTTTTTGTTACTGTGGGGGGCGGGATTTTTTGTGGATTGACAAATACGAAAGACGAACTTGCAATAAATATGTACGCAAACTTATGTGTGAGACCAACATGGTCTGGATGTGGTGTCTCCTAGTCATCCAGCGTGAGATGCAGATTGGCCGACGGATGCAGGCCGAGTTCCTTGAGCGAGCTGTCGTTGTGCTCCGCCTCTAGGGATTTGCGAGGGAAGGCGCAGATGAGCTTGTAGCCTTCGTGGGGGATGTGCTTGTGCGTTTGGCGGATGTACAGACGCAGCGTTGACAGCTTTGTGTCCGAGGGCCAGCGCAGCTGGACCATTTCTTCGGTTCCGGCGACATTGAGCAGACGCAGCTTGAGGGCAGTCAGCTCGTCCTTTGCCTCGCCCAACTGATTCTCATACGAGGCGGCCACGACGCCCTTGAGCTCCTCGTCGTCGAACTCCTCAAGGCTCTCATTATCGCTGCCTCCTTCTGTATTATTATCATCGGTCTTGGAGCCGCCGCCACCGTTTTCGTTCATGGAATTCTTAATGGCCAGCTCCAGCTGCTCCTCCTCGGTGAGCTCCAGCACCTTGGCTCGCTTCTTTGGCGTTCCCCTCGAGCTGGCCGTCGAGGAGCACGAGGCCTCCGGATCGCCTTGATCGTCATCATCATAAATGTGTACGGCTGATCGCTTTGAGGTGCTGGGCGCATCCTCGGCTATAAAATCACGATGCTCCTTCAGGAACTGCCTCAAGTCGGGCAGGACATTCTCCTGCTTTGGCTCCGGACTGCGCCAGACTTCCTCCCCAGTTCGGGGATCGATAACGCACAGATAGGGCAGAGTGGCGCAGTGATAGAAGGCCACGAAACGCCGGCCTTCTGACGTGTCATTGTCCACCTGCCAGAAGGTGAATTGACGTCTCACCAGCTTCTTAAGGTCCTTGTCCGACCACACGTCGCGGTTCATGGTCTGCGACTGGAAGTTATCGCCCTGCACGTTCACCAGCAGCCAGCGCTGTCGCTTTGTGGCGAACTCCCTGGCCGCCGTCAGCGTTCCGGAGTAAAGTATATCTGTGGGCGGGCGGAACAGGTCTCCGAGGCGGGATGTGCTAGTAGCTGTGGCCGCTGTGGAGCGACTGTTGAGTGCCACGGCCTGGCCGGCCACCAGCATCTGCGCAGAGCGCTCCCGCCGACGTCGATGAGCACTGGGATCAGCATAGACGCCGGTGGCCTGCAGCTGCTCCTCCATAAGGGCAGCCTCCCTGGCGAAATCCCGCAGGGGACACACTTTAACACGCTGCGTGACCCGTGATAGGCGGCTGCTGCTCCCAGACGCAAAGAAGTTGTCGTCCTCCGGCAGAATGAGTTGTTCCCGAACCGGAGCGATAGGAGCACGCACCTCATCGTCGTCATCCAGCAGGGGAAGCGAAGGTGCAGCGGTGGCCGCTGCAGAAGATGTGGAGGCCGCTGCTGCAGCGCCTCCCTGCTCGAAGAAAAGCGCCACAGCAGCGGCGACATCGTTGGCACAGGCCCCCAAATAATGCTTGGCCTCCTCCGACGTGCAAGCGGTGACTTCGACCACCTGCTCAATCAGCGCGTCCGGCGCTTCGCTAGTGGACATGGCACTGCGGTCAAGGAGTTCGGATTTGGTGGCTTCGGCGCGCAGAAACGTTGACGAAATTCGGAAAACGGAAAACGAGTACGAAATCAAAACGAGCTATTTTCCAGGGACAGATAAAATGCGACCGCACAGCTGTGAGAAAATCAGTGTTCGTAAGCTGGCGCCAGTGGCAGTGCTGGAAAATGTTTGACAGTGGCAGTTACGTTTACGGTTATTTAAAATAATAAATTTCAATTTGTAAGAAATAATACGAAACTTTCTCTATAAAAACTAATTTTAAATATGTTTATTTTAAATATTAATTTTTAAACAATTTTGTTATTACAAAATACTCCCAAATAAACGGTATTCAGGGAATTACAACTTTTTGTGGCTTAACATTTAATTTTAATAATTATTATTTTTTTATAATTTTATTTATAATTTTTTAATCAACAAAACATCGCCACCTTTTACAGGAGAGTTTGACACTCCACTGGCAGCGCTCCGCAGCACTGAGCTCTGCACCAGTCGCTGCGCAACACTGGCCAGCAGCAGCACAAAAGTCTTGCGTCTTTATATACGCGAAAAATTAAGATAAGATTCGCAATTGCCGAGGAGTTGTCCCCCAAAAAACATGACTAATACCTCTGCGGACTGGTGAATCGAAAAATCTGCCCACCTGCTGTGACCGTGAATATGTGAACCGCCGCGTACCGGGACCAACGAAGCCAGTTTTCCCAATCAGAATCCGTGCGTCAGGTGCTTCAGAGTGAAAAAATAAAAGTGATTCCCAGTGATTTGAAATCGGATCTACGGATCCCCAGTGCCATTTGCTGCCTCCCCGCCCGAGTGCCTACTCAAGCTGTCCGCGTAATGCTGCGCGGATCAAGTTGAACTCTCCGCTGTTCCAACTCCGGGGTTCCAGTTCATTGTTTATTTGTTTATTGTTAATGCTGCTGACGTCGCAAGATGGTATCGCTGATAAAGAACCAATTGCTCAAACATTTGTCCATGTAAGTGTGTTGGGGTTACATAGTCGGGATTTAATCTGTGTCAGTGGGAAATGTAATTACGAAACTCAATTAGTTGCACTTGGGTGGGCCAGTGGCCCCTTTGACCAGCTTGCGAGTGGCGGAGGAGCCCTTGGAGCGCCAATTGATTTTTCCCAGCTTTCAGCATTGTTGCTTGCCTCTCTCTGGCTGTGTCTGTGTGTGCGTGTATTTTTCACAGCTTCCATGCCTCCCCCTTCTAGTTCTTTCACTCTCGTCACCTGTCCTGACCCCCGCTTTTATGCCTTCTTTATCGCTTATCGCTTCTGCTGCCCCGTTGCTAATTTGCTAGCCTCCGCTGGCACCGGCCGGAGGTTTCCCCTTCCTCGCCAAGTAACAAGTGGATTGCCAATTTTCTGCCCTCCACACACTTTCAATTTTCCCATCATCCGTAAATGTTTATTATTTTTCTTTTTACGTTGACTCCGTCTCCTTGGAATTGAATACCCATCCATTCCCTCACTCCCTCCTTCCTTTGTCGCAGCCAGCGGCATTTGCATGTGAAATTCAATTTTCCGTCTCTTCCTTGGCTCAATATGGTTTACTTGATGGCTGGGTTTTTCGATAACCTTGTCCGGAACAGGGGGCTTTGACGACTCCGTCACCGCGGCAGTAAACACATATTTATGAGCAGGGTAACAAAATCAAATACTTATTTTCGTATTCGTATAATTATAAACAATGCAGGCCCCAAGGGAGGATCTCCGATTGCTTGGCCAGGTTGTTACACAGAAAGAAAGTTAGACAGTTTCAATAAAAAATACATTCCTGGGTTTTTATCCTTTTAAGATGAGATTTTGAATTTTAACAAAGCATCTCTGGTAAAGACTTTAAATAGTGGCTCTAAAAATTAAAACCAGTATGAATATTAAAGATAATTTTTAAAATCTGTATTTGAAGCTATAGCTTTTGCTTTCTAAAAAAAAAATTCAAGTTCTAGTTTAATTCAAGTGTCTTTCTGAGTGCACTTTAGTAGAAACAATAATTAGCTTTCAAGTGGAAATATTGTCGCAAAGCTACCATTTCCCCTTTGCCCCATTCCTCGTCCGTTTCAGTATAATGCTTTTTATATATATCTGTCCCCACACACGAACTTTAATATGTCAAGTCCTGGCCTACCACCTGCTTAAACAAAGGCCATATTTACCCGTATACACAGCGGCATTGTCTTGGCCCCTTTGTGGATATCTTTTGTGCGTTATTGCCACCGCGTACTCTGTCCTTGCCCTCCACCACCTGCCACCTGCCTGCTCCCTTCCACGCAATTAGGCTGCAAACAAGCCAAGTTTATAACATAACATGGCCGAGGAGAGAGAGAGAGAGAGCGTGAGTGTAAATGCAAAGCAAACTTGTTGCCCAAGTTGTGGGACGGCGAAAAGTTAAAGAAAATCTCTTTACTGCACCCGCCCGCCGTGGCTGTTATCATTTTTCTCCCGGCCAGGAAGTTGGAAACTTACCCTACCTGATCGGCATTTCTTATTGCCAGGGGATTTTTGAGATGGCCAAGAAAAAGTTCTTAAGTAGCAAGTTGAGCTGGAATTCCACAACCGCCGTAAACCTTTTCCTCCCCGTCTCTTTAACCGAATCAATTCGATTTCAATTATACTCAGAGCCATTAGAGGGAAATGGGTCAATTGGTGGCAACCATCTGGCGCCGACAGTTCACGAGTTCGCCCCCTGCTTTATATCTCTATTCCTCCCCAGGTTCGGCAACATAACAGCTAGTCCCCTTTCTGTTATTTCCCTACTTTGCAAATGCAATGTGACATGTGCGATGAGGCTGATTTAATTGGCGAGACAAGCAGACGACGACCACTCACGTTCCCTCCTGTTTTTTTCTCCACGTAGCTACACGAAGAACCTATCCTCGGACAAAATCAACCTGAGCACCTTTCGCGGCGAGGGAGAGCTCTCGAACCTGGAGCTGGACGAGCGGGTGCTCACCGAGCTACTGGAACTGCCCAGCTGGCTGCGCCTCACCTCTGCCTGGTGCAATCATGTCTCCTTCCGGATTAGCTGGACCAAGCTCAAGAGCGTGCCCATAACGCTGGTGAGTAGTAATCCTAGGGATTAAGGGGAAATAGTAAAAAAAAAAAGGAGAAAAAGTTCAGGAAATTGCACTCCAATTAGTACAGAGTACAGCTGCATCTCTCTTTAATCTATCCTGTTTCCCGTAAAGTGTTTTTTTTATAGCAGTCCAAGGAAATAATTTATTAAATGTGCATTTATAGCAGTCCAAGGAATTACATTTTTATACCCTTGCAGGGTATTATAATTTCAGTCAGAAGTTTGCAACGTAGTGAAGGAGACGTTTCCGACCCTATAAAGTATATATATTCTTGATCAGCATCAGCAGGGGAATCTTTCTAGATATGTCAGGAAGAAATCAATTTTTTTGACATTTTTGCAAAATTTTATAAGGGGTTTTGATAAAAAATTGAATTTTCAAAATTTTTAAATGAAGTATGCAGATTTATTAACTATAGAAAATCTTGCACAGAACAGTTTTCCGCTTTAAAATTAATGCTCTTTTGGCCGAGTTATGATATTTTTAATTTAAAAAAAAATTAAAATGTTTTTTAATATAAAAATCAGATTTTATAATACAAAATAATATTTTTCTAAGTCAAGGAATCATTTCCGACTCCATAAACCATATATATTTTTGATCAGCATTAACATGCGAATCTTTCTAGACATGTCCGGAAGAAATCGATTTTTTGGCAATTTTTGCGAAATTTGATAAGGGGTTACATCATTAAAATTAGCAAAAATGGCCAAAAATTTTGATTTCTTAAAATTTTAAATTTGGTATGCAGTTTTTTTAAATTAATAAAAACTAACACAAAACTGCTTTCCGAATCGAAATTAATGCATTTTTGGCTTAGCTATGATATATTTTAATTGTTACCTGCAAGGGTATACTACAAACTTTGGCTGGCCAAAGTTAGCTTTCTTTCTTGTTAAAAGTACATTTGTATTTTTTATGAGGAAAAATATATATCCTTAGTGCTGTAGAATTTTAAAATGTGACTTTAAAGTATGCTATGAAATTTTTAAGGATCATTTGGACTAAAATCGATGTTTTCATAGAAAAAAAATTAAGTTTTTATTGTGATTAGTGTACTGTTGCATTTTTGTAATATATATTTATAAGACTATATTTAAATCTGTTTAATTTTTAATTTATACGTTTTTTTTATACATATGTGGTTAACTTCTTATAATTTCTTAATTTGCCACAGAGATGTCTATATCCATGAGTTCCTTAAACATACACTTTGAAAAAGCAACACTATTATATTTTAAGTATTTTTACAATTATTTATTTATTTTATTTATTATCTCAAATGTTACTAATTCCACAATCATTCCCACAGACTTTAGATGAGGTGCGCATCACCATCGAGACCTGCAATCCAACGACACGCGATGCAGGTGGAGGAGGAGGAGGAGGATCCGGTCCCGGAGGAGCAGGATCCCCCACCACTGCGGCCGCTGCTCTGCCACAAGTGCCTCAGGGTAAATACAGCTTCATACACAAGGTGGTCGATGGCATCACAATTGTGGTCAACACGGTGAACGTGAACTTTGTAAGCGCAGCCTTTACCGCCTCCGTGCAAATGTCCCGCATTCGGGTTGAATCGAAGACACCAAAGTGGGCCAATGCTGATCTACGGATGACGCGCCTCAAGGATGCCCAGAAGGGCATTATCCTTATCTTCAAGGAGCTGTCTTGGCAGACGGTACGCATCGAGGCCAGTTCCACGCAGGACAAGTCTTTGACGCCACTGCGCCTGCTCACCAATCACGCCAGATGCCGGATTACGATCCGCAAGCGATTGTCGGACTGTTCGTTGCTCGCTTCCCGCCTGGTCCTCATCCTGGACGATCTGCTGTGGGTGCTCACGGACTCGCAGTTGAAGGCGGCTCTGCATTTTGTGGACTCACTGTCCGGTTTGATCAAGGCGGCCACACATGCCACACAAAAGTCGAAGGCGGCTCGCAAAATGCAGGTGGGTAAAAATATAATATATAGAAAATAGAATATATAGAATACTGATTTTGTTCCCAATGACAGACACTGCCCGAATACAAGGCTCAGGTGGAGCAGCAGCAGAACCGTCTGTCCGAATCCGCTCACACGACCAATGCCCAGCGCATGTTCAACGCCTTCGATGTCCGCGAGACGTCGTATCATTTCTTTAGCCAGCGGATTGATCTTCACTTGTGCGACGACGAGGGCGATGGTCGCTCCAGCTATCCGGAGTTGGATAAGGGCGGTGCCTTGCAGGTCTCGGTCACCGCCTTCCAGGTGGACTACTATCCCTATCACCTGGCCAAATCGGATCGCTCGCATTGGGCCAAGTACAAAGAGGCCTCGGTCGCGCCGGCATTGTGGCTCAAGGAATCGCTCAATGCCTTCCGTGAGGCTGTGCTAAACCTGAGCCAGCCCAATCGACCGGCCATGCATGCGCCACTGGAACGGAGCACTCCCGCCTCGCCTGTTATGCTAAATCCCAGCATGCTGAGCTCACAGCATGGAGCGGGTAGCTTCTCCAATGGCAGCAGCACGCCCACGGCAGCTGGACTTGCTGGAGGATCGGGTGGTTCTGGTATGGGTTCTGGTAGTGCCTCCGCCAATAGCCAGTTGTCGCAGGCTGCCCAGCAAAGGAGCACGCTGGAGAATCTGGCCAAACTGATGAGCTCTTGTGTGATTCTAAGGATTGAGGATTTTACCCTGTACCGAGTGACCACTTCGGGGAAGAAGGCAATGCCCAAGGAATTTGTTTCGGGTATGGGTTTTGAGATATTGTTTTACCAACAAGCCAATAAACAAGCCACCTAACAAGCTACGCCTACATAACTGCCAGAGAAACACACAGAACACACATTTCATAAGAGTTTTGCTTTATGTCAACTGATATATCAGATGAGTCTGCATTATTCAAGAATTTAAAATAAAATATAATTATATCAGGCTGTTCCTTACTATATAATTTGCTCGGCCTGTGTAATTATAGTAGGAACTCAATTACTATATATAAGTTGATTAAAGTGATACTCAAGCATCTTTAACTATTTTAACATTTTGGCATCTCTTTTTCTCTCGTTGCTTTTTTATCCGATTAATTCCATTCCATCCATGAAAACATGTAAATTGCTTTTGTTGTTGTATATTGTTGTTAACGTTGCTATTGTGTAGCGCAACATAAAAGGAAAAGCAAATCCTCAGGTGAATATGTCACAAAGGCTCCTAACTCTGCTGAAGTCATTATGCATTTCTAAACCTTTTCCATTAATTCCAGTTCAGAATTAACCAGTTTTAATGCGTGTTTGCAGGTGACAAGGATCGATATTCGTTTCCCGCCGAGATGCCCATTATCCATGCGGAATATACTTACTTCTATTACCCCGGGGACTTTGTATTTCCATGTGAGTTTGGAATAATTGCAAAAATTCATCTATATAGCTTTTTGTTTACAAACTTTTTTTGCTTTCTTCTTGATAGTACCCCCCTCCAAGGTCTTTGTGCATGTAAATCCTATCCAGATGCACTTTGATCTCAGCTCTATTCTGTGGCTCAACTCCTTTGGCCTCAATTTGCACGAGAGCCTGCTACGCACCAGTGTGGGATCCCAACAACATCCTCTCCAGCAGCAGCCGCGCAGTGCACGCGGCTCGATTGCCTCCTCCAATGGCTCCAATGGCACACAGATGGCTGGCGTGAATGTGGATCAGGAGCCAAATCTGATGTACATGGATGTCAAGGTGGAAGCGATTATGCCGCGTGTCGTGATGGAGGCGGCCGTGGATTCGCCCAGCCAAAAGGATCGACCGAAGACAATGCAGATACAGGTCTCGCGCTTTGCTCTGACCAACATCCGTGAGATGGGCAGCTCGAGGGCGGATCTGGCACAGGCCCTGCACTCACTGCAGGAGGGATCCTTGGTCTTTGGCTCTGGCTTTCCCTCCGTCGACGGAGACATGTGCATTGTCACGGATCGCATTCTGTCGCACGTGGCTGCCTCGGATGTGAGCATGATGTCGCCTGGGGACAGTCAACAACTGCCCCGTTCCGCCTCCACGCAGTACCTTTCCCGTTATGTCATGTGGCTGGAGCCTCGGGATGTGTGGTGCATCAAGCTGGACCCCGTGTGGGTGGATTTCCTGGGCGCCCGCTCGCTCGGACCCAACAAATCCATTCCGTTCGTGGACGCGGTGCCCATCACCCTGTGGCTGCACTCTGGCTCCGCCCAAGCACAACTGGATGTGGGAAAGGGTGGAACGGCGGCGGCGGCGGCCAGTATGGAAAGCATGGGTCTGCCACCGTTGTCCACTTTGCCGCCCCTTCAGGCGTGCAATCCCTTTCTAATGAGTGACGAGGATGTCCGTCTCGCCGGCAGTGCGGCATCATCACCGCCTGCTCCTGCACCGGATCGCACAGCGGATGTGCACGCCATTGCCCACATTTCGAACTTGGTGAGCCTCCAGATCGATCACTACCAGTTGCTTTTTCTGCTGCGCATGGCGGAGGAGCTTAATGAGATGTCCACCTTCCTAAACCTAGATGCCGAGCGAATCTTACATAAGGTAGGGCAAATTTTTTATTGGTGCATTTCATACACCTATCCGTGATCTGATGTATATATTTATATTATAATTCCCAGCAAAATGAACAAAAATCAATCATATTTGGGTGCGTTGTGCCGCAGATCGAGGTGACGCTCGTGATGCCATCGCCAACACCTGGTAAGGAATCAAGTGGTGGCGATGCTGAAAGTGTCGTGCCCGACTCAGCTAGTCTGGGTGACGATTTACACATGAATAGTAAGAATTTATATATCTTTTGTTGTCTCTCTTCAACTCTCTTTAGTTTTATAACCTAAGTAACTAACCTCGAACGTCCAGTGAGATCGACTTGCCACACTAGACTCTAGTTAATGTCTTAACCCACACACTAGTAGTTCTCACCGATGTCGTGTTGTTCCTAGTCCTAACCCCAAAATAATAAGCTCCATCACTATGATCACCAGACTAACCCAGGAGCTAGTTAAACACTTGCTGCTGTAATACTCGCTTTCAAGTCGAACTAGAACATTAACTTTAACAATTATGTAATGCGTTTAGGCTGGGCACCTAGGACCTCTACACACACACATTTGTCCTTATTATTATTGGAAGCTGTTGAACTGAAGCCAGGGAAAGAATGGGTATAAAAGAAATATAGATAAAGATATCGAGGTTATCGATATTGTCTGATATTCCCATCTATTTCCCCCATAGACTTCCACTTGGCTTCAGAGACAACTATCCGCCTTTTAAATATGTATATCTCGCATGTTTATTTTGTACTCTTAATTACTAACCCATGCAGAGCCATTTTAGAGCCTAATCAATATTGTAAAACAAAATGTAAACTCTTGCCCCATAACATTTCTTATTAATATCAATAATAAATCGTAACCAGGCGGCAACATAACCTGGCCCACACCACCGCCACTGGACCAGCTGAAGAGCAATACCTTTGGCAGTGTAGAGACTCCTTCTCCAGTGACCAATGAGCCGCCTTTCGACAGCGGCATACACATATCCAATCCCAATACGCATGGGTGAGATGAGCTAAAATAAACAATAAACTTTAAGCTAAGAAGTTCCCTTTCCCCTGCAGCTACAATGTTCAGATACAAAGCACACCCACACTGGCCTCTTCCACGCCCAGCCAGGGATCTCGTCCGGACACGGGCATCTCCACGCAATCGCAATCGATCTCCTCTGCCTCGAAGAGCGGCAAGAGCGGCGGCAGTCGTTCTGGAGGCGGCGACACCGTACCCAGTTTAACAAAGGAAATCAACTCTGGTCTGCTGTCCATGAAGAAGGGCTTCTCCAGTTTCATGACTTCCATTGACTCGGCCATTAAGTCAGGCACGCCCAATGACGATGCCAGTGATACGTTCTCCATACAGAGCGACATTAGCTCAGACTCGGAGAATTATGCGGCGGTGATGGGCGACGACAAGACCATGGATTGTATGGATGTGATGTTCCGCCTGAATCCCTTTACCAACGACAACAACATGAAGGCCTCGCCGGTGGAGGTGGCCAGCGAGGTGTATGAGGAGCAGCCGAGCAGCTACAAGACGAACATGTCCTCGCCATCGGAACCCTCGGAGGGCAGCACCTGGCGGCGACGGGATCTGGTGTCCATGGCCACCTTTAGGTTGATTTACTTGATTTTTTTAAATCGTATTTTTATTAATTTTTTGTTAAAATCTTTCCAGATTAACCACCGTTGAGCTGATACGCCAACAGGAGGGTCCCAAGTCCTCGGTTCGCCTGCAGGTGGCTGCCGTGTCCTGTGATGAGTGCGGAGCCATTCCTTGGGACGAGCTTCAGGTAGACTTCTTGCACTATTTTTAATAGAAACTTATTTTTCAGTTATTTGTTTGTTTGTTTTCTTCATTTGTTTTTGTGTTTGATTTGTAAATATATGAAAAAAATATAAATCTTCGGTTTTTTCTCTTAAGATTTTGGTCAATTAAATGTTTTGCGCTTTCGAACTTTCTCAACATTCTGCATGTTTCGATAACTTTTATTCAAAGAACTTTTAATATAAACGCTTTGAAAGTTTCATTAGGTTTCTCTTATGATTTAAATGTTTATTTATAAAGCAAGTGAGCTTTTCCTGTAAGATAACTTCTCATATAATCATTTTCTCATTATATTTTCTCTCTTTCTCTCTTATAAAAACAAATATATAAATATATACTCAAAATCGATCTCAATGTGTGCTAATCTAATACAAAATTCAAAACCAAAATTTATAATCAACATGAAAATCTAAAACACACACTTGTAAATTGATCTATGACAATTCTTACATGACACGAATTTCAACAATTACAACAATCACCAACAACTACAAACCAACAACAACAACTACTACTACAACAACACTCCGAAACCGAAAAATAGATCGCGCATCAAGCAAACAAGGTATCAAAAATAAACAACAATTGAAATTACTTTATTAAATGCCTACTATTTTTTATTTATAATTTAACCGCTTTGTACATATACTATCCAGAGTTTAAGCTAACAGTATTATTATTTATCAATTAATTATTATAAATTAATGGTTTCTTTGGTGCGTTTATTATATATTTTATCATTTGATATTGTAGTTGACTTTTGGCCTGTTTGCAATCGCATTTTTGGGCGTTCTTGGCCATTAGTTGAGTAGTTGATAGCTTGCCGGAGGGAATAACCTTGCTCAACGCTAATGAAAATGGATTTCTCTCGGTCGAATAATGGTTTTTTGAGCATGAAATGCGCGTTAGAACGACGATTGATCCCAGTCTTCCACACAAAAAGTACATGCTTAGATCCCAACAAATTCCATTTGATTTTATTATTTCGTTGCTGGTATTGCTTTGTTGATGATGACTTATGATTTGCTACGAAATTGGTTCATTCAGAGACATAGAAGTCTAGGCAAAGTACAGTAGAACTACACTAACAAGAACAAAAAGCCACCACAAAGCACTAACTACCAACTAACTGACTTGGGACAACCACAAGAGTAACTACTACTAACAACTGTACTGTTTAAAACTAACTAAACTAAGTACTTAAATACACACACACAAGGCTTCTTAAAAAAAAATAACATTCCGCCCATAACACACCCACCACATCAACACACACACACATAAACCAATTCACACACTCTACTCATACCCACATTGCATGGGTGTGCTTTCAGCTTTGCATGTTGTTCTCTAGCTGTTTCCAAATGTAGTTTATCACCATGATTCCAGTCTTTATGGGACCTTAAACTATAATGGTTTCTTACTCTCTAACCCCTAAACCTCAGACCAAGTTTGGAGCGAGGTGCAAGGCCTGGAATCTGGCGCCATACAATCCAGAGGCTCCACCTTGCATCCGTCTGCGCTTGGAGGAGACTCTGGACATGCCCAAGGAAATTGAAGGCCTCATTGATCGGAAGCGCATACAAAGGTATGATTACACTTTCCTTAATATATACAATTTTATTATTATTATTTATAATTTTATTATATATATTTCTTTTTTTTAAATTAATTTTATTGTTTTTTCTGAATCCAAATTCCAGCTGGATCACTCACCATGCTGAGATCCGTGTAAAAGACATCAATATGGATCTGTCGATGAGCACTGTAATTGGTCTGGGCGATCTGGCCGAGGATGAGGTCATCTCACCGCCAATGCCTATCACAGTAAGTATCATTTTTAGATTGCTCTTTTACAAAAAGTTCCATTTATTATTATTTATGATTGCTTGTCTTCAGATAAATGTGGAAAATGTTCGCATCAACCTGCTGGAGGACCGTCCACCCGTTAATATTACCTCACCGGGTCCCGTGCCCATAAATCTGTGCATTGGCCGCATGCGTCTAGAGCGTGACAAGACTGGAGTGCTAAACATCCAGCCCATAGGTAAAACACAAAATTGTACACGAAATATTTATATAAAGTATGTTTTCTGGCAGATACAAACATGAGTGCCGCCCAGCATCAGGCTCTGGGCAGTGCCTTGTTTGGAGCACCGCGTGAACGGGACAGGGAGCTGCTATCCATGCAGCTGGTGATGCAGCAGATGAAGCTGGACAATGATCAATTGCGGAGGCAGTTGGTTGACTCAAAAGTGAACACGGATAATTATAGGTAAAGGATTAAAGCATTAGGTTTTAGAAGTATTATTTTATACTGAATATTAATGAAACCCTTTAGGCAAAGAACCAAACAGGAAACAGATGTGCTGCGCTCCTATTTGAAGGCTGCCCAGGATGACATCAGCATACTGTTGGAGGAGAAGAAGGCTCTGCTTGATACCATACGTTCCTTGCAGGTAATTTAAAAGTAGGACAAATCTGTGTCTTAATTCTTTCACACGTTTCTCACTGTCTCTCTAACTTTGTTGATTGTATTGTTCACCTTTTTGAAACACCTTCTTCCTGTTTGTTGTGTTGTGTTGTGTGCGTAAAGTTGAGACACATTAAGCTTAAGAACACCACAAATAATAATAATAATGCAAGGATCGAAGGTCAGTTAATGCCCAAGCACGCCTTGAGCCTTGCTTTGAAAGCATGCTAAACTTTTTCACACGCTTTCTGCTAGTTTTGTAGTCCTTGCTTATAATTTCGATTTTACTAAATATATCGTTTTATTGTAGGTACAACTGACCTCATCGAATATAAACAGAAAGAGTGATGGCAATAGGTAGCACAACTGCATGGACTGCATACAATGCTGCGGCGAGAACAACAATGCCTAGCCCTAAGCCACTCAGCCAGCCAGCCAGCCAGCGTATGCCGATAGTCAGTCGTGATAGAGAAACCTCTATATCTATATATATAAATGCCTATGACGTCCTCCTCAACATCATCGCCATTCGATTTTGAGTTTGAGTTTAGCAGAAGACTGAGCCGTACCGAACACGGACACTTTTCACGTTGCCGTTCGTCATACTTACTTATACTTATACTTACACTTATACAAAGAGCTATACGTATATATATATACACGCGGAAAGCTAAATCTTTAACTATAACTATACGAACATATTGTTTTTATCGGTTTTAAGCTTGCTATCGTTCCAAAGAATGTCTTTTTTATTTGATTTTGATAACTTTTGGAAAGTTTTTTATGTTGATCTTTTTAGAAAGCAAACTTTTAACCAAAAAAACACCATTGTTAATTATTTTACAAGATGATAATCAAAGCGAGAGAGCTGGAACTATGTACAGACAGAGTTAATGTGTCATTGATATTGCGCCTACTCATATATATACATATATTGTGTATATTATTCCACTAATTCCATGGATAATTGGAGATATAGAACCTATTGTTGTGATTCATGATCATATCAAAAACTGAATTCTAGTAAGTGTGTGTGTATGCATTGCTGTTGTTGTTGTTGTAATCGTGCGCTAGCAAAATATATATTTGGCCAAATTTATTATATAATCGGAACTTGATAGTATTCTCTAACGAAATTCGTATTCGCATTCGCATTCACACTAACATTCCATTCGAAACAATCATCGTTTGCTTCTCAACTCCCAACTACTAATCAAAACTAAATACTAATAACACAATTACCGTAATCAAAAGTGTTGTATAGACGACATCCTATAAGCTATAAATGTCTGCTTATACTATATATATAAACTTGAATTAAATCAGATGCTGTACTGTACCATGTTGAATAAAAATCAAAAAAATAAACTCAAGTCAGTAGCGCTATGCGTATACAAATTTTAAATAAAAAGTCTTCATATATATATTTCGAATTGTAAATGAACAAATGTTTGTATTTGTATTATAAAAGTTTAACAAAAATATAAGAAAAAAAAAGAAAACAAACTAAAACTAAAACCATTATTGATTGTTATACACATTATACGAAAGTTTTCATCTGTAGCTAGGCGAAATGAAACTAAAGAAATTGAAGTCATATTAAATATTGCAAATATATTCAAATGTAAATGTTGTTGGTGTGTTTTTATTCGGATATTGATGTGAACCCGATGGAGCCGGCTTAGAGACATGAAGCCGGAAGACCACCGGAAACCAAAATACTTCACATCAGCAGTGATAAGGTGTTTGTTTTTAACTCCAACGATGTGTAAATTTTGTTTTTATACCCTTGCAGGGTATTATAATTTCAGTCAGAAGTTTGCAACGCAGTGAAGGAGGCGTTTCCGACCCTATAAAGTATATATATTCTTCATCAGCATCAACAGGGGAATCTTTCTAGATATGGCAGGAAGAAATCGATTTTTTTGCCATTTTTGCAAAATTTTATAAGGGGTTACATCATTAAAATTTTTGATTTTGATAAAAAAATTGAATTTTAAAAATTTTTAAATGAAGTATTCAGATTTATTAACTGTAGAAAATCTTGCACAGAACAGTTTTCCGATTTAAAATTAATGCTCTTTTGGCCAAGTTATGATATTTTTAATTTTAAAAAAATCAAGAAGTTTTTTAATATAAAAAATCCGAATTTATAATAGAAAATAATATTTTTCTAAGTCAAGGAATAATTTCCGACCCCATAAACCATATATATTCTTGATCAGCATCAACAGGGGAATCTTTCTAGACATGTCCGGAAGAAATCGATTTTTTGGCCATTTTTGCAAAGTTTTATAAGGGGTTACATCATTAAAATTAGCAAAAATGGCCAACAATTTTGATTTCTTAAAATTTTAAATTTGGTATGCAGTTTTTTTAAATTAATAAAAACTAACACAAAACTGCTTTCCGAATCGAAATTAATGCATTTTTGGCTTAGTTATGATATATTTTAATTGTTACCTCCAAGGGTATACAAACTTTGGCTGGCCAAAACTTAGCTTTCTTTCTTGCTTAAATTCCGTTCGGCTTTCGAAATTAGGAATGTTCCGGAGAAATTCCTAAAGAAGAAAAAACTTCCTAGGGAATTCCGCAGGAAATGCCTAAGGAATTCCTAAGGAACTTCGAATTCCCTACTATATAGTCAGGCTCTGAACAAATTCCTTCCGAAAATCCTCGGAAATTCATTCCGAAATGGGTTAAATCCTCGATAATTCCTGAGATTTGGTACTAAAGAGAACTTATAACCACCATCTACGAAAAAAACAATACTTGGAGGAATATACTTTTATAAGAGTTTATTTTTATTGAAACTTTACGATCATAGCCAACTGCTGTTGCTGTTGTTGTCTCATTCATAGAATTAAATACGTTTTAGAGCGCGCTTCTTTTGTGATTTGTTTTTATCTCGATCTCTATTCATAGCAAACTTACATATTTGTGTTATCTGTTGCTGCTGTTTCTTTCTTTCTTTTCTGTTTTTTTTATTCTTTTGCGATTACATAGGTGTGTATGTAAAGTTGCACTAAACTAAAGAAAAACCCTCGAAAAGTTGGTTGCACTTAAAAATTTCATTTCGTTCTCTCTTCAGGCGATTTCTTGATTTTGTTTCTCACTTTCATTTTGTATACATATATATTTCGAGTGTATTAATTTGCAAAAATATCTATTGGTATATATGTATGTATGTTAGTCTGGTTTAGAAGAACGCCTAAAATACAGTACAGCACATGCATATATATCAAGATGTGTGGGTCTCGACTCAAACTCAAAGATCTCTCAACAATCAAGCAACAAAGAGTTACAGAGTAATAATAGTAATAATGAACATTTGAAGCAACAAATGTAAATTTGCATTAAATATTTGATTTAATTCCATGTAAAATGCTTAAAAATTAATTGTACAATTATGAAACAAGGCCATTTGATGCAAAATGAAGCGGTAAAGCTGCTTGAAATTCATCATTATTATTTTACGATTAAGATTTTATTTTATTTTATGATTTACGCCAAAATAAAGACTTGAAGCTCCCTCCTTTGGTCCACCATTTAGGCCACCATTTAGCATTCGTCGAGATGAGTTGCGTGCTTAATGACTTACGGATCAGCTTACTTATTTTATGTATGTATAAATATTTTTGTTGTTCTTTTTTATTAAAAAATGCTAGAAAACACAAAAATCATTAGTTGTGGATTTTTTTACTTCATTTTTTATTTGATTTTTTCTTGTTTGTTTTAAGAGTAATCTTCTTAGTTCTTCTTGTTGTTTTATACAAAAAAATCAACACAATAGTAAAACTAAAACTAAAGCAAAGATTTTATTAATTAAAAAAGAAGGTTCACAATAAAAGAAAACTAAAAAAATTATGATGTATGATTTGAATTGAAATTTACGGGAACTCGGAAAATGTTTTATTTGCATTGCTGCGCCTATATATGATCTTGTTTTTCACTCTTCACTATGTTTCTTGGTTTTTTTATTTGTTTTATGTTTTTGTTTCGTTCGTTAAAAACTTAAAGACACGTTGGACAATGTTTGCAACTGCTACAAGTTATTATTGGTTGATAAGTTTGGGTTGAAATTTGCTTTACAATTATCGATTGTAGATGTAGATTGCAATTATACAATTAATATGTAAACATTGCCGCTAAGACTTTTTATTTATTTAATGCCTGGATGAATATTAAAACCATTCAAAATTAAAGCTTAATAAATAAATAAACATTGTATTATTGTTGTTGTTGCTGTAGCTAATTGCGGTATCTCTTTACTTGTCCTTGTCAGACTCGGCAGCGGCAGCCACTGGCTTCTTACCAAGGGGAATGGCCACTCGGATCCTGGATTAAATGGAAATCAAGTAATTAGTATATATATATAAAGGATCTTAAGGGTCTACACTTACTTGTCGGTGATCTCTGTCAATTTGCTGCGCACCAGATCCAAGTAGGTGTCGATCGATTGCTTGTTGTTCTCGTAGACCTTGGGCAAGGTAAACAGCGAGACAAAGGCTGTGCGGGTAAATCAAATAGGTTATTGCCCAGGCTTTTGTTAATATGGTTAGGAACTCACCCAAGATGACCAGAGTCATGCCATTGAACCAGGCACCGATGTAGGTGAACACCCACAGAAGACCGCCAAACTTGATCGAATCGATGAGATCCTCAACCAAGAACAGACGCCTCAGCTCCGCGGTAAAGCCATTGATATGTGCCACAGCCACGCCGGCAATGTTCTGCACCTTCTCCTGCGACAGCGTCAGATCTAGTTCCAGGTATTCTCTAAAAAATGTACAATTTAATTAATTATTTCATATATTTATTATTTAATTTAATCAACTCACTTGAAGGGGTGTCCGTCGTTTGTCTTTTGCACGGCCTGTGTCACGGATTTGTAGATTCTGAAGACCACAGTTCCGATGAGAGCGAAGAGCGACAAGTAGGCAAAGACACTGATCACCGAGAAGCTGGAGATGGCCAGCAGTGTGATCAGGCCGGCGCCGAAAACAATGCCGGACTTCTTCACATCGCGCCAGTAGATCAGCGACTCCACTGAAAGGATAAGCAACGGGTTCGATTCATTAGTAACTGTTTGAGGCAGAAAATCCTACGGATACACATTTGATTTTCATTTCATATCCCAATTTATAGCGCTCATAAACACTCAAAGAAAAGACAAAAAAGAGATAAAGTGAACGGCAAGCAGATACCAAAATATACACAGGCATACGCATATGTGTAGATATATCTTTTCAGCTGGCGGCAATTATGCAATCTATGAGATAAATAGATGAATCTCTGCAATGGATTCGAGCTGCACGGCTGCCCCAGCTGCTTAGCTGGTAATTATCGGTTGGCATTTTCATTTCTTGTTCTGCCTGCACCTCTATAGCTTTTCATATTATTCTAAACCCAACTACCAACCAACAACACTCGTGTTCGGTAGGTTCACTCACACAATTTGTTCGACATTTTTCTGCTTTCGGTTTTTCCGTTTTTCCTGCGGATCGCGGTTCGTTCGCGGTGCGACGTTTGACGTCCGTTGCCAAGTTCTACACACTAGAGAAATATTATTTAGCGGAACGTATAAAAGAATGGCTAGAGGAAGAGTTCAGATTTTCCGGACCCAGCCGGAAAACGTAAGAGAGCTAGAAGAGAAAATGCTAATGAGA